GGGGCCTAGGCGCCCACCAGCTTTGCAGCGGGCGGGCGGGCGGGCGGACGGGGCGGGCGACGCACTCTTGTCACCTTGCGCTGCCTCCATTATCACCATCCGAGACATCGGGCCTGAGTCGCCATGCGTCACCGACGGGGTCCCTAGTGGTGCAAGCCATGTGGAAGCTGTCTTCCATTTCAACCTCTTCCATTCTCTCCCTTGGCATAAGATAAGAGTACTCTGAACGAAAGGGGTAAGTCCATGACAGAGTAGGTTCAATAAAGTCGTACAGGAGAAGTCGGAAAATATGCCTTCGAACCAGCCCAATCCTGAATGGGAACACGTGTCTCCTCCCAACGCCGATGCAAAAACTCATAGACTCCTGGGGCTGAGGGCGGCCTAGTAGCCGCCCATGCCATGCACGCGTTCGCAGAAATGAAAAGGCAAACTCTAGGCCTAGCAAAGAGAAAGAGAAAAAGCAGACGGCGCGAATGAACAGCGTACATGCAGAAAGCCGTTCCGGCGAGCCAATGCCCGCATCCCCGGGTCCAGCGTCCAAGCAGAAAAAACCGAAAACTGTAAAGACAAGCGAGCCCTGCCGTGTCCCTGCCGTAAACCTTGCGGAAAAGCAATCTGACTAGAGTCCCGTCTCGTCGGCATGCAAAGAAAAAACGCAGGGGAAGAGATCAACCGAGGGACCGACCGGAAGTGCAGACGACGCTATGAGACGGCGTGAAAGAGAACGGTGAGCGTACGGGGGTGAGAAGGAAATAAAGCGTCTCTGACAAGGCAAAGCCAACCGGCGCCCGGATGCTCCTTCCGACCGCAATGCAAATCGCAAAAATAGCTGTGAATCTGTCGTCTGCCCGGACCATATGACGCACAACCCGAAGGTCCCCTAGAAGAGACAAAATGCAGGTTATTTTCTCCCTGGACAGCCCGGCGCCGCCCCCCTCCCCCCAAACGTGGTGAAACGCGTAATCTCCTGAATGAGTATGTCCTCGATCATCCTGGCGCCAATCCCTTTTTGCCGAAAACACAAGAAGTAGACATACGTATCGAAAAGCGGCGAGGTTTTTTTGCAAAGTTTTGTGTCGGTCAAAGGACTCCCGGCCGCGTGGGAATAAGCAATACCGTGCTATCCGAGAAGCGCCGTGATCTGCGAGTCGCACGCCCCGATGCGGTCTTGACCCCGGGTGCGCAGCTTTTCCTTGCTGAGGTGTGTCCAAGACGACCTCAGGCCGGCGGTGATCCTGGCCCAAGGGACTTTGGCCGCAGATTCGAGCTACCGATAGGTGCCTTGTTGGCGCCCATTTTTCGTGTGAGTTTGGCGTAGTCTGGAGCGCATCAGCAGGTGTTCTGTTTGCTTTACGGCAAGCTGTGAAACTTACGGAGACCGCAGGCGTTGCACAAGGTACGTGCGCCGTCTGGACCTCTCCGCAACTCTGGAGTTTCCGCCCGGTTGCAGCTGTGACAACGACCCGGGGGCGCCGCGCGCTGCGAGACATGTCAGCTTCCACCATCACACTTGACCAGTCTCAGAAAGATACGCACCCCTCTGCGCTTCTTTGGGTCAGACCCTGCGAAGCCACCACCACCCTTCGGATCCTCTCCATACAGATTCTGGGATTCTTCGGGTTCGTAGCCGTTTGTTGCCTTGAACCTCGGATCTTGTGCTTGTTCCGCCAAGTGGTGGGCTTGCTGTGTCGTTAGCACCACCTCACGGATCCGCGCCAAGGAATCCACGATCCGTTGGCTGCTTTTCATCAAATCATCGACTTCATGGATCAATGGCATCGAGCCTGGGAGCGGCCCTGCCCGCTGCGCCTGGTGCGCGCGCTGGCCGTGTATTCTCAGGAACTCGTTTAAACGCCCGCTTCCTTCCGCGATCTGTTTCAATTTTAGCGTCATGCTCAAGGATGGCGTCTATTGATGACTTACCTCGTTGAGGGATGCTTCAAAATCAAAGTTATCGAGGTGCCGCTTGACCGACTCGCCATAGAGTGCCGGGCCTGCATGTCTCCCGGCTCTCTTGCTTTCCTCCGCCCGCCTGACTTCGGCACCATCCGATCTCCACGTGGGGGGATAGCCTCCTGATGCAGAATACGCTGCCGGGGCTGATGGAGGATACGGAGGGTTGACTTGACTTGGGGGAGGCGGTGGTGGAGGCGCACTGTACGGATACGGACCGGGAGCGTACGGGTGGTTGAAACCGAAGGGTTGCTGCTGCGGTTGCACTGGACCAGCCTGCTGAGGATTTTGCTCATAGGCCGGAGACTGTTGTTGTGAATAAGCGTAACCCGCGCTGAACGAAGGCCTCGAGTTGTTCACGGGGGACGGCTCTGTTCGTAGCGGATGCAAAGTTGGCAGCTTGGGATTGTGAGTGGTTGGCAAAGTCGGCCGTGGCGGATCCTGTGCGGCCTGGGAGTAGGGTGGCTGAGGGGGCGGCTTCATGTACGGACTGCGGTCTGGGTGCTGCGAGTAGAGGGCGGGCGAGTCCCTGCTGGAGAAATCCTGAGAGAAGTGTCTCCTGGCAGAGTCCGGATGCGAGGTGGCAGAGGTTGGCGGGGGCTGGAAGTATTGCGACGCGGGCGGCGGACCGGTCGAGGTCGGGTGAGGCGGGTAGGGCATTGGTTGTTCGGATGCCAGCGCTTCGTGGATTGACGGTAGTGATTGCCTTGTGGGCGGTTTTTGCTCCTTCTCATCTCCAGATGTGCGGCGGGACTCCGGGGGAGAAATGAGGCCTGCTAAGCTTGCTGGCGGTGCGCTGGCAGCAGGCGGGTGATGGGTGGCGTAGGGCGGGTTTGAGTAGGGAAACGACGGGCTGACCATAGCTGCGGCGGAGTGCTTGCGCTGGAAATCCGTGTCATCTCTTCTGCTCTTCTCGGCATCTATGGAAGATATTGAGGGCAAAATGGCGCTAGCAGCAGGTTAGATACACTCTCGTCCACACGATGCGCGGCGGTTCGCGGCGACAAACACGCACCTCTGCCGACTGCCGGCTTCCATGGCTTCCATTCGGGAAGGCAGCGTGGTCGGATCGACGCGCTGGCTGGCGTTCGACGACGACGCGGACGCTCAGTCTCTGGAGGGTTGTGTCGCCCGGCAGCTGTAGCTTCCCGCAAGCAGGTGACAGCGGCGGCGCGGCGGCGGCGGTTGGCGGTGCCCTGGCTCGCCCGTCACGCACGCGTTGGCGGTGATGTAATTCCCAGGTGCGGCGTGCAGCGTTGCCGGCTGGCGAACGCCGTCGTCCTGTGCGGGCGAACGCTGGCGGCGGCGGGGCGTGTCGGCGGGCCGGCGCTGGGTGGAAGCTGTGCAGAAGAGAGCCTGACGTAAGGCGAGGCGAGATGGTGGAACGCGGCGAGGGCGTACAGCTCCAATGGCGGCGGGCTAGCGCGCAGCGTGACGGGCGGGTCTGGAGAAGGGCGTCGGGGTCACGGCGAGGGCGCTGGCGTGCACAGCAGCGTATGGGGGCGTCGAGGTGGTGGTGAGGTATCCCGTGATCGTGCGGGTGGGAGCGAGGACAGCGGTTTTAACGGCGTGTTGCAACGGGCATTTCGGGGCGGGCGCTGGGATGGGTGGGCAAGAGGGGAAGACGGGGATATCTAGCTAGATGGCCGCAGCAGACGATAGATGCGATCGGAGATGACCCGCGACGCAGCAGGGCAGGGACTTGACGGGGAGTCGTATCGCTGCCCGTGGACGGCGGCGGGCACCCTGGCCGCACGCGCGCTGGAGGCCGTTAGACCGTGTTAATCGGATCTGTGCTGCGGAGGCCGGCCCTTGCAAAGCTTATGGGCACCGCGGGCAGGCGACCAGGAGGGAGCGATGTGCGCGCGGCGTGGGTAGGGAATAATCCGCCTAGCGGTGGTGATGTCGGCTCAGATTCGCCTCCGCCAAGCACGGCGAGCAAGATCAGCGCGCAGAGCAGGATCTGGCTGCCCTGGACACGAGACACGGCCTTCTTCAGCGCGGCAGGGCCAGCGGCGCGTCACGGCGTCACCACTCCAAGTCGACATCATCACGATCCAGCAGCCCGCGCGGGCTGGCGCCGGGCGGGCGCGCAGGGCTGCCGGTGCGCGCATCGCTGGAGCTGGCGCCCCTTTCTCCACGCCGCGCCCCTTCTGCGGATGCGAGGCAAAGCGAGCGGCGTGCGGGCCCGAGGCCGTGGGACGAATCAGTGGAGGCCGCCCACGGCTGATCGAGATCTGTCGCGGCAAAGCTAGGAGCCGCTCCCTGCGTGCGTGCCAGCGGCGGCGAAGGCAAGTGCCGGCGAGAGCTGATTTGAGCGCGCGTGGTGCCGCCGTTGCGTCTCCCAGATGCGATGCGATGCGCTGCCGAGATCTGAGCATGAATCATCCGAGCGCAGCGGGGGGTGCGCCGTGGGTGCGCCGTGGGTGCGCCGTGGGTGCGCCGTGACGCTGACGATGCCGATGAGCGCTGCGCGTGCTCCGACGCCCGCGGCCGCAACGAGCGCTGGGCCGAGCGCAGGCACATCAGGCCACACGACAGCTTGGGCAGCTTGGGCCCCCCGGCCGATAGGTTGGACCTGTTGCGGGCGGCGCTGCTTCAACTTTCAAGCGAGTCCACGTTGCGGGCGTGCGACACAGGCCCACCCGCCCCAACGCTCCGGCCACAGCGCTGCTACTAGGGTGCCGCGACCCGCCTGTCATCGCGTTTGCGCGCGCCTGCCTGCTGCTGACGGGCCGGCAGCGCCATAACGGCGTCGCAGCGCATCCCCAGCTGCCAGCACGCCAGCACGCCAGCACGCCAGCACGCCGCCGCGGCCGGCCTGCCCGCGCGGTGGCTGCGCTACGCCGAGCATCGATCCGCGCTATGGTGCATTCGTTTTCGAGATCAGATCCTGGCGTTTGGCGGATAGATACCCGTTATCGTGTCACGCCTTGCCCTTCCGAGGCGCAACATGGCCGCAATATTGGACGCACCGCCGCCCTGCATGCCGCTGGCCGGCCACATATGCACGATCCGACGCGACCAAGATTGGCTCACGCCGTAATGCGATCTGCGTCAGCTCAGCGGTGCCATCAGCAGCGCCATCAGCAGCCAGCGCTGATCTTCACGCCCGGTTTCACTCGATCTGCTTTTGGGCGGCCTCGCAGCCCAAGCCACTCCAGCCAGCTCCATCACGCGCCCGCAGGCTGAGCGTGCTCGCCGCATCTCAATGCCCACCGCGCCCGCGCGCCCCCGCCGCCGGCTATTCGCGCAGCATGTGACGGCTCGAGCCTTCCCGCCCAGATGCCGGCATCAGAAACGCTTGATGTTTTGCAATCCTCTGACAAGCGCCGCGACCCAGTGCGCAGACCCTGAATAAATCGGCGGGCTAGCCGCAAGCAGCTACCGCCATCACCTCTGCATCTGATGCGATCGTGCATCTGGCACCTGTCGCCGCCGCGGCGACGTCCTGTCCGACCAGCGCCCCCAGGCCGCCGCCTCTGTGCGCCCCAGCCCCGCCATCTGTCCGACAGCGCACGCCGCCGCCGGTGGAGACACTTGGCTCTTTTCCAGCGCTACGGCGCCGACGGCCCTGCGCGGGCAACGGGCAACGGATGGCGGGCGGCGGGCGGCGGGCGGCGGGCGGCGGGCAGCGTGCAGCGTGCAGCGTGCAGCGACGGGGAGGGGAAAGGGGCTCTCGCCCGCCGCTGCAGCTCGCGATTCGAGGCGCTGCAGCTGGAGCGAAGACGCGGGTGACCCTTGCACATCACCTGGCAGAGGCTGCCGCTTTGGATGCAGATCCCCGCATTCGGAGAGCAACGCTCAGACGGGTCGCCCGTTTGGGGCCCCCTCGAGAGAAACTGCCGTGTCCGAGGGCTCCGCGCTAGCCGGCGCCGTTGGGCCATCGAGGAACACCCAGGCGCACGGCTGCGCTCATCTCGATGGGGGCGACGGGGGCCAGCACCGTGAGCAGCCCCTTCCGCCGAAGCGCGCCCGGCGATTTGCATCGGCCAACGGGAACCGACTCATTCCTGATGCTTGTCCAGGCGCCAGAGAACGTGGCGGTAAGGTGCAGCCGGAGCCAATTGGCACATCAGGGACCAGACCAGATCTCGAGCCTCGAAGCCCCTGACAGCTCCGCAGCCGTCACCACATGCCGCACGTCGCCCCATTGCCATTATTCAGAGATAGAGCACCTGCCACCCGCATCCCGGCCCTGTCTCGATCCGTCCAAGATTGCCGTAAGGCTGTTCTTGCGTTCCTCGTGCTCGGGAACATCGCGAATCGAGGTACGAACAGGGCCCTTCCCTGCTGCATCGCCGACTATCCATAAGCTTACTGCTTAGGACGAGCGGGCAGCGAATCTCCTGGCGCGGGCCCACATTGGCCTATTATTGCCTATAGCGCTCCTCCGCTATTTTCCAGGTTCCCGACACTGTCTCAAATTTTGAATGGCTGCTGCTGCGCCAAAAACCACCGCTGCAATTCCGGTCCCGCCTATCCTCATCGCCCCCCTGGAGAGCCGACGCGCCCAGGACTGGGTCGCCGGAACGAGCCATCAGACGGGCCGCTTCGGTAGGACTAACACCAGCCTGCACCAGTCCAGGTGACGGTCTCGTGCGCCTGGAAACGCAACGAGCCCACGGCCAGACCGCGGGGGCCAACATCCGACGGCGGCCTCCAGCATGATGATGAGGAGGGGGGGCGCCTCTGCCGCTCTGACGCACTAAACTCTATCTCATCATGCCGGAAATAATTCGTGCACGCCCAGGACTGGCCGGCGATGACGCTGCCACACTATACCCCTTCACCGCGAAGCCCACCCGGCGGATCCGGGGGTGACCCTGACGAATCACGGAAGACTTTCCGATCCGTTCGATCCGCCTTGCACGCCAGACTGCCGCCTCCGTTGGGCCCCTCCTGAGTTCCTGCCCTGCTGCGCGATGGGCTCCGTACACGCCGCGTCGGCGTTTCCGTCAGATACGAGATCTGGGGCTGGAGCAGAGTCGACCGTGACGCATCGACCCGGTCCGATCCACCAGCACTCTTCATGCAACGCTCGTTAGCCGGAAATCCGCATCCTGAAGCGTCAGCGGCGACCAATCAGCTGGTAAATTGGCCGAATCTTGATGAGCGGCCGAGCCGCCTCCGCCTACTCTTAAAGGACCAAGACTGGACAGGCACGCGAGTAAGGCTTGCTGCCGTAGATTGCCACTTTGGAAGCAATCGGACGATGTGCGCTAATGAAGCTTCACGTGGGTCCCATGTACTACCAAGCAGTGAACGCTCCCTTTGCCCAACCACACGTCGAGGCCAACCGGTTCTCACGAGCCACTAGATGGACGTTACAACGGCGGTACAGCACGCTCGATCCATGGAACGCTCGGTTCCGCGCTGCGCCCGCTTCATCTACCTACTCCACCTGCCGCTGTCAATTGTCCGCGTAGCGGTTACGCAGCAGCCCGGCTGCACGACCTTGCGCTATTCTCTAATTATACCCTCTCTCCATCGTTCCACGCGCGGCTCGTTGCTTCCAGGCTTGCATTTCACGTGGGCGCCGAAATCAGAAGAATAGTTGGAGATTCGCTGTGATCCAACCACCTCTTCCGTGGCTGCGTGCTGAGTATCACAGCACCCGCAGCATGATAGCCTCTGCCACCACCTTCAGCCCGTACGACCGGGAAACGATATCTATGGGCGGAGAATCTCGCACGTGTTGCTGGTGCATCTACTTCTCTCTCACGTCTTTGTCCCATGTTCTCTGCAAGACGCAACGGCGCTTTACGCGAGACCATGCTTGCAATCGTGTTGGTGTCCTGCCCGGAACAACCTCCTTTTACAGGTGTTCCAGGTAAGTGTTCAGAATCAGCCCACTAGACGCAGGACATCTCACGATCGGGCCGCAGCCTTGTCACATTCCTTTTTCTCCCAGTCCAGGCAGCAGGGAATATAACCGACCGAGTGAGATTCGGTACTCCACAACCAACATCATCATTACACTGCAGGTGTCAGAAAGCCCTGCCCTCTGGGGCATTGCGGAACGACGTCGTCGGCAAGGGCGCCGCCTGTTGATACCCACCCTGATTGCTGCTGTTCAGTGCGGTGCGCTGGGACTCGACAAGTTTGAGCTCAAAGGACGTGTGCATGTAGCCGGACATAAATCAGGCAGGTTGCCAATGCCAGCAGCTCGCCAGCACACTAGCTAGGCAACCAATCTGGATGGCCAATCCGGTCCCTACGAAAGGCGCAGCTGGAGCCGGAATCGGAACAACGTACTTTGAATGAGATAGATCTCATATGTGCACTCTTCCCTGCCTGCGTTACTTGCCCGCCTGCCTGCCGGCCTGCAGATATGTGGCGAAATAAGTTCTCGGGGCCACGTGTCGTGCTCGAGTGAAACACTGGGCGACCGGCCCTGGCTGGCGTTTTTCAAGCCCGTCATGGGGTGATTCCCAACGGCGTGGCTTACTTTTGGGGGGAAAGCGACGGGATGGTGGTAAGAGGTAGGAAGGGGGTGCAGGATCACTGCAGCTGCACCGGCGGCCGGCGGAGGGCGGGACAGCAGGCCGTCAGGCATGCATCCTCCCGAGTTTGGCGCGCGGCGCATATGTACGATGTATGTACCTACCGCATGCCGGCCATGCTGCTGCGCATCTCGCTTCTCTCCCCAAGGCTTTTGGCGCAGATGACATTGATGACAGCAACGGGCCACACGCCAAGGCAAGGTGAGGACGCGGGCGCCCTGCTCACACCCCCCCGCTTATCGTTCTCGTGTGACCACACCTTCGGCTCTGTGTTTAATTTGGAATGTTCCCTTGCACGCCTCGTGGGCGTCGGGTGGCATCCGAAGGTGCACCGCACCTTGATTCAAGTTCCGATATATGCACAGGCCGTCCCTCATGGAAGCGGTTTTTTGTTGATAGCATCATAGCCTTTGCAAAGTTACTTTATTGGGGCAAGTCTTGTGTAACCATCGGCTTTGCTCGCGTTGTACGCCGTACTATTGCGTGCAAAAGCATGGGTGAAGTCTGCATGAACGGCAGCAACGTCAGATGGTCCGAAGGACCGATTCAACGCGCATAGCGCGAAGGATCGCTATACAGCATGTCACCAAGGATCATCACGTCCCGCATTTTCTCTTATCAGGAAGAATACAAGATCGGATCCCATCAAGCGGTGTGTAAGAAGTAGCGCAGAGACACATATGCGGAGGTCGAGGTGCGAGATCGAGCAATCTCTTGAGCACTATACGCCCCATTCCCGGTGCAGTGGGGAGGCTCGAGAGTCATTCAGCCATTTAAAAGATCTCATAACGCCACTTGTGTCCCATATTGCACCCGATGCGGACTGGGCGTCGGATCTCGATGCCCTACAAGGGAGAGCAAAGGCCACACCGTTGCGGACAACGCAGGGACTCGTGATGGGGCAGGCTCACTTACCACGTTGTCGGGTCGCGCCCGCTATTCGTAAGATCCCGATTCCGCGGCGGAGGGGTGCTGAGAGAAGATGCGAGATGGAGGGACGTGTGCGGCCGGTGCTGCGCCGCACTCCTCTGGCTGACGTGGTAAGGCTTCGCGCTCGTCACATCGGCGCAGGCCCACACGACAGGGAAAACCCCTCCCAACTGCAACACGCATCGAACATGGAAGTAGGTAGCGCGCCTGGGAGGGCAGGGACCAGACTCGCCAAAAAAAAAAAGTTTACGATGTGTGGCACGGACTCGACGACATCGCATAGCCGCTGGAGTAGCGGAGAGCCGCGGAGGCCTTCGTCTTTACTTAGAGCCGAAGGAAACGTAACTTCTCCACCGGGAGCAGACTCGCATGTGAAGTCACGCTCGTGGGCCATCCTTTCGGCCGGTGCAGGTCCGAGTACGGTGAAGTCATCCCACAATCGTATGCGTTAGCATGATTGCGGTCGACTCGGCCAGAGATGGCCGTCTGCCAACGCGTCAGGATCCTGCTCAGCGAGGGCACCAGGCACATTCTATAAGCTTTGGGATTATAGGAGCATGGATGGTCGGCTCCCTTCGCCCGGATGAGCGTCGCCTGCATGCCAAACATGGACCCCAGATGCGAGAGTGCCGGGCGCTTCCAGCGGCGACGAACGACAACGGCGACGAAATAAATTGCGGCTACGGTTGGGTGTGCGGCGCGGTGTTCCTGGTAGGTCGTCTGGGGGGCAGTTCCAAGCTTTCGCTGCCCGTGCGGCCGGACACGCCGTGGTTAGGCTGGCATCGTAAGGTCGAGACGATCGCTTCTGAGCCAAGCAGGAGAGCATCGTGTCACGACGGGTGATTGGGGCAAAGACTCCGGCACGGCAAGACCAACCGCATCTTCAATGCAGATCGGCAAGATGGATTGATCAGCCGTCGTCGTCCGTCCGGGCGGAGTCGCGCGCTGCTGTCATGACGGGTCAGTCGACAGCGAGGCCAAGATTACCCTTAGGGTTTGGCGTAAGGGGCGCGGTGGTGAGGTCTGGCAGTCTGACCCGGCCGTGGACGCAGGACGATGAGCAGCAGCATGTGGAGGTCGGGTCGACTCACGACAGTGGCATGAGGAGGACGGCGCTGAGGCTCGCGCCAGCGGACGCGGCCTGCTTTTGTACGCTGCGTCCGGCGCCGTGCCACGGCGTGCGAAGGCGATGGTGGTGCATGCGGGCGGGCGAGTGGCAACTCTCATCTACATGCGACAGGCGTCACCAGACGGGCGCGAGGCTGCGGTGCGATGCGGAGCGGGCTGGTTCGGGCAGCGTTCGAGAATGCGCAGAGAACCGGCGAACCAGCGCGTGAGACAGGCGCGGACTTGGTCGGAGCTAGCGCTCGCCAGGCACCCAGCGCGCGGCCGGCCTCGGCGGTGCCTGGCGACAGCTCCCGCGCACCAGCACAGCTCCAGCGACAGCTCCCGCGCCGGCGCTCGCGCTTGCCTGGTCCAGACGCGGCGTTCACAAGCAACCCAGCCATTCTCATCTCGCAGCGTTGCGCCGTCAGATGGGCGGCGCCGTGGCTCGCACCGCGGCCCCGGGGTGGGGGCAGTGCTGTTGTGGCGTGGGTGCTGTGCGCCGGAAAGGCAACACAGGCGAGCGCCTAATGCGTGAAACCCTTGGCCGGCGCAGGCGCCACCAAGCAGGTGGTCTGATTATCCGACCTCCATCATACGACTTTCATCTTCTCCTCTCAATCATCGCTCCCAACGGTGCAGGCGACACGCTCTCCCCTGCGCCTCCCACCAGTCCCAGCGCGCATTCTCGAGCGAACCCTGGCCCACGCCGGCCCTTTGCGCACCGGCCGTCCTTCCGCGACACAGCTTCCCGTGAGTGCAGCCCCGGTTGTATCGTGAACCCTGGCCTCGCGATGGGGACGTCTGACCGACCGCTGACTCTGTTGCGTGCCAGGCCCCGACCCTCTCCGCACTCCTGCCGCCATCCGTCAGCTCATGTCATGTCGTGACCCTGATCTCTTTCGTCTTTGGTAAGACCTCTGTTTGGCAGCTCTCTCTTTCAGCCTCATCTCTCGTGGCTCGCACCTGCCTGCCCTGCGCCTAGCACCCCTCTCCCCTCGGCGCGAGCCAGCCACGCTCTACCCTCCGCCAGCATGGCTTTGAACGAGCTAAACGGCGCTCTAGATGACGCGCTGGCGCTTGAGAAGGTCGCCGTACGTTCTCTGTGCTGTAGCCATGCACGCTGCAATGATTGTTGTCTGTACGGGCGGGGCTAACCGCCGGATCGGCGTCGCAGGTTGGACCTTACTGTGTGTTCGACGACTTCAGACCCACGACGAGCCCGTCGGACGAGCGCTCGCGTCCCTCCACCCCACTAGAGTCCGGGGTCAACATGGAGGACCCGATGCTGTCGACTGAATACCCTTTCGGCCCTGGCGCGCGTGCGCCGTGGCTGGGATCTGGTGCCGAAGACCTGTCGCTGGTGCAATCTAGCGATTCCTTCCCGCAAGGCAACTGGGACGAGTGGATGCGCTGGGACCCCAATGGGCAGACACAGAACCAGCCCGCGCAGGATATAGATGGCCAAGGTCCCGTCCACTACCTCAAGCCCGAAGCCAAGTCGCCCCACGAATCCAACTCGCTATCCCGACCGCAGATGAACAACATCCCCTTCACCTTCGGGGAGGGTATTGAGAACCCTCCCGCCTTTCACTTCAACAACCACAACAACTCTCCTTCCATAACCGAGCCTCAGCAGAGCACCTCGTACTTCTCGTCCGACAATCCCGTCTGGAACAACAACACCGCCATCGACCAGGCCGACAATGGCCTCTTCTCTCCGCTCTCTATCGACCAACAACAGATGCAATCCCAATCTGTTCCTCATCCGCCCCACTCGACACCCTCGCTCCATCACAGCCCGAGCTCCGTCAACTCTGGCCCGGACCCCAAGACGAGCTCCTCATCACAGCAATCGTCGCCCGAGCCCGTGGCAAATGTGGTCACGAAGAAGCGGAAGTCCTCGACCGAGGACGACAGCAGCACTGATCAGAAATCCAACAAGCAACCTCCCGTGAAGAAGACTGCTCACAACATGATCGAAAAGCGATATCGGACAAACCTCAACGACAAGATTGCTGCACTGCGTGACAGCGTGCCCAGCCTTCGAGTCATGTCGCGGGCAGGCAACGGCAACGGCAATGAGGAAGAGGACGATCCCGAGGACCTCGAGGGCCTTACACCTGCCCACAAACTAAACAAAGCAACTGTTCTTTCCAAGGCAACGGAGTACATCCGTCACCTCGAGAAGCGAAATAAGCGTCTTACCGAAGAGGTTGATGCTCTCAAGGGACGATTGGAATCGTACGATAAATTCGCCATGATAACCCCTAACCCGATGGCGCAGGCTGTCGGAACTCCCGATGGCATGCGATATCAGGAAGATCCTTTCGCTGCAGCTGCTGCACGCGGCCAGCCTGTCAGTCAGGCCCAAGGAATGATTCCAGTGCCCGAGAGCATTACGAATCTTCAGGCAATGGCCTCACAGTCGCACTACGCAAGCCAGCCGCCCGGTTATCCTATGTACACGACTGCCCCCGGAAGGCCTGGAATGAACGCTCAGCAGCACATGGTTAATGGCCGTAGAGGAAACAGCATGATGAACAAGCTCATGGTCGGTTCCCTTGCTGGTCTCATGATCGTTGAGGGCTGGAGGGAGCGTGAGGAAAGCGGGGAAAATCCCGAGGGCAGGGGTCTGTTCGCCCTACCCCTCACCTTCTTCGGACGATACGGAAGCGCCTTGGTGCCCAAGTTTGCTGCCCACGGCTTGTCTGCTCTCTACCGCTCCCTTCCGCTGCTGAAGCTTTTGCTTGTTCTTGCTGCCGTCGTCTACCTGGTCATCCCGGTCATTGATCCCAAGAACAAACCCAGGAAGAAGGCAATTCCGTCCATCAAGTTGCAGCCTGCGCCATCGCCTGCATCCCCGGTTGAGGTCCGTCGCAAGGCCTGGTTGACTGCCATCCAGACAGTCTGGGTACCGCGCCACAACTTTTTCCTCGAAGCTGCGGCCGTGTGTCTCAAAGCCCTTAAGCTCAGCTTGAGGAACGTTGTCGGCTGGGATGGATACGCATACGTCACTGGAACGACCAAAGAACACGAAGCTGCGCGTGTCAAAGCGTGGGAGATCGCTCTGGATGCGCAGCTCACTGGTGGCGATGCCGAAATCAGCAAGGGCAGGTTGATCTTGACGATCATGGCCTCGGGCACTCTCCCGAACAGTCCTGCGCGCCTGATGCTCAAGGCGATGCATATCCGCATTCTTCTTTGGGAGATCGCCAACGCGGGATACGGATCGTGGTACATGTTTGAAGAGATCAGCGCCAAGCTGGCTCGGAAGTTCTGGAACAAGGCGCGCAACCACCAGAAGACCTTGCTCCAATCCGGCGAAGAGACAGAGAAGCTTCCCGATCATCTGGCTGCGTTACTGGATCTCGAGTGCAATGATGTCATGGTGGACAGGATTGTGCAACGTGCGTACAACCTCGCCTGGAACAAGCCGAGCGCGCAGAACACCGAGTCCGACGAAGCCATGGACAGTGTTGTCGAGGATTTTGCAATCTCTTCGCCATTGGACGCTCTTGCCGCTTGGTTCTCGAGCTACGTGCTGAACCGGGCACTGGCTGGTTACCTCGAAGCCAATGTCTCGTTGGTTACGGACGAAGTCAAGGCCGATCTGAACCTCGCCGCTCGTACTGCGCCTCCCAACTCCGTCTCCCAGGTCAGAGCACAGGTTGCCAAGTCTATCCTCCTTGAGAAGGATCGCAACGGGAACATCATCGCCGCGTTCGATTCTCTTCCTTCGCAACCGCACATTCCTGCTCTCAAAAACAAGGTCAACTCCCCTCGGGCTTTGCTTATGAACGTGGTCGGCGAGGCCCACATCGCCGCTGACGTTCGCAAATCGCTCACACTTGTCAAATGCCTGGCGCTTGCAGAGACGTTTGTCGCGACTGGCTCCGACGAGGCACGGATCCGTGCCACGTTCGTTGTCAACAACACCTACTTGCCCGAGGGCTCCCTTACTCTCCTTAGCTTCATTGCCGCCTACAAGGTCCTCAGAATCTTCTCAAACGAGGAGAAGCTGCTTGCTGAGTCGCGACAAGGCCTGGAGCGTATTGCAAAGTCGATGCGTGTCTGGATCGGCCGTGAAGCCGGACGCCGCAGTGGGTTGAGCACCAAGACCAAGGGCAGAATTGTCGAGACATGCCTAAGTGTCAGCAAAATGCTTGTTGGCATGCCAGAGAACAGCAGCGACGAGGGCGATGCTGGCTACGCCAGCCAGAGTGATGTGGAGTGTGAAAAGAAGATGATCTCTTGTTGATTTCAGCGGTTGAAATCGATTCTTTCATGGCGTCACGGTTTTGGGATAACTCTCTGGCCATTGCAAGAAACAGTAACGAATTGTCCAAACCAAAGACGGTTTAGGACTGGGAACGTATTTGGCTTCGGCGTTTGGGTGGAGAACTCGAACAACAGAAAAAGCGGTCGACTTCAGTGTACGACTACGCTCTCCCCTGTTTTATGTTTTTGCTCGGCTGGCGGTTTGCAGCAAAAATCCACTCGGTTTCGACGTGGACTGGTTTTTTAACGATACCCAGCACCGCTGCTGCGTCTATCGCTTTGTACATGATATATTCTGGGACATTGGACTGCTTTAATCGTTGAGGCGCTTCGTCGGCATACGTCGCGATTTGATGTTTTACGTCTTTATGGAGTCCAAACAACCGTAGATGTTGGCGTAATTAGTTTTAGTTACATAGTCCTTTCTTCAGCTACGACGCCGCTGGGCTACACACCGGGCCTGAAAAATGAAAACTCCTCTCCGGCCTCATCACACCTCCAAGGTAGTCGAATGCATGCCTGTGCCAAATACAGTGCCACCTGCGATGGTATCGCTTGCACGCAACTGCCACGAGACGAGGCGACAAACGGCCGGGCACATAGCTACCGCTCTCCGTGCCTCGGCATTCGGGGAAGCTTTCCCACCCCAGATCTGCCCTTTCCCCCCTCTAAGTACCCCACAATTGCTTGTCTAACATGTCTCTCTGCACCTCATCGCAACGTTGCATAACTCTTTTCAACTTCACACATCCTCAGCAGCCGCCAACATGACCGCGCCCGGCCCACCAGCTGCTGCACCAAAGCGGCCCAAAGCTCTCCTCTTCGACATTGGCGGCGTTTGCGTAAGTGGCTTTTACTTTCCGTTCCCTCCCACCCACCACCCTCTTTGCAGCCAGCACAGGGCATTTCAATCGCACCAGAACGCAAAAAAATAAAACAAAAAAAATCACCGAACCAGAAACGAGGCAACGTCGCATAAACGATTATAATCATCTAATCACACACACACAAACAAACAGGTCGTCTCCCCCTTCCAGGCCATCCTCGACCACGAGCGCGCGCATGGCATCCCCGTCGGCTGGATCAACGCGGCCATTTCCGCCGCGGCGCCGGCGGGCGCGTGGCAGCGCGTCGAGCGCGGCGAGGCCGCCCTGGACGACGCCTTCTTCGCCGAGTTCGCGGCGGACCTGGCGGCGCCGGCGGCGTGGGGCGCGTTTTGGGCGAAGAGGGGGGTGACGTCTTCGTCGTCGCAGCTGCCGCTACCGCCGCCGCCGCCGCCACCGCCGAAGGTCGATGCCAAGAAGTTGTTTTGGGAGATGATGCGCGTGAGTAGGGCGCCGGATCGGTGGATGTGGCCGGCGGTGAGGGAGCTGGGGAGGGTGGCGGCGAAGGGGGAGGAGGAGGGAGGGGGGTTCGTGCTCGGGGCGTTGAGCAATACGGTTGTGTTTCCGGAGGGGGTGGTGGATGAGAAGGGGGCGGTGTTTGAGAGCGGGTTGAGGGTGGAGGGGCCGGGTGGGAAGGTCGAGGTGGGCGATGTGACGGCGGCGTTTGACGTCTTCATCAGCTCGGCGCACGTCGGGCTGAGGAAGCCGGATCGGAGGATCTATGAGATGGCGGTGAGGTTGTTGGATGAGGAGGCGAGGAGGAGGGGCGTCGAGGGCGGCGTGGGGGCCGGCGATGTGCTGTTTCTGGACGACATTGGGCAGAATCTGAAGGCTGCCAAAGAGATGGGGATGAGGACGTTGAAAGTCGATCTGGGGAAGAGCTTGAAGGCAGTGAGGGAGTTGGAAGAGATCATGGGGCTGAGCTTGCTGGCAGAGGAGGTGGCTGGCGAGAAAGCCAGGTTGTAGACCAGCCTGGGATTCGCCGAGGGACAGAGCATCTAGAACAGCGGGCGGTAAAGACTTGGCCTTAAGACTGTGGCGCATCAAGATAACGGCTTTTTGTTTCCGCTTGCACCCTCCGAGACGCCCTCTCAGAAGACTTGGTCTCTTTGATGTGCCCAATATTGCTAACAGTCGGCTATAGTCTCGCCTCCACTAGAAGAAACACCGGCCTCACCAATGAAGATGAGAGGGAGATATCTCATCAAGCGGACGATCCATTTGGCGAGTGTGTCACATCAGGCGATCGTACCTACTTCGTCGAGCGGACGCGCGGGGAACTGCTGCGCCGCTTGGGTGCGTGGGTATGACTAGTCACAACGACGCGGCCACGCTTGGCAAGTGGCAGGGGCTCTGATACAGGAAAAAGAAATTCGCGAGCTTATAGTCGGAAAGCTGGATCATGCCGCAGCCGCGAGAGCCATTCATCACTGATCGACCGACGCCGGACAGAAGTGGACCAGGACGGGCGTCGACCACGGCGTCACCGCTTGTTACAATACAGTGATGCCGCACAATACGTGCTGATATCCAGGCTGTTGCGGCTCTCGCAGCGTAGAACGACGCTTAGAACATGGCTATGGCCTTGATTACAAGCCAATACGATCTTGACGGGAACCAAACCAGGCGGCGAGAGTAGTGATCCGGATTCTGGGCGTCGCTGTGCCGCAGGTTGTGACCATGGGTCTCACGTGCTGAGGCGCGACCTACCTGAGGCCGCCCCACACCCCATACGTGATTTGCTCCTGGCGCCGGGATCGAATAAGCGCGTGACATCGCGCACTTGCCGCGTTGTGCTGGGAAGGCGCGCGGCTATGGGGCAGGCGCGCACCCACAGGCCGATTCCAGGAAGCTGCCAGGCGGAAGGAGCGCACCCAGTGCCAATTCCAGGAAGCTGCCAGACGGGAGGCACAACGTGGGGCTTGCCTCCACGCCGTGCATTTAAACCCTTCCTCCTGCTCTGTTTCGTTTCTTCCTTCTTCAGCTCCGCCCGCCCCTTCCACTCGACCAGGCCAACATGGCTTTTTCGCGGTTGTCCATCGACCCGCGTCGCAACACTGTGGCTGCCATTAATCACAATGCAGCTTCAGCCCCGCCCGGTTTGTTCGCCCGCTGCATCAACAACAACGGTATGCAGAATATCACTGACTCCAACCGATGACCATAGCACCTATCATGGGTAACAATGTTCGCCCAATTTTCGGCTCGGCCCCAGCTGCCTCCACGAACAACTTGAACCATATGGCCAATGGCTCCATCACCGCCGAGCAAGCCTTGCCTTCGCTAGATACAGGTGGTGGCAACCGTTCCGTAACCATCAGGTTCGGCCCATCCGACCGCCGTGACCGAACCCTCATGCCGGCGTCGATGACTTCCAAGCTTCCTAAGTCGGTTTTGGCTACCATCATGAAGTCCAGTAGCAAGACGCAGACGGACTTGGGCGACGGCGCTATCTTACTCGAATTCACAGCCTCGAAATGGTGTAAGAACCTCACCAGGCTTCGCCAGTTTCTTCAGACAGGCGAATACGCCCCGTGGGATGGTGGAGCCGAACTAGAAATCGTTGATCCAGTCGGCAATAAGGCTATCTGGGAATCATGGATGTCGGCTGCGTCGGACATCCACGATGCCAAGACGACAGAGACGACCCACAGGCTCTTCCTAGAGGAGCTGATGCTCTACAACTGGGCAGCTTGGGTGGGTTTCACTCAGCTGCAAGAGCACTCGTTTCGCAAACTACAGAACAACTTCCCCATCCTGGCTGACGAGGCTCTTGCCTTGGTCGATTTCTGCTGCCCTGAGACTAACGGTATTCAAACTACCGAGGAGATGAAGACTTTCGCTCGGGATGTTATCGCAAGGAACAAAAAGACGATGGTACTGCTTGACAACTTCAGAGAAGTATTCCAGAAGGCAATCAAGGACAACTTCCCTGCGACACTTCTCGAAGAAGCCCAGCATGACCTCGTGACGTACCTTAGGGATGTCCAAACCATGACAGGTTCGTTCAATCCTCGGGGGTAGGTGCGCGAACAGACTGACAGCCAAACAGAAACCACGCCTTCCTCGACCGGACACTTCTTGCTTCAACCCAAAACCCTAGAACTTTACATCAACAGCGGTGCCCTTTGTAAGGCCGCAAGGGATGGATACGGCACGCTTCTTCCGTCAAAGCCGGACCACCTGGGCAGACCAACACGTAATAAGGACTTCCACTTCGTCAAAGATGAGCTACTCATCCTTAGGTCTGAGTGTCGCACATTCAACCCGCCACAGAATGTCGTAGTAGAGAACTTGCAAGGACAGCGCGGCGATATGCTCAAGGAACTTCTCGCCCCGTTGGATCTGAATCTTCCCCCTAGACTGGCAGACCGGTTCGATATGGGTGTTGTCTCCCTTCCTGACCTGAAACTTGCACAACAAGTCCCGATCCCGACCGGACCGAAGGTCAAGACCGAGCACCCAGCTAGTAGCAGCGGCAGCCGTGGTCGCAACCACTCGAGAGAGAGAAAAAAGCGTAAGTACCATAGCCGCAGCCGCAGCCGCAGTCGCGGCCGCAGCTCCAACCGCGATCGCCGTCATCCGGAGCGCTGGTCTGACCCATACGGACGCCGTTAAGCCTGGGCCTCTTTCTGCTGCCTTTGCTTTGGCAGAGAAGGGTTGGTGGGCAGGTTTCTCCAATCTTGCTATTCAATTATTTCTCCGACTTGTTCACGGATAGAGGTCTGTCTCCCGTCATCACTTGGTCGGCATCATTGTTCTCCCGGGTGGAGAACGGTCATTCAGTTACGGAGGAACACTTCGATTCAGGGTAGTAGCGGCTTCCCTACATATTGTTGCAAACTCAGTAAGGAAAATAGAATCTCCTTTGAACATAGCAGTGTGTGCTTCATACTCGTGATGTAAATACATGCGACTGCTCTTGAAGCAGGCAAAAGGGTATCGCATACCGATATAGTCCCAAGTATGGCGAGAGATGACATGACAAAAAAGAGAGGTAGAGTGCGGGAGAGTAAAAAAAGAAAAAGAAGTAAAGCCCAGCCCAGCCCAGCCCAGCCCAGACATGCGTGCGCGCGCACGCACATCTGATGGAACCGCTCCCCTTCTTCCTTCTCTCCTTCCTTCCTCCTCTCCAATTCCAATAGCGGGCGATGACACACACCGGACGACAACGCGAGCGCTCTCGTCATCATCGTCATCGTCATTGTTTTAGTTCTTTTAAAAAAAACCCCCCAAACCTCCCCGTCCCTTCTTCTACTTCTTCCTTTTCTTCTTCCTCTTCTTCTCCTTCTTCCACTACTCCTCCTTCTTCTCACAACAACAACCAACTATCCTACAAATCCACCACCCCGCCCATCCCCACCCTCATATCCACAACATCAACCCTCCACCCCCTAAACCCCTCCAAGCCCCTCTTGACCTCCTTGACGCGCTCGATGCGCTTCCGCGCCTCCTCCTCCTGCGCGAGGCGGAACGCGTCCTCGTCGAAGGCGAAGTCGTCGTCGTCGTCATCGAGCAGGCCGACACCACCGGCGGCGGCGGCGGCAGCGCTATGTTTGCGCGGCGGGGGGCGGGAGGTGTTGTTGGACGAGCTGCGGCGCGGGGTGCCGGTGAAGGCGCTGATGCCGCTGTTGATGACGTCCTGGAGGGAAGAGGTGCCGGCGGTGCTGCCGTGGCGGTGGGACTGGCTGGGTCCGCGGGAGAGGCTGGTGGCGCTGGAAAGGTCGACGTCGTCGAAGCCGTTGCCGGGACCGGGGCCGGATGCGTCGTCCGTCATGCCGGGCTGCATGGCGGCGCGGTGGTCGCGCCAGATGCCGCGGCGGAGGTCCGTGTTTTCCTCCTCGAGGGCCTGGATGCGGGCGCGGAGCCGGGCGCGCTGCTCGTCCTCGAGCTCGTCGAGGCCGTCCTCGGCGCCGTGCGACGCCGCGTCCTGCTGCTGCTGCTGGAGGCGGGCGTTTTCGGCGGCGAGGGCGGCGGCGCGGGCGCGCAGCTCGCGGGCCTCGCGCTCGACCTTGTCGGCCTCGCGCAGCTTGGCCTGGCTGCGCGCGTCCGACTCGCGGTGCAGCGTCGCGAGCGTCTCGGCCTTCTTCTCGAGCGTCTCGGCGCGTTTGGCGGCGTCGGCGGCGGCGCGCTGCGCCGCGGCCAGCTCGGCCTCGAGCTGCGCGATGCGCGTCTCGGCGGACGATCGCGAGTCGCCCTCCTTGGCGGCGCTCTCGCTGGCCTTTTCGAGGTTGGTCTTGAGGTCGGAGAGCTCCTGCGCCGAGGCGGACGCGGCTTGCTCGGCCTTGGAGAGCTGGTCCTGCAGCGAGGCGATCTTGTCTTCCTGGCTCGCGGCCGCGGTTGAGGCTTGCGTGAGCTGCGCGTGCAGGTTGGAGACCTCGAGTTCGAGGGACTCGATTGTGCTGGACTTGGAGGCGAGCTGCGAGGCGAGGTCGTCGTTTGAGGGAGAGGCGCTCGAGACGCGGCGGTTCTGCTTGGTTTGATTTTGAAGCTGTGCGTTCTGGCGTTGAAGACTGGTCATTTCCGTCCGCTGCGTGAAAAGCTCCTGTTAGACGCGGACTGCCGGGCATTCGTGAAGCGCAGGGGAACATACCAACGTGTCGACCTCCTTGGACTTCGCTTCGACTTGGTCCGCCTTTGCCTTCAGCTCCGCGACCTCATTGTTGGCCTCCCGCAGCTCCTCGAGCTCGTCCTCCGTCTTCTTCCACCGCGTCTCGGCATCCTGCGACTCCGTCTGCAGCCGCTTGTTCTCCCTCTCCAGCTCCTCAATCCGCAGCACCTGCTTCCGATATATATCCTGCACATCGTCGCCTGGACTCAGCGGCAGGCCTGGCGACTTCAACGCCGAGGGCGAGCCCATGGCTGCCGCTGACGAACTTCGCCGGAATGAGTCTGACCGCAGCTTCGACTGCACAGATATGGATGGCTGACGCCCATGCGCCGGCCGAGTCGGGGCAGCAGCGGATTCCGCGGGCTTCTCGGCGTCGGCGTCCCCAGCTTCGGCGCCTCCATCCTTGGTATCCGTCTCCTCCGGCTTCTCCTCTCCCTTCGTCTCCTCGCCCTCGGCGGCGGGCGATTCGGCGGTCGCGTCGGCAGGTTGCTGCTCGTCGTCTGCGGCGGGGGCGGCGTCGGCCTTGGGCTCGTCGAGCGTCTCGTCTCCCTTGCTGTCGGCAGCCGCGGCAGCTGCAGAAGCTTCGGAGTCTGCGGCTTCGGCCTTTTCCTTCTTTTTCGCGCCGCCCTTCTTGCCTTTTTGTTGCTTCTTCAATTGCTCGAACTAGAGGGAGTCACGCGCGACGTGGCCGTTAGCTTCGCGGAGCTCTGCGAACGGGACAACTATCCAACATGGGGTTCGAGGGTCTCGTACGCGCTTCTTCGCCGCAGCGAGCTTTTCGGCCTTTTCTTTTTCTTCGTCCGCCATGGTTGGTTTATTCGTCGTTGGAGGAGAGGGATTGGTGAGGTGGTGGGGAAAGCTTGGGATGGAGCTCGAGCTTCACGCGAGTGACAGCCTCCAGGTCCGTGATCCCGTGATCGGACTTCCTCCTGCCCGATTCGGTAAGTTAAGAACACTCTCTCGCTGTACAGTCATGGCCTCTGATAGGTAGACTTGGGGAATCAATCGACACTGGTGTCCTAGCTGAGCCTCTAGAAGTGCCTATGTAGGACAAGCACCCAACCTACAGATTCAGGTCACGTGTATTGGTGTTCGTATGAGTAGTATTTCTTGGATATCATTTCGAGCCACTTTTACTGCATGCGGGATCTCGATGGTCTATACTAATTTGCGCTCACTCAAAGACAAGTTGAAGGTAGGATGTGGCGAGATTCGGCTCACTCGCTCTCTCACTCCTTCTCAACCACCATCTGTATATCCTTCCCCCTCATGGCGACATCGCCCTGCCACTCCATCATGTCCACGCTCTCCTGGACTTTACCGTCGGGGAATCCGCTCATCCTGCTGAAGACCCAGACCTTGCCCTTTCCGCTCTCCTCGTCCACCTCGGCAATGACGTCCCTGATGTCGAGATGGAAGGTGGGCATTTTCGTCATGGCGGTAGAGAGCATCGCGATGAACTCGGCACGGTTGGCCGTCGAGGGTTTGTTGAGGTGCGTGGCGCAGAAGGAGGGCGAGACGTGCTGTTGGATGAAGGGCGAGTCGTAGTCGCGCTTGTTGCAGAGCGTCGTCATCATCTCGCGCGCGAGGTCTTTGAGCGCGGCGGCCGAGGTCATTTTCTCTTCTTGAGTGGATGCAACTGAAAGTGGTGGTGTGTAGTGACCGCTACGCAGTTGAAGGCTGGCCGCGCTGAAAGAGGTCCTTCGGTCGAGTTTAAGTGTCCTGCGTCCTCGGTGTGCGGTTCTCGCATGTTACACATAGCCTATGGGCGCGGACTGTGAACCCGGAGATATAGAGGGGAGCCGTGTCGGACAGCCCCAATGCGGCCTTGTTCGACTACCAAAAACGGTTCGGCTGTGCTAGCTTTGCCTATGGTATTCCAAAAGGTTGTTCGAGCGGTAACAACACCTTTGGTCTACCATGCTTGCAAAAATACCCAGCAGAACAACTTCGCTGAATTCATATCAGCCCTAAGGTAGACTCCTTAAAGGTGCCAGTCCATGGCCTGGAATAAAGGCGAGGGCGACGCGTCTGCCCGTGTAAATGAAACGCACGAATTGCTTTCAGAAGCGTCAAGCCGGTCTCCGGGTCCTGGCACTTGTCGGCAAGAAAGGGCATGGAGATGGACTATGTCGAGAACAAAATCTGTCGGAAAATTAACGAAAGGTACACCGAACTTGGCGAGCTGTTCAAGGGTCGACGAGATCTTGCCGTAATCCCTACGGTCTTTGCTCACGGAAAACTGAAATGCGAGGAATTTTTTCATGGAAATCAGGTATGCGACCTTGAGAAGCAGGTCGCTCGAAGTGGGGGGCATGCGACCGGCTGTGAGCTCCCTGAACTTGAGCATCTCTGGGCCACCAAGCTCGTATTTTTCAAAGTCCTTTGTTATCGGGAAGTAGGGAGGGCGTTGCCAAGGGCGTTTCGTGTTCATCTCGTCGGGAAAGTGAGACAGAAGCATCTCAAGGACTTTGATCGCAACTCCCTGAAACCTGTGAACCCACTCCTGAGCCATCAGTTCTTCGATGGGGTATCTTTCGATCTTCCGGTTGGGGTTGGCACCGGCTTCCAGAAGAACAGCCAAACTTGGCAATGCATTTTCGATTTTTGCCCGTGTCGAACACTTTCCGAGCGATCTTATCCAAAGGTGAAGCGGAGTATAGCCAAAGACTTCATGCTGACTCTCTGGATCAACCCCATGGTCGATGAAAGCGGACATGGCTTCGGCGTTCCTCTCGCCCTGGAAACACTTCCAATGGGGTCCGGCAGCAAGCGTTCGAAGGAGTTCTCCGCCAATAGCACGACTGCTGGCCAGGTTTTGAGCCAGGAAATGGGGCATGTCCACCTTCCAACAGTGGAATAACAGTGTATGAGCCACAGTAGCACCCGAGTGTACCTGGGGCGGCGCACACAATTGATTGAGGTCCAGTCCCCAGAGAATCAAATGCACGAGGGACTTCTTCTCGTCTTCGTTGATGAGTGATACCCAATCCGGGTGTTCAGTCCACGGTTCCAGGAACGTCTTGGAGTGTGCCGGCGTAGTTTGATCCGCCGTTAACAATATCCGCGCCATGCAGGTCGAGTGGGCATGATTAGGGCCCCCATACTCTCGTTTTCGTCTGGATAGAGCAATATCCAACGCTGGAAGCCTGTCACACCAGGGGAGGTGGATGGTAGCTAGTAGGACTAATTCCACAATCTGAGGGTTCTGTGTGCAGAGGACGGCAATGGACAGCGCTTGATGTCCGTTCGCGTCCTTGGGTTCAGTTGAGGCTCCCCTCGCCAGTAGTACCTCTACCATGGAGATGGCGCTACTAGTGACAGCCGTCATCAAAGGAGTGTGGTGAGGATATGTTTGGGCCCGTCCGTTGATGTCAGCGCCTGCATCGAGTAAAGCCTCGACAACTTCCACAGAAGAGGTCTCCACAGCCCAGTGAAGGATTGGGTTCCCATAGAGCTTGTGGAACCGTGCTAGCCCCGGGTAGGCGGTCAATGAAGGTATCGTTTCGTTGGCAACATCGGGATTCAGCACCATACGCAACTCGGTCACATTTCTGCGCTCAATGCAGTCTATCGCTTGCCATATAGTTCCAACAGGAAGAGGATGGAACCCAGGCGGGGCATTAAATCCCGATACAGGCTGGATGTTGGATGCGATCGGCCATGGTTCCGAGTCGAACGTTGGGTTGAGCATTCTTGATTCGCGGCGTCCTGTCAGATTTTCCCATAGAGCATCGTAGTCATCGAGGGCTTCGCACTCACCTGGAAGAGTGCCCGTTACTCTCACTCAAGGATGGGGTGAGAGTAGAAGGTCCGCTGGTTTCCATCGTGCCAGAGGGGGCAGGGACTGGGCGATTCATCCGCGCGCTCTTCTGTGGTGTGCTCCTCTTTTTCAGCCCCCACTCGTTGAGTTTACTTCGGAACGATCTCTCACTAAGGGCAGATGCGACATATACGAATTTAGCATGAGATGCAGACAGTGGTGAAACATGTGGACCAGAATAAGGGTCAGATCCCGGGAGAGACAGTCGACTTACGATGCATCGAAGTTTTTGCGAAGCCTCAGGCAACGGCGGACATCTTTCAGCCTCCTTCCTTCGCCCTCAATCATCCTCCGAATGTCCAGCTCCACCTCATCCCACTGGATTTTCTTTGCGCCTTTCGTCTTCGCCATTCCGATAGGAAATCGAGGAAGGAATATGAAAACAGAATGCTGTCTGTAAACGGAGCGCCAGACGTGCTTTATGATGAGGAGGAAACGAGCTGCCGTGCTTTTGACGGATTTAATGGTGAGGGCGGCAAAAGGGTCAGTGCCACGCCGCAGCAGCCCTGGACGGGAATCTCACACTCGTATGCGCGCAAGGCGCAGGCCACACACCAATCAGAACGCTTCCCGATCGCCGCGCATCGTGGCAGGCGATGGCTGCCTTGGAGCTGCGAAGTGCAAAAGTGATTTTGCACAATTTCCTGCAAAACACCGATGATGGTGACGTTAGCTTGTGCAAAACCAATGCTCCCTCCTTTTGCACAACCCGCCAGGATTAACGGCGACCAGGGCTCGGATTCCGGCGCTGTGGCGTTAGTTTTTGCATCAGATCTGCGCAAATCAATTCCCTAACCGTTGCTAACACCTTGGTGATGATCCCATGGTTTTGCACATGGTTTTGCACAGAAGCTGCCTACCGTCATGCCAGCTCATGCCCACTATCTCAATGCTAATACGGCTTTTGCACCTTCATCCAATTGAAGCCGTCATGATTAGAGCAATACGGCTGCCCGTGCCTTTTGCACACCAACCCGTCAATCTGGAGTTTGCACTGAGCAAAAGAAATCAGGAGGTGCTAAAGTGCAAAAGATGTGTTTACCTTCACCCACCATATATTTGGCCTTCTTCTCTGCGCAAGAAGCAGACAGTCAATCAAACTCCGCTAGAGGGCATTCTTCTCGACCCTTTCAACTCCTACGACGCACAAAAAGCGCATCGTCTCGATCCAAGCGTATCTGTCACATCCTCCAAAGTAACTCGCGGTCAGATCTGAGGTGGGTATAAGCACGTCAGCTACATCTGGTGAGAACTGGATTTCCAGGAAGCTCTTACTGACTGCCATGACTGCGCAGAAACCCATCCCAAGCCCTTTTACAATGTCGAACAACTCCAACCGAGTTCAACTCACCACCGCCAACCTCGCCGCGCACACGGCTGTCTCGAACGCCACCGCACCCGCTGGTAACAGTGGCGATCATATCCTCAGGGCGGCCCTTGAGCTCGGCTTTGAGATGCCGAGCGGATGGCGAGGCAGTCAAACAGCTTGCCAGCTGCCCATGGAGCGATATCTCACCGAGCGCGACGATCCCTACGCCGTTCGCGCCCTTGATGAAAATACAAAAGCCAAAGATAGTCAGAGACCAAACCTCTGAGTTATGAGGTTGAGGGTGAAGGTCAGGAATTTTCTAAAGCGCGAGAAGGATGTGGTCTTGAAGGGCGCGATGTCATTGCTTACCATGCTACTTTACCCATGTCTGACTCTGCCATGTCGCGGTTCCTGGAGGTCTCCCTTGTTATGGATAGATGTCGGATCGAATTGAAATAACGTCTAGGATATGAATATGCAAGTTTTGGGAGTCGTACCGCTCCGTCCGCCGCCGTGAATCCATGCCTGTCTTTTGTTGTGTCTTCGTTCTTGAACCTTGTCTTTCAAACTCCAACGAACTCCAACTCGACCACCTCAAGTCACCTTATCTCCTGGACCCAAACATCTCCTTGCCAAAAGTGCCCTTGCCCTCTTTCTCCGTGACCTCTTCTATCGCCTTGACAAGATCGTACTGGATGTCCTCACTGACAACACTGTCCTTCTCATACTTCGGGTGCTCAGCCACAAACCGACGGATCCACTTTGCCGCTGTCCAAAGCGTGCCATCAGCGCGACGCCTGATCAGGTCAAGATAGCGAGCGAGATCACAGCGCGTCTCGACGTCAACGTTCATGCTGTCGAGATACGACTCCACGATGGGAATCAAGCCGGGGAAACCGTTAGTCGTGGCCTGACCGTTGATGATCTCCGCGACAGTCATGAGGCTGTACTCGCTCTCGACCGGTCCAAGCGGAGGGGTGGATGCGCCACTATCCACAGCCGGCGAGGTGGTGCCACTACCGCGCTTGCTGCCATTGACCGTACCCGGATGACGAGAGAAGGGGTCATTGCGGAACCAGAACTTGGACGAGTTGACAGCGTCGCGTGTGTGAGCAGTCTCCATGTTTTCGGTGACCTTTGCGATGGGGATGTAGAAGTTCAGATCGTAGGACAAGATGGCACGGGTGATCAGCACAATGAAGATGCTGAACGCCGCGTTCTCGAAGTCCGTAACCTGAATCTCCATTGGCCGGAATTCGACACGCCAGCCAATATCACTGCCGACTGGCGGGGGCTTGAAACGCATGTGCTGCCAGTTCGTTGATTGCAGGTTCTCAAAGTGGTCCACCTTGTCCAGATCAAGCTCCTGCAGATCTTCGTTGAAGACGACGATCGGGTCACGGATAAAAAGGTGCGCGAAATGAGTAGCAAGCAGATCGTCCATGCCTCCATCAACCAGGCGTTGCTTGAGTGCGGTATCAACGATGAGCTCTGGGTCGAGGTACTCCTTACGAAGCCGCGGATCCTGGGCGATGTAAGTTGAGTTGGACGCATATCTCGATTTCGGGATCCGCCAGCGGTCATTCTTCAGCGGCTTCTCTCCAAGCTCCTCTGCTGTACGGCAGTCTACGGCTCTGCTGATCTGGTTCCACCGCACATCGGTGTCGGCGAGGAAGCCTTTGTAGATGGGCGTGGCAGCAGTCAAGGCGAGCAGAATGGGGCCAAGAGGACTCAGTTGATCATACATCTTCCGGCCTTCTTCGATGTTTTTGGACTGGAAAGTGATTTGCAAACAGCAGCTGCCCATGCCGAAAGCCATGGCGTCCATGTAGATGTGGTTTTCCTTAGCGGCGCCATTGCGGACGTCGTCATCTTCGGGCCAGTTGTGCATGTCGTAGTTGACGGTGGGATCGTGGAACGGCCATGGTGTGCGCTCGTCCTTGAATACCGGCACGTTGATCTCGACCTTCCGGCCTCTCCGAGCCCTTATGTTTGCAGCAAGGGTCGGGAACCTTATATGGGGGTTCGCGATCTCATCCGGAACATACTGCGAGCGAAGCTTGGGACCGGAGGGAGGGTAGTAGGGAGTAATGTAGTCGCCCAGACCGAGGCGCGGAAAGGTAGTCATGGTGATGGGAGCCTCGGCGGGGTCCATGTGCTCCTTCGCGATGACGCGCCTGGAATGTGCTCAGCAAAGTGTCTCGCAGCAGCTTCAGGTTGACACCAACCTGCGTTTCATGTTTGGTTCGACATCGAGCAGATCTTTGAAGCCGATGCCCCATGGTTTACCGGGCGTCGTTTCCAGCATGAACCGCCCGAACTCGGGGTGAAAGACCGGGGCGGTATCTCCCTTCCTGTGGCGCCCATGTCAGTGCCTGGCAACCCCGCGTTACAACAGCCTCACTGACTTGACGTCGACCTGCTGCATGTCTGGCACGCCGCCCCCTTGTTCCAGCAGCTTCTCATCGGAGGCCAGGGCAGCCAAGATGTCTGCCTGGCGCAGGGACAGCTTCGCCTTGCGGTTCTCGTCATCGTAGGCGACGACCAGGTATTCGATCTGCTCCGCACTCAGCGATTGTGCCTTGCAGGCGCGGGTGGGCGGCAAACCTCGTCACCCCAGAGCATGGCGTCGCGCTCCTTGCCCTTGGCGCGGCGCCATGTGGCCAGCAATTGCTGCGTTGGTGCACATCAGCATGCGTCATGGCCTGGTTGGGAGGGCGCGTTGTTTACCTCTATGCCCCATTCGCGCACCTTGCCGGCGACCTGCTTTGCGTCCGGCCAGTCAAGAGGGGTACCGAGAGCTCTGGCGGCATGCGGGTCAGTATGGGCTGCAGGCTGAAAGGCTGAGTGGGCGGCTGGTCTCACAAAAGACCCATTTCGCTGGACCCCGCGCCGTCAGACGTCAACCTTCGTTTTCGCTGCGGTCCGGAGATTGGACCCTTCGCACTTGTGGTGGGGTGCGCAATCGCCGAGGCTGGCGCGGCACGGGAGACAGTGCGGTGCGATCACGCGGGCCTCTGCTCTCGCGCAGACGGGGAACGGTGGCAGGTGCAGACGGGTGCAGGCTTCACGGACGGGAGATGGTGTGGGCTTTGCTAAGAACTGCGCGCGGCAGGGACGGACAGCGAGCCGGACCGCAGCCAGGCACCTGAGGCTCCGCGCCGACGGACGGCATCGCGGGGCATCATGATGATGCGGCGCCGTTGCTGATAAATCAGCACCTATCGGCGGCCCAAGGGCGCGCACAGCGGGAGCACAGGAGCGCCCGGGACGCGCTGTTGCTGGCCGTTATCACGTCCGCACGTGCGCATCTGGGGGAGCGCCGGATCATGGACGGCATCGAAATTGGCCACGCACAGAGCCGGCAATCTTCATCACGACTGCGCGGCACACACGAGGCGCAATTACCACCGCGGACGGCAGACGGGCGATCATGACATGCTTTGGGGCGCAATCCGCGCGGCCGGCGTGCTTCAGACGCCTGCCCGGGGCTGCCTGGGGCTGCCGGGCACGCAGCGCTTGTTGCGCGTTCCTTGCCGGGGCGTTGTTTGATGAGCAGCGCCTGGGGCCAGCCCGCGAGGGTTCTGCGGGCGTGGGCTAGCGTCCCACGCCGGCGCCGAGCAATGCGAAACGAGCGGTCAAGGCGTCGCCTCAAGGCGTGAAACAGCTCGCCGTTGCGGCCACGAGACGGAAATAGATTACTGCACAAGGCGCTTTCGTGCGCTTTGTGCGGCACGTTCTGCGGTGGCGAGTGGCCGCACCCCAGCGCCCGCGATCAGCCTGCGGCCTGCGCCCCGCGATTGGCTGGCAGGGCCGCTTGACAGCGCAGCGCACTCACGAGACCTGGGCGTGCCCGCTGGCTGCATACGCGCCCGGCTCCAGTGGCTCGCGCGATTAGACGCCGGCCCGCCGAGCCCTCACCGCCCGCTCCCACTGGTCGGCGTGTCGGCCTGGCGGCGGCCGGCATGCGGCCGCGGCGACAGGCGGGCGCCAGGTGGGCGACAAGCGCACCAAGGAAACAGCGGCCTGCTCGCTGCTGCCGGAAGGACGCGGCGGCACCGGGGTGCTTGGCGCGTCGCGGGCTGTGGATGGCAGCAGAGGTGCGGGCCAGGCGCATGGGCGTGCGCGCAGGGAGCAGCGCTCAGGCCAGACGCCGGCTCCACCCCTGAATTGCTGGCTGGAATCGCCGTCCCCTTTGGGCGTAGCGCCGGCGCCGAAGCTTTCTTTCACCAACCAACAAGAACCCGGCCTCGCTCGCTCTCTGCTTTTCCTCCGCCCGTCTTCTCCCCTCCGTTCGCCGCTTTCTGGCCTTCTCGTCACCTCCCTCTTCTCGTTGTTCCTTCCCGTTCGCCCGCCCGCGTGATAGCGCCGCTGCGGTTGTCGTTGCCTTACATACTTAACTGGCCCGACCGCCGCCTAATCTCGATCCAGCGCGCCTGCGTCGTCGCTCCCTTGTGCTTTGCAGAGCAACCAGCACCGTCTAGTCTCGTCGCGACAAGCTCCCATCTCCCGTGGCCAGCTTTGCGCCTTTAGATTCCGCGTCTCTTTCCGCCGCTTCCTGTATTCACTTGCGTCCGCGTCGCGCCCAACACTCAGCTACAGCCTGATCCGACCCGGGAGCCCCACGCCAACCGCCTCCTAAGGACCCTGTTGCGTCACTTTCCCGCCGACCGCGACCTCGCCTTCTCTGCTTTTGGACTTCCTACTTTGCGATCCCTTGTGATCTCTAATCCTTAATTCGGTCCGCCTTTTCATCCTTGGTTACTGTGTCTCAGCGCGCTTGCCTGCCGCAGAGTCCTTATTTGTACCACCTTCGGCCGCCACCTTACCCGCGCGTCTTCGACGACACGTGCGTCCATCGACAGCGTCTCCGGCAGCCGTTCGATCTCTCGGAATCCGCGCGCCGCCGTTCGCCCGCTGTTTGCACTCGCAGCCTGTGACTCACGGCCACCCTCAGAGCTCCTTTTTCTCTCGTACAAAGCCACTATCCCTCCTAGGCCGTTCATCACAATGAGCATGGACGCTGGCGGTCTTGCTCAAATGACCTACAACAACAACTTCGCCTCCAATGGAGGCTTTGGTGGTCCGACCTCCTCCTTCGCTTCGCGCGGCAAGGGTAACCACCTGAAGCGTCTCAGCGCTGCCGCACCCCCGAAGATCGGTTCCATTAGCGAGCATCCCGTCAACGATCAGCCAACCCCCAGGACTAGCCGCTCGCACCTGCTCGCTGGTCTGCGCACTGCGCCCAAGACTCCTGGTGGAGTTCCCCAGTCTGCCCCGTACAATCAAAACCAGTTTGGCGGCATGGGTAACCCCAAGCAAGCCGGTTTCAATGCCGGTCAAAACTACGGTGCTCCCCAGACCGCCATTGGCTCTGGGTTCCCCATGGGTCATCAGAACCAGTATGGTCTGAACGCTGGTCGCCAGATCTACTCCCTTCCCGAGCAGGTGCTTGCTCCCCCGACTGTCCAATATGACCACGATGACTCCACCGACATGGACCCCAACTTGGCTGCTCAGCTCATGGCTACTGAGATGTACCTTCAGCAGCGCCAACAGCAGCTTCAGCAGCAACTTCTCAGCCTTACCGCTCAGCAGTTCGCTGGCTTGAACCTCAACGGCGGCAACATGCGCCCTCAGTACCCCATGACTCCCATGACACCTCAGTCTGGTTACTACGGCCAACAGTTCCAGCAGCAGCAGCAGCAGCAGCAGCAGCAGCAGCAGCAGGATGTTCATGCTGGCGTTCAAGTTATCTACAACCCGATCACTGGCCAGTACCAATACGTCACGGACCAGAACACGCAGCCGCCGCAACTCTCAGACTCGCCGCCGCCGCCTACCCCGAGCTTCACCAACTCGCCGCCCAAGTCTGGAACGCCTGTTTCCCGCCAGTCTCCTCCGAACGAGAGGCAGAACCCATTCGAGCGTTACTCGCGCAACTCCAGGAGCTCTTCGCCCCCTAAGAAGTCGCAGACGCCTCCGATTGACGTTACGCCTCTCCCGCCGCCTTCTGCCAATGCCTTCCGCCGTGGCCACAAGAAGAACGTCGCTTCTCTGACGCTGAACAACCTTGAGTCGGCTGCCGACGGTCCCAAGTCTGCCTTTGTCCGCTCCGTCGGTTTTCCCCAAACGCCGATGACTGGCACCTTCGGTCCTGGTCAGGCTCGTGCTGGCGAGCATCCTGCCCGCCAGCCGCGTGGCCCCCCGCCGCTGGAGGAGCTCCAAGCCGCTCCTACGGCCAAGCACGAGGGCAGCAAGAACTTTGCGTCCCGTCAGCGCCGTTCAGCCGTGCGCAACCTTGTGCGCGCTGGTATCGAGCGTCGTGGCGTGCGCAGCGGCAGTGGTGGCTGTGGTACGCCCGTCAGCGAGGCCGACCTCAGCTTCCCTGTTTCCTCTGACAATGACTCGGACAGCGTCCGCAGTGGCAGCCTTTCTGGCAAGCCTAGCATCGGTAGCCTCCGCGCCGCAGCTAGTGGAGCCATTGGCTCCGAGAGGAAGGCCTCCAAAGAGCGTCTGCGGGAGAGGACTGGAAGCGATGGCTGGACTGCCAACACCATGAGCAGCGACGAAGAACTTGTCGAGGTCGTCGTTGAGGAGTCCAAGGGCAGGAAGAAGACGCCGATGTTGGTGCTCACCAGCGCTGAAAAGCGCAAGAGCTCCATGTTCTAAGGAGCGCAAGCCGATCAAGAGTGGCAGTAGCTGTCGAGGAGATGTCTCGGCTCCGGTTGATCTGAGCTGTGATGACTATCTCGACAGCTTGTATACACATCGTGGCTGCCGAGCCGCAAGCTTTTTACGGCCTTTCATGATTACTCTTTTGCGTTGTTGATTCGAATACTTTCTTCGGTGGCACGATTGCTTTTATGTTCTCACTTGCCGACCGAAGTCCACATACCCCTGGGCTTTTGCATTTCACCTTCTCCACTGCACTTTTAACGTCCGATTTTTTCCTCCTTTTTTCGTCTAATGCACAATGTCTGGCTTTCTGGGTTGCGAAACTGGGAAATGGGGTACGGAACAGAGCACTTTCTTTGACCGAAGCGAAGTACACATGAGGGGCATGGGTTAGAGATGGATATCGGGTCCTTGAGTGCTCCTGCTTGGCTGAGCCGGGTTGGAGTCTTGAGAAGCTTCGCTCTTTCATCTCCCTTCTCGACTCTGTATGTTCTTTCTCTATTTTTACTTTGGTTGCGGTGGTATGGACACAGATTTGTTGGCGGATTGCCTGGTGGCGGCGCTTCAACAGAAAGAAAAACGGTGAAGTCAGCGAGGGCGGCATCTGGCTCTGGAAGATGGGAAGATGGTCGTCTTCAGCGGCCCCTGCCCATAGTGTTGGGAGGCTGCGGAGTCTCACTCCTTTTGCTGTTCACTTCGGGGTATAGGAGGGCGATTCCTAGGATGAATGCAATGTTTGATGTGAATATTGGCTTCCGTGCTTGGTGATCTGTGGAACCGTGTATATGAAAAATAGATGAAAGTCATCAAGCACGGTGAAAGCACAGAGGGAGAGCACGGATATAGGAGGTGCGTGCTCGGAGAGTAACGTCAAGGCTTGTACGTACCCGGGACGGCGGACGGCGGAGGGGCACCTGCACCCGCGAAAATCAACCCCGCTGCCTATTTTCGTCCCGCGACCTTGCGCAACCTTCCGCCATCTCACTTCCTTTGCTACCACGCTCTGACCCCACGAACGAAATTCATTCCGGGCAAATTCCAATCCACGCCATCACGCGCACAGCCCGTCGAATCTCGCATCCCGCGACCAAAAATACCCCCACCACCACCACCGCCCGCAATGGCGACCGTGGGCACGCACGACCTCCCGCGACTCTTCGCACCACCACCACCACCACCTTCGTCATCTCCCGATGCCGCCGATCCCTCCTCCTCCTCCACCTCGACCGCATCACCACCACCACCGCCCTACGAAGCCCCGCAAATCATAACACAAGGCGCCGAGGCGCTCGTGTACCGCACGGCGTTCCTCGCGCCGTCGCGGCCGGCGATCCTCAAGCACCGGCCGGCCAAGCCGTACCGGCACCCGACGCTGGACCGGCGGCTGACGAAGCAGCGGATACTGGCCGAGGCGCGGACGCTGGTGCGGCTGCGGCGGGAGGGGGTGGCGGTGCCGGGCGTGCTGGCTTGCGATTGGGATGGTGAGTCTTTTATTCTTTATTTTTTGAGTTTTGTTTGATTTTTTTGGGGGGGATTTTGGGAGGGAAGGGGAGGGAAGCGGTCAATTGAATGAGTTGCTGATCGGTCCGGGGGTTTTTCTGCTCTAGCTGGATGGCTGCTCATGGAGTTTATTCCTGGCCATACGATTCGCGCGTGCTTGGATCGGTATCTCCACGCGGCCGCCATTGCGTCGACGACGACGACGACAACGACGACGACGGGCGCGGAACAGCGGCTTCCTTCGGCCGTTGATCAAGGTGGTCGCGAAGGGATAGGAGCTGCTGCTGCTGCTGCTGCTGCTTCCGCGACGGATGCCGGGGACTTTCAGGAAGGCAAAGACAGCGTCATCGACGAGGACGCGGTGCCGGAGCTGTGGGACCTGATGACGCGGGTGGGGCGCGCGGTCGGCCGCATGCACAGCGTCGGCGTGGTGCACGGCGACCTGACGACGAGCAACCTGATGCTGCGCACGGCGTCGGCGTCGGCGGCCGAGGTGGCCGACGCGCAGCCGGAGAAGGCGCTGGAGGGCACGGTGACCATCATCGATTTCGGGCTGGCGGGCGCCACGCTGCAGGATGAGGACAAGGCGGTGGATCTGTACGTGCTGGAGAGGGCGTTCGGCAGCACGCATCCCGCGGCGGAACCGCTGTTTAGGGAGGTGTTGAGGGCGTATGGGGATAGCTACAAGGGGGCGAAGGTGGTGTTGAAGAGGTTGGAGGATGTGAGGATGAGAGGGAGGAAGAGGAGCATGCTTGGTTGAGGGGGGGTGCGGTGTGTCTGCAGATGACTTGGTGCTCACGGCTGCTGAGGTGGGGGCTTGGAGAGCACTGTTATCTTTTGTCATTGGATATCAAGAAGAAGAACAAAAATACCCGGAGGGCGTGTGTAGGCTACGAGAAGACGATATGAGAGAGTCATTTCCTTTTTCCCCCGTTCTTCTTTTCCTTCAACCGTATCTCATTCCAACCGCTCTTCGCCACCCCGTCAAGAGAATCCGCCCAGATACGACCGCCACGTAGAAGTGGCTCCATACCTCCCCCTAGACCTCCCTCTCCTCCGCCTCGTCCTGCTCCGCCTGTGCCTCTCCTCGACGACCCAGCCTTCCGGCCCGTAGTACACCCCTTCGTCCTCGTAGAAGCCTCCGGCGCCACCACCGCCCCTCATCAATCCCAGGTCCATCACTTCCCCCAGGACCCTGCCTCCTCCACGATGATGATGATGATGATGATGATGGTGATCATCGCGACTCAACCAAAAATGCTCTCTCAAGTCGTCGTCATAGTTCCGGTCACCATTGGCGTCACAGCCACCGCTCCGCTCGAAGTGGTCGGGCCAGCTGGCGAAGCATTCACGGCAGCAGGCGCAGTGGAGGCTGTTGCGGCTCTTGTGCGCGGTGAGCAGGTAGGGCGTGTCGAAGCGGTGGTCGCAGTGGCGGCATTGGGAGGAGCCGATGGTGGCGGTGCTGTGGTGCTGGTGGTGGTTGTGGCGGTTTTGGTCGTTGTCGAAGCGGGGGAAGATGGTGGGGTAGTCGGGGGAGGGGGATAAGGAGGTGGAGCGGTTGTTGGGGTAGACGTTCATGTGGATGGTGGCGTTTAGGGTGGCGCCGGAGTGGAGGTGGATGGGTGGGTAGCCTTGGGGGTGTGAGAGGTTAGTTGCGTGTTTGTTGTTGGGGTGGTGGCTCTAGGACGCACTGGAGTGGGTTTGGCCGTGTATTGGCTGTGTGGTGTATACTGCTTGGTTTAAGTTCGGGGCGGCTAAGTGCCTGGAGCTGCGTGGGGCTTGGATGAGCTGTTCGGGGTAATAGTCGATTCGCTCTGGCAAATCGAAGTGCGATATGCCATAGCGGTGGTGGTTGTAGGACGCGGGCAAGGCCATGGTCTGGGGCTAAACGACCGTGGTGATTGGCAGCTTCACGATGAGGACGAGAACGGGCACGAGGCGAGCGCGGACCGGGGCGAGCGCGGACCGGGGCGAAAGGTTAAAAGGCTCATGGAAGGCCAGCCTTGCGGGATCGCAGCTATGACGCCCCGATAGTGGGAGGGCTGTTTCTGGAGGGGGTTTTCCTCAGCCTTGCAGGACCACGTCAGCCGCGGTTGCAACCGGTGAAGGACAGGTGTAGCTGCAACCACGAGATGGCTGAGGCTGCCTAGAGGAACATGCAACCCCTGACAGGGTTTCCGTTGGCGGGTTTCTGAAGGAAGCCACCCGCCGCCGATGGCTAAGCCCACTTCAGGCAATGAGATGTATCATTATCCGACGCCGAAGGGGGGCTCATTGGGTTATCTATGGGGATATCAAATGCACTGATGGCAACAGACTGCAGTCTCACCTAGGGCAGAGTGTCGAGATTCTAGTTCGATGTTAATCGCAAGGAAGGCTGCAGTGGCTTTTGCGGGTTGTCCTTTGGAGTTTGCTCTGTCTGCAAGCCCTTCTCCAATGAGGCATACGTCGATCACGTGCAACGCATTGTGGGGACAATCGATCGACATGGCGGTACGTACTGAGCCAGGATGAGGATGGTTTCCTACGGTCAAGGAGAGGCTGTAGAGTCAAGGGCGGCAACGAAGCTGGAGGAGTTCAGTTAAGTAAGAGAGAGCGGGACGAGGATCGGCTAGACCCTGGCTGGCGGGATCGTGCGTCGTCGCTTCCCCGGCACCCGTGACCCCAGCACATCACCTCTGACGCCTACCCGTCCCGCCTCTGCCTTTCATTTCCCCAAAACGCGCCTCCGTCACCACCCTTCTCTCGCTTCTGCTCCCACGACACCCATCACCGAGTCGACGTCGTCCACGGTGCCAGCCGCTTTGGTGCCGGCACTTGTCCGGAGCAACCCCCGTCGCCGGCGCAGGGATCTGTTGAGCCTCACACCGCCCCTCACAGCGGAGAGGCCTTGCCTCCAGTCGTCCCACAAAGCACCTGCTTCACTCAAGTGACCCTTCCGACCGTGAGGCCCTCAATCGTCTGTCCAGCTAAGCCTGCACCATGGCGCTTGGTGCTTACCTCGCCCGGCATCATGCCGGCGACTTCGCACTCCACCCAGACGTTTGAAAGCTGCTCGCGCGCTATCCCCGGTGGCCCGCAGGCACACGTCCTTTAGGCTTAAAAATAAACATCTCCGCCCCCAATCTGCCAAGACGAAGCCACACCGCGCTCTGCTCCCGCCCCTCTCATTCGTCCGCCCGTCTCCACAATGCTGCCCATGGCTCGTCCTGAGGCTGCACTTTTGCCCAGCGTGCTCGGCCGTCTGTTGGTGGCTTGCTCGTCGTCCCATCAATTCCCCCGTTTGGGATTGGTGCCATGAAGGAATTGAAACCATGCTTTTTCGCTCCATCCCCAATAACGAGATAGATATGCTCCTTCCCCCTCCGCTCTCCTTCAAAGAGCCGCAAGCCTTTGCGCTTCCTTGACTGCCTTTGACTGCGCTAGCAGCATTTTGCACCTTCCTGTTGAGCAACAAGTCATACAACGGCCACAATGCGTGCTCAAGCATGGACACTGGCGCTTCAAGCGCTCCTCGCTGGACGGGTCTTGGCTGGTAAGCCTTGCAGAGCTTTACTGCGACCTGAAGTATGCTGACTGACTCGGAACAGACGATTGTTCCACAACTGTGACCATCACGACCTCGCCTCCTTCTATGGCCTCGTGCGCCACTTTCTCGGGAGATGTCGTGATAGCCTCGACTTTCAGTGGCGAGCTCAATCTGAGCAGTGTCGAGACAATAGCCGGACGTGTTATTGCGACAAGCGTCCCGAACCTCGAAGCCATCCGCCTGCCAGCAATCATTTCTGTTGAAGGCGTCGAAGTCTCAGATGCTCCCAACTTCAACACTTTCGACTTTGCGCTTCAAAGCAACGCCGACCACGCCAGCTTGGGCGATGTCGACTTCGAAAACCTTGCGTCATTCCCCGGCTTCACCTTCAGTTACGTGGGCGGCATAGCCAATCTCACCTACAACAACGTATCCAGCGACTACTTGTGGTTTTCATGGGAAGCGTCAAACGTCGGCATGGACAACGTTGTCCTGACGAATAATGCTCTTCTCGAGAACGTATCGATCCCCTTCGTGTCGGGTGAAGGAATATCAGTCACCAGCAACGACGTCATGGGTTATCTCGGCTTCGATTACATGACCGAGATCGCCCATGCAACCATAACTGCCAACCCGTCCATGACCCAGGTTTGGTTTCCTTCTCTGACGGCCGTTGCTGGTGACTTCATCCTGCACGCTTCCCATAACGTCTATCTCGATCTCAACTCGACGTCAGTACCACCAACCACCACTTCCATGCCAAACGCTAACAAGTCACAGTCTGCTCAAGAGCGTCGGCGGTAACGTCGAGTTGACAGGAGACATCAGTTGGTCTTTCGACGAAGACGTCGTCGTCAACGGGACCATGACGGTAACCTACGACGAGGCCGCAGGCGACGAGTACAAGTGCGCCGAGATAACGCCCGGCGTGCTGACCATCACCTGCAACGGCGAGGTCCTCAAGGCCGCGTCGACAGACACGGGCGGGATCGTCACCGTGACGGCCGGGGCGGGCAACGGCGCCGCCAGCACCCGCGCCCAGTCCGGAACCGCCGCCGCCTCGTCGTCGTCCTCGTCCGGCCTGAGCTCCACCGTGAAGATCGGCATCGGCCTCGGCGTCGCGCTCGGCGTCATCGGCATCGTCGCCATCATCGCCGCCATCCTGCTGCTCCTGCGCCTGCGCAAGAAGCGCGCCGTGTCCAGGGACGGCACCGCCGCCGGCGCACCACCACCTCCCCACCTGGGCCAGCAACAAGGATCGAACATGGAGTCGGGCGAGCAGAAGCAGCCGCCGCCGTACGCGGCGCTGTGGCGGGGCCGCTCGACGAAGAAGCACGGCGCCGGGTCTGCGGAGCCCATGATGCAGGGCGTGCCGATGCAGCAATATCAGCAGCAACAGCAGCAGCAACAGGGACCGCAGGAGTTGCACGGCAGTCAGGGCGTGGTGGCGCATGAGCTGGAGAGCCCGAGGTTGAATCCGGCGGGCTTCTCGCCGATGATGGCGCAGGGAGGACAGCAGCAACAGCAACACCCGCCTGTGGAGATGGAAGGAGATCAGAATTGGAGGAGGTCGGAGCTGATGGCCGAGCCTGTGGTGCTGCAACAGCAGCAACAGCAGCAACAGCAGCAGCAGCAGCAGCAGCAGCAGCAGCAGTGAGGTGGAAAGAGGACAGAGAAAAAGTGGTGGATTTTTCACGACTGTGTAAATATTATGATACCCGTAGAGGATGGATATGTATTAATGATCAAGGGTTACTGCGGCCATCGCAGGTACTTAGATATGAGAGAGCAAGGTCTCTGGTTTTTGACTTCTAAGTGTGTGTAGGTTGTTGTCTGTTGCTCGGGAGAAAGATGTGAGTGAAGAGAGGAGTTGGCGTAGAAGCGTGGTCTGCATGTGGCACGTGATTCGTTGTTGGGGAGGGGGGGAATATTCCCCAGCGGATATTATCGCTACCTACGGTAGGCGATCTGCCAAATCCACCACGACCATCATCGAACGACATTCGCCACGAAGAAGACGAAGACGCACTGCCTATGAAGAAGAACGAAAGCTTTGTGGCGTTCTGGCAGCAGCTACGGTATATACCCCCAAACGTTCCCAGTCACTTCAACCCGGTAAGCTGCTGAGTAGCACTCATCACTTCAAACAATCAGAATCCCAACTTCACAAATTCTTAGATACTATGAACGAGATTGAGATAATGACACTCCACCTTGTCAGTTTAGCGGGTTGTCAGCCAGCGATGTCCCAGGGTCATCCCTGTCTCTCCGCTTCGACCTCAACACCACCACCTCACATTCACGAGAACAACAAAACAGCACAAGCAGGCGCACAATCCATCTGACAGAACCAAAGACATCCATCTTTCATAGCATATTTACATGCGTACTACATTACATACATACATAAATCCATACATTATTTTTTTCCCTCGATTATACTACTCGGCCTGCTTCCTCCTCCTCACAGCAGACAGAACAGCACAACAGCCGACACCAACCCCGCGACGCCGCCAACCACGGGCGACATCACACCAGCAGCGGCGCCCTCATACGGCACGGTGGGGTTGCTGGGCGTGGCAGCGGCGCCGCCGCCCGGGGTGGTCGCGACGACGGGCACGGTGGCGACGGGCGTCCAGCTGGTCAGCGTGACGGTCGAGCCGTTGCGCAGCGTCTCGGTGAGGATCTCCTCGCTGGAGATGACGCTGCTGGGGCGGGGCGGGCTGCCGGCGGCGCCGGGGGTGCTGGGGCCGGGCGTCAGGACCGCGGCGGGCGTGGTGGGGACCGGGGTGGCGGGGACGAAGACGGACGAGGGGACGGTGAGGGAGGGGGTGGAGGCGAGGTCGGTGGGGAGGGAGGCGACGGGGGTGGAGCGGTGCGGGGTGGTGGAGGCGGAGGCGGGGGCCGAGGGCTCGTCCGAGGCCTCGTCGCAGGAGACGTCGCCGGCGACGATGGAGGAGAAGTCGGAGCAGGAGAAGGTGGCGGAGGGGGAGCCCGAGATGTCCCACGAGCCGCCGACGGAGGTGAGCGAGTCGAAGGTGAAGTCGGAGAGGGAGGAGAGGTCGAAGGAGAGGTCGCCCTCGACGGATTCGAGGGATTCGAAGGCGATGGTGGAGAAGCCGCAGTCGCTGATCTTGAGGTCGCCGCCGACGGACTTGAGGGAGGAGAGGGAGAGCGAGTCGAGGTCCCAGACGCCGCTGATCTCGAGCGAGCCGCCGATGGTCTCGAGGGTGGAGAAGTCGAACGTCTCGAGCCAGGAGTCGGTGATGGTGATGGACTCCTCGATGCTGGTCAGGGAGGGGAAGGAGAGGCCGGTGGCGTTGGAGATGGAGACCTGCTTGGCGCTCTCGAGCGAGGGGAAGCTGATGTCGACGGCGTTGGTGTTGCCGCCGATGGAGATCTCGTCGCACGAGGTGGACGCGACCGAGACGGACCAGAGGAAGTCGTTCTCCTCGATGATGATCTTCTCGGGCTCGAGCACTTCGAGCTCGATGCTGGTCAGGTACGTGTCGCGGATCTCGACCGTCGAGCACTCCTCGATGGTGCTGCCGAAGTCGACCTCCCACAGCAGGGGGAGCGAGGACAGGCTGAGCGACTCGATCTTGTTCAGGGCCGGGAGATCGAAACCGGTGAAGAGAGGGGCGTTGGAAAGCTCGAGGCTGCCGATCGAGCTGAGCGAGTCGGCGCTGAAGTAAGTGAGGGTCTCGGTCGAGTCGACAATGAGCGAGCCGGTGATCTCCTCGACACCGTCGAGGCTGATGGAGCCCCAGGTCTCCTCGGAGATGGCAATGCTGCCCTCGAAGGTCTTGCAAGAGGAGATGTCGAAGACGTCATCCACGCCGAGGGTGAGGACGCCACCATCGGGAGCCGAGCAGCCTGATGCCAGGTTAGTGTTGTTGCAATGGTACGACCCGAGGTGAGAGACTGACCACCAGCAGCGGCGGCAGTGCCGGCAAGAAGGCCGGAAGCGGCAATGGAACGGAGCTTGGTTGAGTAGACCATTGTGAAGTGAGTGGATCAACAAACGATTGGGATGAAGAAAGCTCTTGCCCTCTCAAGCACTGCCAGCCGGGCGCAGAGGCTTTTAACTCTAAAGTCGCGGTCAGCGAGCCGACTCCGGTGAACGTGCTGAGCTGAATGCCAGCGGCGTCTGGCGAGTCCGAGCGGTGGGTACCAGCATCGCCATGGTCGCTTGGAGCTCGGCCGCCGACGCTGCACGCAGATCGCCGACAAACCACCACCGCACTTTCAGCCTTACTTTCATGCAAGGCATGGGGACGGGGACTTGGCAGCTGGTTGATCCTCGCGATAATGGGGATTCCGAGGACACGATGCGGCAGCTTGGAGCCCATAATGGGCCTGTGGATGCCAGCGGATGCTCCCCTCCAGCGTGCGTCTTTTGCTTCTCGGCTCGTAAACGCCCCGCTGAGGGCTCAATGGCGTGAGAGCTTCAGGTGCGGCGTGTCCGTCCACAGTGGGGTTTGCTGCGGAAGAAGTGCTTCGAGAACTGGGCCAGAACAGCATGATCCCCAGATTTACGCCACATTAGGAAAGCCGTAGCCCGGTTCCGGGCGTGGTGGCGGAATAGGGGATCGCGGGTGGGCTACTGTGTCCCCGTATAAGGAGGCACGTACCGCGGAAGATCGGGAGCTTTGAGTCATGGAGCTGAGAAGCTTTTCTGTATGGTCGCCACCATTAGTAGACCTGGATTGACTTTATCGTCGTGGCTTGAGCAATTAATTTAGCAAAGAACCGGTGAGCGGCTCGCGGGGTCGGAAGAATCATCCACAAGGCGAGGGTTGGAGGAGAATGGAGCACGAGAGAGCTTGCACGGTATAGAGAACAACTGCACAGCTGCGCGAAGGTTCCAAAGCCAAGGTGCTGACGGTCTGGCGGTCAGTGATCCGGTGTGATTGGTCGGAAATGGCGGGTGTTGCAAACGTGCCTGAACATCCGCGCGCACAAGCCAAGCAAAGTTACCGGAGTGGACTAGCGCATGTACTCGATGGGGTAGGCCAGCGGTGAAAGGCCCGAATCTTTCAAAATGGCGGTATCCCTGCATGATGGATAGGGTTTGCTTTTTTCCCTTCTTCCGCCTACAAGCCTGATGTTTGGTGCGAGGCATTGGCTCACGGTTACCGCACATTCCAATGTGTATGCAAGTACCAGACGAGTTCTGCTCATAGCATGCAAAGCAAAGGAGAATAAAGATCGGAGAGATGGAGCAAAACAAGGCCAGCTCAGACTTAACTGATGAGGGCTTATAGACAAGGAGATGATCTCACGAGACCACTGTTTACCCCTGCGTCAATGCTGACACTCTCTTCCCTATGCACAACCTTCCGGGCTCCCGTACTGCTCCGTCTTTGCTTAACAGACACTTACTACATCACCTTGCCATGCCCAGCTGGCATGATGGCTTCAGCGACGGGTCGTTCCTGAGGCAAGATACAAGCCAATTGCGATACCTTCGTCCGTTGATTTACTGAGCATTGAAGCTGAAGGGTTGGACGTTGTTCTGGCTCAAGCTGCTGTTCGGGCTATGGGGATTCTTTCGAGATTGTCGAGCTCCGCAGCAGGGTCCATTCTCTGTTCAGAGTTGAAGGTTCCTCGTTGTCGGGTGCACCCGAAAGAAAGGCTCCTACTCTCTGATCACCGGAGCCTTCATATGGTCTGGTCCCCGTTGTAGAGCTCGTCGAGCTTATGAGATACTGTGACGAGCCTATCCAGATGAACGAAACGGACACGGTGGTCTGCTCTCGAGTGCGAAACTAGCATTGTTGCTATTGCTAAGCTCTGGCACAGTGGCCACCTTCAAAACCTCAATTACGATATCTGGAGGATGTAATCTCAAATGTAGATCAGGATTGCAGGATGAGTACCGGGCCCATTTTATACATACCTGGAGAGAACAAGCTTTCGGGTTGTATCGATAAGGAGAAACGCACAGATTGCGTCGTCAAAGCTCTGTCTGTCAAGCGACCTATGATAGATGTTAGAGTGCGATTCCCTGTTGGCGTTTTATCTGATGCGGTCCGTGGCGCATATCTACTCTGCAGACTTGGTGGTCGACGATCCCAGGACTACTCCAGCACATAGACTTGGGCCACTCACTGGAGTCTGACTTAGGGCTGCTCTGTACACAACAAGATCAAAGCCACTGCAATCATTGTTACGAGAGGTAGGGTGGAGGACGTTGGAGTATAGTAAAGCAGCTCTAGTTGACGCTGGATATGCGGAAGAAGCAATCGCGCTGCGCCATGTCCGAATGATTCATAAGGTCGTGGCCTACTTATTAATATAATAGGTTGAGTACCCTTCGGGCTCTCAGTCATGGAGCTCAGCTACGGCAAAGTAGCCCTTATTCTCCACAACACCTCTGTCCTTAACCACGGCCGTATACTTCACCACCCACTGCGGTGTGACATCTCCCTTTAACCCATCCGACGAGCCATCCGGGCCAGCCAGAACACCAGCACCCTTCTCTCCAGGACCCAACAGCTCCCTCACCGTACCGGACGGGAGGATGTTCGTACAGTCATTGTGCGTAAGCAACTCGATCCCTTCTTGCTTGGCATACAGTATCAGCGGCTTCGGCACGACGCAGCAATCCCGCACGTTGATCTGATCCACGCTCGGCCTCAGCCTCGCCTTGGCCAAAAACTTGGACAGCCGCTGCGAGCCGAACTCGGACAGCCCCAGCTTCGTGATCAGGCCCTCGTCGTACAGCTCCTCGACGGCGCGCCACGTCTCGATCATGCTGTCCATGTCCTCGGCGCCGCTGCCGCTCTCCGACCCGGACCCGCCGCCTGTAGGTGTGCCACTGCTCTCATCGGCGTCCGAGTCCTCGTCGTCGGCGTCGAAGGCGATGCCTGGGAAGGATACGATGAGTAGGTCGATGGAGGGGACGTGCAGCTCTTTCAACACGAGGTCGACAGCGTTGCGGGTGTGAAGGATGCGCTGCGCGACGGGCACGTGGGGCAGGTAGAACAGCTTCACGGTGATGTCATATGCGGCGCGCTCCTCGTTGAGGCCTGACTGTGAGAAGTCGAGGGCGGGGATGTACAGGTCGGCGCCGTCTTGGGAAGTCCAGGCGCGGGAGGACGGGGCAGGAGAGTCGGGGAGAGAGGTGCTGGCGCCTCCGTTGGTGGTGGCTTGTTGGTTCGAGGAGAAGTTTGCGCGGAGGGAGGAGGTGAGTTCGGTGTTGGACTTCTCGTGTAGATTCCGGCGGATGGTGGAAGGGCCGCCGCCCATGATGTTGCTGGTTCGCCAGGAATTAGATCATTTGCTGGGGAAAGCGGGCTTGGAAATATGCGCATACGCCGTGGACAGGATTAGCCTCGTCATGGTGCTAGTGGGAGTGGGGTCAGTGTTAGGAATGCTGTCGGCAGGCTTTGATTGAGAGAAGCGCGTGAAGGCACGGCGCGGGTGTAGGACTATGTGCAGGGAAGATTGAAAGTCGCGAGCCTGGCGCGAGGTGGTTTCTATGCGGCACTGGCGAAAGAGTAGCGCGAGGTCCGCTTGACGGCGGTGGAAGCCGGACGACAGAGATATTGTAAGCAATCAATCCATGGGGCCTGCCGGCGGAGCGGCGTGAAGCCGAGACGGCGGGGCGGCGACTGGCCCGGCGGGGCTCTTCCGCGCCGGCCGCACGTCTTGGCGTGCTGCAGTCCAAAGTCGAGGCCGGCGGCCCTGCCCCAAATTACGTGCGCCAGAGCAACCCCCTCCGTCCATCTTCAGTCTCTCCATTTGCCGCGACACCGCCATGGCGATCAAGTGAGTGCGGCAATTCGCCTCCGAAGCAGGCAGCAATGCTGATCGTCGCAGGTACCTCATTCTGCTCTCCCGCCAGGGCAAGGTGGTGCGTCTTCCAGGCAGCTTTCTTCGCAGCTTCGGGCCCGACTGATGGCATCCGCAGCGCCTTGCGAAATGGTTCACCACTCTGTCCCCCAAGGACAAGGCCAAGATCGTCAAGGATGTCACCCAGCTTGTCCTTGCCCGCCGCACCCGCATGTGCAACTTCCTTGAGTACAAGGGTATGCCACCTGGCCTTGGGTCGCCCACCCTCCTACGCCCCTTGCCGTCCAGAGGCTGAAGCTCGCCGCGCGCAGACACAAAGATCGTTTACCGCCGCTACGCCTCTCTCTTCTTCATCGCCGGCTGCGACTCCGAAGACAACGAGCTCATCACCCTCGAAATCGTGCACCGCTACGTCGAACAGATGGACAAATACTACGGCAACGTTTGCGAGCTTGACATCATCTTCAACTTCCAGAAGGCCTACTTCATCCTCGACGAGCTCCTGCTCGCCGGAGAGATGCAGGAGAGCAGCAAGAAGAACGTCTTGCGCTGCATTAGCCAACAGGATAGCCTGGAAGACATGGAAGTGAGTAGACAGTTTCTATCTGCATATCGCGGGAGGCATGGCCCAGGTGCGGCGGGAGTAGACGCCATGTCTCATGTCGTTAAGATGCGCTTCCCCAATGCATCAACTCTAGACGGTGTTAACGAAAGCTTTAGGTCGAGGACGACGGCGTCACCAAGATCGGTTAAGCCCTGGGTAGCATGCTACTGCGAGTCTTTTTAGATACCCGGGCGTGGCTGTCGTACCTTGTCTCATCGCTTTTCACAGGCACCTGGATGCATCGAACGTTGATACTGATGGACTCGAGCAGGACGCCGACTCCATTGAGGATAAGATCCGTCAGGCTGGAATGATTTAGACGCGGTGCCGCGCCAATCAGCCTCATTTCTTCTCAAATGTTCTCTTGATGGAACACAGCCAAGGCATGCATCGGCGGGAGTTAAGGTGTTTTCTCGGTTCGTCTGGGTGCTGGAACTCGAGGGGAGCTCCACAGTTGTATGATACCTCCAACGCCCTTTGCCGCAGGCAAGGATGTACTGGCGCTTGGACTTAGTACCTAATGAAGCAACGAATAACTGTATCAACTGGCCTCGAGGAATCCTCGTGCAGCTAACTGCGCTCATTGGTCCGCTGAACTGCCTCAAACTAACGACCAGCACCAGCACAAGCACCAGCACCAGCACCAGCACCGCGGCAAAGGACGCTATGCTGTTCCGGCTCACAACCAGCCTATAGAATACGCCACAACGATACACGCGGTCCGGAGAATCAGTCCCGATCGACGCACTGACTGCAGGATTGCACGCCGCACCTACTCGCGAGCTTTTACGGGCGTCATGGCATGCCAACGCCGCATCAAAGCCGCTCAAGCAGACACGTTTATCCTGCGGCGGACTGGCTGCAAGCAGCGTTCCTCACATGGAGCGAGAACGGCCCCTTAGTGGTGGATGGCGGTGCAGAGCTCATCACGTGCAGGACCAACTTGGCACCAGGCGCTCTCCACTTTCGGTCCCGTCCAGGCCCCCTACATCATCACCGCTCCACCGCTCCACATCACCCCCGATAAGGCGACGAACATACCATGCCGACCAGCTCCGTTAACGCCAGTATCACCACCTCCGCATTCCGCCGTTAAACATCCCGAAAATAGCTCGCACAGCGCACGAAGCTCGGTCTCCGTTGCCAGCCTAGAGCGTCCTTCGCGTGTCAGCTTGCGCAGCACGTCCTAGACAACACGATTCTCCACATTCCCCGATCCCGAACAAAGCAGCGCCGCCTCCTTCTGCCCGCGACGACGCATTTCCCACAACCCAACATCCTTTGCGATCTCTACAGGATCTTCCACCTCTTCAACACGCCCAATAACTCCGGACAATTCGACTTCGCACAACCATCACAATGAAGGTGCGTCTCCTTCCCCTGAGCCCAGCCCGCATGCATCCACTCGGACAGCTATCGAGCAGCTCTGTGAGGTTACCGAGAGCCTTGCGCGCGTGCTGAGGCCGGTGGGCAATGTGGATTAACGTGGATTCAGTATCTACCGCTACGCGATTTCGAAGACGTGACAAGCGCGCTCAACTTCGACACACCTGACTGCCACGTCATCGGCGGCTGCGACCTGTACACGACCAAAGCCGCCGGAAGCGACAAGAAGCTCTACAAGACCATTGAGCACTCGTTGGAGTCGCAACATGAGTCGGTGCTGCGCTTGTCCGCCTCGCTTTCCCCGCCGCAGGCGCAATCGCTCGCCGAATCCCTGAACCTTTCACGATCCAGTCCGTTCGGCCCCCTCAGCCAGATCTCGAGTCGCCGCACATTCGCCTACCTTATTGCGACGCTCAATGCCAGTCATCCGGACTACGACTTCTCGCACATCCTCCGCCCGACCGATTTCCGGAAAGAGCGCAGCCTGCGCGGTGTCATGAACACGATCGACACAACACTCTACAATCTGCGGCCGCGGCCGTCGAACGCGATGCTGGCAGTGCCACCATCTAGCTGGTCTGGCGGCAACGGCGGGTCCGGGTCGTCCGGCACGCGCACTCCCGGCGGACACCACGTATGGAGTCCGCGCATGTGGAAGATGATTGACAACGAGATGAACCTGCGCGACTGCGCCATCTACTGCTACCAGCCCGAGGAAGATCCGTTCGACGGCGAGGAGGGCTCCATCTGGAGCATGAACTACTTCTTCTTCAACAAGCACCGCAAGCGCGTCTGCTACGTGTACCTGCGCGGGCTGAGCATCATGTCGCACAGCCCCGCGGTGCGGGCGGCGGCCGCGGCAAGCCACCACCTGGGATCCGGCGGCAAGCGCGGCGCCGGCCACCACAGCACGCTTTCCATGGGCTTGGAGTCGGCTGACAAGCGCGCCATGTACTGGCTCGGCGACCGCGCCGAGGGCCGGAGCATATCGAGCGGCTGGCCCGACGACGACGATGATGTCATGGTCATCCCGTACCCGGGCGACGACGAGGTCGACGCCGACGAGGAGCTGATCGACTACGTCGAGGAGGAAGACGAGGACGAGGAGCTCGAGGACGACGAGATCGAGCGGCAACGCGAGAAGAGCGCTGTGCGCGACATGAGCGAGCACATTGCCGATACCATGGAGGTCTAAAGGGGGGAGCGGCCGAGGGGGGGGGGGAGGGGGACCAAGAACCGCCGAGCACGGCACGGCACGGCACGGCAGCGGGCTGAAGGGCTGAAGAGCACTGACGATATACGTGTTCAGCCGACGTTGCCGATGGACGGACGGGGGGGGCAACGGTGTGTGGAGGCTTTCCCCCCCACCACCGCTGCACGATTGGCCGACGAAGCTCCGCGGCCGAGACGACGGGATACGAAAGAGCTGAGAATCAATCATGTTCAACACCGCGCGGTCGGTGTCCCTATGACCGACCAACTAACGATGATGCACATGTTTCCATTCATCATCACACTCAACGAATAGCTAATGTCTTGCTGCGCACTTGTTGTTGCCTTTGGTCTGTTATTTTTGTTTTCCGCATTGTTTGCACTCATCATCGGGTAAGACGCAGGGCGCTCCGGCCGGTGGGAGAGGCTGCGAACGCTTTTGTGTTTCGAAAGATACCCAGATGCCACTTGTTATTACTGTTCTTCCCCGCTTGTTCTGTTCTTCCTTCCTGCTTGTTCCTCGCAGCTCCTTGTTGAAGGCTGTCTTTCTATTGCTCCGCGCACGTTCTGTTCCTGTTCATCAATTTTTTTGCGAGTAACGAAATCGAATCCACCGCACGAAGTACGCACGGAATACGATACGTACGGCGAACATCGGCGTTCCTTTTCATTCAACATCGGGTTCTGGTGCGTGGGAGGCACCGGTACCGAACGCCGGAGATGCGATCGGGGATTCCTAGTGTATATTGTTTTGGGTCAGTTTCAGTTGAGTTCCACTCAGCCTGGTCTGAATTGGCTTTTCTTTTCATTGGCTTTCATTTATATGCATATGCCGAGCTGGGGATGGTGTGGCGGCCGTCCTGAGTTCGGCGCGGCGTTTTTCGGGAGGCTGAGGAGCGGCTGGTTGGGGGGTCAGGGTTCTTTTTTGTTCTGTCTGTTTTGTAGGCTGTTTAATTGATGTCTGATGTCCCATCTTCCGTGTCTCTGTGGCTAGGCTATGTGCTGAGGTTGCGTGGGGTTGAGGTGTGGCGCGAGATTCAGGTATAGGGTCACGAAAGACTGGCGGGCATTCTAAATGACCTGCCTTCCGACTCTCACAAGCTTGATGTCAGGCACAGCGATCTCCAACTTTCCATTGATATGAACGAGACTTACTTAGATCAAGCTAGCTGGCGCACGCCGTCGAGAAGTTATGATGCAGCTCATCGTTTTGCGGCGGACTTCAAAGTTTAAGCATTTGTTATGGCTCCAAAGTATTGGATGCAAGGAGGATAGCTTCACCGAGTGTATGAGGCAAATGTCCTCTGTCATCTGCGAACTTGTTGACCGACCACTGGTCTTACACCTTGCAAGTCATTTCTCTCTTGGCCGTATCCGTTGAAGTGAGCTCCGGCGTCCAGCAACTGAATCCCTGGAACGGTGATAGTAAGAAAGAGCATTATTGAAAGGTGTTGAATCTCAGTAACGGCTTGATTTATAATGATGAGAAACCACCAAGCGAAGCTCTGCTCAATTTTGTTGCGTTACCTCAATCTTCAGGATCCCATGAGGCCTACTTGCAAACGGATGTGAACGGCGACAAATGACTTTGACACCACCATGCATGAGTGTTGATTTAGCCAATTATGTCTATCTCGTCGCCCCAACTTGTCACCAGAATGACTGAGCGTGACAGGCACCACGCTCATGACTCTGCTGCAAAGCTTCAGTCACAGCGAAGTCACTAGGATAGCACCGACCTTGAGTTGCTCGCGTATAAATGTATATCCTCGCCTTCACGCACATTCTCTTCAGTATGACAGCACTGAGATTGGAGAAACGGATAGCAAGCCAAGACTTCTTCCGCCTTCGGGTACACGTCAAAGGAAAGGATCGGGCTCGTCGTGTGTCCTACACCGGCAACCCACTTCACAAGAACTCACTATACAAGCTTGAATATCATTCGAATGGTGATATTGTCCAACATTTCGTTTTCCTGTGCTGCATCAGCCCAGGATGTCGATGAAGCTCGCCAATAATCCTCGAGTCAGAAACCGAGCCGTTCTTGTTCTTCATGCATAGGCGGTGAAATCCCAAAAACTCAACGACTCTCCCCGCAAGACTAACATGGTGAACGGTATTGATAAGCTCAGTCACGTTCCTCAGGAGAAGCATGGCCGAGAGATTCGCACTGCGATGGAGGAGGAAGACCCAGGCCAGTAGAAGGAGCTCTTAAAAAGCCACCACACTTCAGACGAAGAGTCTGAAGTCGGAGCCACGGCGTGGTCGAAGCATGTACCCTACTCCAGGGGTGCCGTGTCGATCACCTATAAATCGGACTGCAGCCCCTCCTCCTCATCCCTCTCTAGACCGAATTTCCGCCGTCGCCATTGCGACGGTCATAATTAAGATACGATGGACATGCAGTCCCGCGGGAGATCTGCGATATACTCTTTCAACGTGATGTATGCAGCCACTGCATTGAACTACCCAAGTGCATTACCTAAGAGTCCTTGGTATAGTGAAATGGGGTGCGCTCCTGGCAACAAAAATGGTTGGGAGGTAACGCAGAAAGGGATAACAAGAAAAATCCAGCTACCTGTCGGCTCACATGACAAGCCTCCTGTTCGCTGAACACAGGAATGCTGAGGGTAAAGCGCAAAGGGGGGGAACAATGAACCCGAAAAAACGCCCCAAGTCACCGCAAACAAGTCTCCGTTCTAGCTGGTCTAAGAGTTCAAGCGTACATAGTTGCCTGGTACGGTCGTCAGTAAATGGTGTGTGCTCGATGTCAAGGACGCAGTCAGTGCTTTCACTCACCTGGGAACTGCCCCTGCCGTCCGTTCACCGTTCCTGTCCACCACTCGTTCTCGTTCTGCGTTCTGGTCAAGATCTGGATGACATCGCCGGTCGTGAAACTGAGATCACCCTCTGCCTGTGCTTCGTAATCGTACAGTGCAACACATGTTTCTACCGCAGGAGCGTTGCTGAAACGAGCGGGCTTGGGCTTCGGGGGTGGAGGAGCGGCACCCTTCGACTTGGCCAAAGCGCCCCAGTTGCTGCCGGTGCTGGCGGAGCGCTTGATATCGGAGCCACCAGCGCTGAGGCTGTTCGCAACCGTGGGCGAGGCCAGGGCGCTGCTGTACGGGGGCGGTGCCTGTGTATCTGCCGAGTCCATAGTGAGGCGGCGGCTTGGCGAAGATGTGTTGCCCTCGATAGCTAGCTGTCTCTGCTGGCCATACTTGAGTGCCGGTGGACGCCTGACTCCACCGGTCGTCTTGAATTTTGTGATTGCAAGGGCCTCGGTTTGTTCCTTGATATCGCCCCGCTTCTCCTCGAATCCGGCCTCAATGTCCAGCTGGAGGTTGAAATAGCCGATGTCCATATTCTGCATCTTCTCGTGTAGGGTGTAGAAGACGTTGAGCTGCATGTAGTAGAAAGACTGGAAGAGCGGCTGGATGAACTCCCGCTCAAGGGCAAAAAGCTTGGGCAGCTCGTCCTTCAGCAGGTCGTTGAAGTAGTTGAATTCCTGCGTCGCCAGCTCCACGTCGTTTTCTGCCCTGTAGAGGGCCTTCTCATCCTTGAGCGACTTGTCCTTCTTTTCCTGCAGCTTCTTGAGCGTGGCCCGGTGTCGATCGTAGTCGAGTTGCTTGTGGTCTCTCTTGAGAGCAAGTTTCCGAATGATCTTGATTATCTCCATAAGTTCGTCCGCCGGCCGGATGACGCGCGTGTCAATCATCTCCAGCTCGGGGGCGAGCTGCTCCTGCAGTTCCTTTACAATAGCTTCATATTCCTCGCATGCGCGGATGCCTTCGGGATTGCCTTCTGCCACAAACGAGTCGGGGTCCGACATGCGACCGGAAATGGGCTTGTAGATTTCTTGGATGGCTTGAGAGAACTCGATCTGGTGGGTCAGCATGCCTGCGTGGGCGGGTCAGTAACGGGCTCAGCTGAAGCTACGGCGGAATGCGGCGGTACCATTGATGGCATCGAAGTACCTGCACACGTCAGTACAACGCCAGCGCAAAGCATAGGGCCATGATTACTTCTTGGACTCATCGTGCAGCTTCTTGGTCTCCTTTTCCAGCTCCTCAAACCGGCGCTCGGCATCGAGGTATACGGGGTCTTTTGAGACTTCGCCCTGCGCAATGGAGCCCCTCGTCAGCCATGTGCGCACCAGGTGTGCGCGCGGCAGCGCCCGGCAAGGTCGGGGAGCGCCAGCGAGGCGGCAGGACTCACAAGATTGAATTTTGCCTTGACTTGTTGAGGGGCCTAGAGAACAAAGACGTGTCAGGCACCGATCACGGTTCGGCGGGCGCTGGCTGAGCTTTGCTTACGCGCGTCACGCCCTTGGTAAATCCTTTCCAACTCATGGGTGCAGCGGCGGTCGGGGCGAGAGGTGGGCGGGGAGACGGGCGCAGGTGGATTCTCAGCGGCAGAGGCGATTCAGGGCGCGGGCGCGGGAGGTGGTGGTGGATACTGAGGACGGCGCCGGCAGGGTATTAGAGCGAGCCAAAGGCGGCGATGACGACGGTGTGGCTCGGGCGCCAAGTGCGGGCTGTGCCCTTGGGAATATGATGTAGGGCGCTCCTGTGCTCCCAGTGCAAATCCGGCCGGGGGTCTGGCTGGCGGACCACTCGCAGGCAGCAGGACTGGACACAGGGCGGACAGGCCGGCACACAGCTGCGCACATAGCCGGCCGGCATGCTCGGAATCGCACCCAGCCGCAGCCCGCACAGCGACCCAACGCGCCCCATCGCCAGCTGCGGCCGAAGCGCTTGGCGCGACTGCTTTCGGAAGGCCGGCAAACACGCGCCACGCACGTGACGCGCCCGTGACACGCCGCGCCCCGAGTACGCCATGACTTATCAGATTCTCGCTTCCTCAAGCTCTTATTTGCCTGCCCGCTCCAACCTCATCAACTTTCCTCCCACCCTTTCAAAATGTCGACCTTCGCGCCCCGTGCTGCGAGGCAGGCCCTCTCGCTCACCGCCCGCCGCGCGTCGCAGAGTGCCCTGCCGCGCTCGTCGCTGCGCGCTGCCTCCCTCGCGCCCCGCCGCAGCTATGTCTCCGAGACCAAGCCGCAGAATGCCACCGTCAACGTTGACGCCGCCATCAAGGCCGAGCAGAAGAACTTCGTGCGCGAGAGCGGCCTGCAGCCCAAGGATGCCGCCATGCCGACCACAGGCATGGGCGCCGACGCCATGATGAGCCCCAACGCCGGCATCCTCAAGCAGGCCACTGTCATGGATGCCGGCTCCCGCCCCATCTACCTCGACATGCAGGCCACCACGCCAATGGACCCGCGCGTCCTTGATGCAATGCTGCCCTTCTACACCGGCCTGTACGGCAACCCGCACTCGCGGACACACGCCTACGGATGGGAGACGGAGAAGGCGGTCGAACAGGCGAGAGCCAACATTGCTAATCTCATCGGCGCCGACCCCAAGGAGATCATCTTCACCAGTGGAGCCACTGAGAGCAACAACATGAGCATCAAGGGTGTCGCGCGGTTCCTGAAGAAGGGTGGCAAGAAGAAGCACATCATCACCTGCCAGACGGAGCACAAGTGCGTTTTGGACAGCTGTCGCCACCTGCAGGATGAGGGCTTTGACGTCACCTACCTCCCGGTCCAACCCAATGGCTTGGTTGACATGGAGCAGCTGGAGAAGGCCATCAGGCCTGACACCATGCTGGTCAGCATCATGACCGTGAACAACGAGATTGGTGTCGTCCAGCCGATTGACGAGATTGGAAAGCTGTGCCGGTCGAAGAAAATATTCTTCCACACTGACGCCGCTCAGGCGGTTGGCAAGATTCCTCTCGACGTCAACAAGTCGAACATTGACCTCATGTCCATCTCCGGCCACAAGATCTACGGTCCCAAGGGCATTGGCGCTTGCTATGTCCGGAGACGGCCCAGGGTCAGGCTCGACCCTCTCATCACTGGCGGTGGCCAGGAGCGCGGTCTGAGAAGCGGCACGCTCGCTCCTCCTCTCGCCATTGGTTTTGGTGAAGCCGCGCGTCTCTGCAAGGAAGAAATGGAGGTAAGCTCAAATTCTTCCTCAATACCCTTATCCTCATATGATTATTTGCTTTTATACATGCATGGCTTTCTGAAGCTTTTCGAGGGTGTCTACGGTGCTTGCACCGTACCTCGTCTGCGGTGTTGATTCACAGCAGGGGTTATGACCGGATTGAACACACTTTTTGATTTGTTCCACATCGAGTCGGTTCAGCCGCTGACTTTCGCAATAGTATGACAGTAAGCGCATCGCCGCGCTCTCGCACAGACTCAGAGATGGCCTCCTTGCCATGGAGCACACTACTTTGAACGGTGATCCCACACGCCACTACCCCGGCTGTGTCAACATTTCCTTCGCGTACGTCGAGGGCGAGTCTCTCCTGATGGCGCTCAAGGACATTGCCCTCTCTTCTGGTAGTGCTTGTACCTCGGCGTCCCTCGAGCCCAGCTACGTCCTGAGAGCTCTCGGTAGCAGTGATGAGAGCGCTCACAGCAGTATCCGTTTCGGCATTGGCCGCTTCACCACCGACAGTGAAATTGATTACGTCCTGAAGGCGGTCAAAGAGCGCGTCAACTTCCTGAGGGAACTCAGCCCCCTGTGGGAGCTTGTTCAGGAGGGCATCGACCTCAACACGATTGAGTGGAGCCAGCACTAATTTTCTTGTTAATATGCGACCGAGGAGTAATGCAGCGATTATGAATGCGGCGTTTTGGGCGGACATATGGGCGGCTAAACTGGCCTTAGCATAAGGACAGCGTTGTACTATTAGGTAGTCACGGTGTGGGATGGTTCGATATCCTCAGAAATACATATATGACGGTTCCGATGCCAAAACCACGAATCCCACAAATGTGAGACTGAAGCGAATCTGCGTTTCATCAAAATGAGGCCATGGGACGATGCCTGTGTTGTGTTGAGGGCGGGGGTTGTTGCTGGAGCCCTGCCGCGGCAGTTTTGGCGTCGGTGTGGGGTTGGAGGTGCCGTCCGTCGGCATCCATGTGTGATCTGACGTCTCTTCCCGCATCACCACCTACCAACATGCCGCCGGTCAACGACCGCGTCTTGAACTGGCTCTACAGCGTTCTGACTAACGTACCGCTCCCTTTGCTCGTCCTGCAGCTCCTCTCTAATCCTCGGCGCGCCCGCACAGGAATACACGGACGTAAATCGCGCCTACAACGACGCCGCCGAAGCTCTCGCGCAGTACCCATCGCTGTCTCCAAGGACAGATGTTTACAGTATGCGCCCCCCCGCACCCGTCGGCACCAGTCGCCCTCCAGCATGGATGCTCCCACTCAGCTTTGTCTCCCCTGTAGACACGCTGACTGTTCACCCGCTAACGATTTGTGCTTCTTCAGCCTACGAAAATGGCGTCCCCGCTCTCTTGCTCCTTCTCACTGGCACCCTCCCCGTCCAATTTCGCGGCGCAATATACCGGTTTCCGATATCGCTTTGGGTCCCCCATGACTATCCACATGAGCCTCCGATGGTTTATGTCACGCCGACGCAGGATATGCTGGTGAGGCCGGGACAGCATGTTAGCGGTGAGGGAAGAGTATACCATCCATACTTGAGCGGATGGGCTAGTTACTGGGATGTGAGTGCTATCATTTGAAACAACTCCCTGGGCCATGGAATACTGGAAGGACCTTTGTGGACCTCTCGCAAGTTCTGAGGCGTGTCTGCCTGAGCTTGGCGCGGGTCTTCTACCAGAGAGTATACTGACGTTGATCGTAGAAATCTTCCATATCCGACTTCCTCACCGTCCTCCGCGGTGTCTTTGCAAAAGAGCCACCTGTCGTCGCGAAGCAAGACCAATTTAGCTCCCCCCAGCCGACAGCAAGCCCAGCACCACCTCCAGTTCCTCCTACTCCAGAGGAGTGGAGAAGGCAGAGGCAGCCGCAGCCTACAGCATCACCAGCTCCTACCACTGATCAGCCGCCTGCTCCTCCTCCAAAACCGCCAAAGGATACGGGTATAATGAATGGCAGTCCTCATCCCAATGGGCATGGGCAGCAGCCACAGCAACAGGCTTCCCTGCCGCCCCTACCACCTAACATGGGCCATGCTGGTGGCTATCCTGACTATGTCAGACCTCACCCGCAAAATATTCCACAGCGGCAAGCGAGTATGACTGATCGGCCTCTCCCCCCGACACCACAGGACACAGCAGCTGCTCCGCCACGGCCATTCCAGATTCAACAATACGGACGTGATAGCCCAGTCAGTCCCATAACTCCCGGCGGAATGCCTGGGCCACCTCCGTCCAGATACTCGCAACCACCTCCTTTACCGCCACAGCAGCAAGCACCCCACTACCAAGGCCCTCCCGGTCCGGCACAATACGCCAGTCCTCCACCTAATCAATACCCACCATCAGCCTACCCGCCACCCACATCTCAGTACCAGCAATTCCCGCAACAACAACAACAACAACAACCACCATACATGGCCACGCCACCAACCGGTCCTCAATTCGCACAACAACCCCCGCCCCCCCAGCCGCCGCACCCCAAACCCCCCGTCCCCGACCTCCTCACCTCCGAACTCGACGTCCAGCTCCCCTCCCAGACCTCGTCCTCGACCCCGCTCCCCGTGCCCCCCGTCCCGCCCAACCCGCAAAAAGACGCGCTCCTCTCGGCCCTCTCCGCCGCGCTCGTCGCACAGACGGCCCAGACGGTCGGGGGCAACGCGTCGGCGCTGCCCGCCCTGCGCGCGCAGTCGGCCGCGCTGCGCGCCGCGCACGCCCGCCTCCAGAACGAGGTCGAGCAGCTGCAGCGGCTCGACGCCGCGCTCGCCGCCAACGAGCGCGTGCTCGCCGGCGCCATGCGCGAGGCCGACCGCGCCATGGACGACGCGAGCACGCGGACCGTTCCGGACGTCGACGACACGCTCGTCGCGCCCACCGTCGTCGGGGGGCAGCTGTGGGGCTTGGTCGCCGAGGAGAGGGGGCTGGAGGAGGCGATTTTTTTGCTGGGCAGGGGTCTGGATCGCGGGAGGGTGGGGGCTGAGGTGTTTGTTAAGGTGAGTCTTCGGGGGGTTTTTTTCTTCTTCTTTTTTTTGTGCAAATGATTGAAGAGATGACGATTGCTGACAACGTGTTTTTTTCGTAAACGCAGCAAACGAGAGGTCTGGCCCGCGAGCAGTTCCTGAAGAAGGCGCTGATCAAGAAAATCGCAAAGGGCATGGGGCTGGATGAGAATGTCGAGTACGGGCTGCGGTCGGGTTACTAGAACTTTCCTGGACAAGGGAATGAAGGGGAATGAATGCAAGCACCACAGTACGACGACGATGAGATGGCATGCCCATCGTATTTCTTAGGAGAGATAGAGTAGCCCGGGAGGGAAGGGATCAAAGCGTCGTGCGCCGGGTGAATGAATGAACGGGCTAAGTAGCACGACTAGTTGGTGGTGGTGATGGTGGTGAGAATAGAAGAGTGAGTCGGATTTCCACGTCATACATATACACTTTATTGCAAAACCAAACTCTGTTCAAGACGTGGATATCTTTTTTTTTTCTCGTACCATTCATAATATTTCATTCACGGCTCCGTTTTGACATTCCTCCCTTTCAAATCAAGCCGGTTGGCCGATCGGTGGAGGAAGAGAAATTAAAAAAAGAGCTTGTGGCAAAAAGAAGAATCATAGAAGAAAAGGAAAGAGAACAAGAGAGAGAGAGAAATGGAATGCGTGGTGGCAAGCGGTATCATAACTTCCCCCAACCAACCCATTTCCCCAATGTTTCTTGCTTCCTTTGGTTCATTGAATTAAAGAAAATCAATCCTACCCTCCACCTGTATGTCATTCCAGGTGGGCAAATCATCCAACAACGCCAAGCACCATGCAAGATTCAGTTTCACGTATGAAGCACGTTAAGCCTCCCCTTCCTCTCGATCGGTGAGGGAACAATCGCTCATCCCCTGTCATCCAATCACGCACCTACGCCGCCAGCCTCGCCGCCCTTCTCGCCCTCCTTGCTCAGGTAGTCAGCCCGCTCAGCATCCTCGTACTCGGCGATGAGATCCTGGACGACGGCCTTGGCCTCGTCGAACTCGGATAGGCCGTCGGCGAAGGGGGCCTCGCGCTTGTACTGTTCGAGGAAGGCGTTGCGCTTGCGCAGACGGTCGTACTGGCCCAGGATACGCTTGAAGAGGGTGGAGACGCCCGTGTGGTTGGCTAGCATGAGGCCGGAGACGCGGTGGGAGCTCTGGACATAGGGGGACTTGCGAGTGAGGGCGACTTGGATGGATGCGGGGCCCCAGGGGATGAAGGTGGCGAGCTTGCGCTCGCGGATGCGCAGGAGGGACTTGTGCACGTCCGTGGGGTCGGCCTCGCCCTGGATGATGTTGAGGATGGAGATGTAGCAGGATGTCTTGGATGATTGGGTCGACACCATGCGGTTCTTGGGCTGCAGCAGCCGGCGCATGACCTCGAGCACCGTCGTCTTGCGCACCGTCTTGGCCGACTCGACCTGGTCGCCGGTGAAGGGCGTGTACGACGTCATGAGGAAGTGGCAGCGCGGGGTGGGGATCAGTGAGGCGACGATGCCGACCAGGTCGTTGTGCATGTAGCCCGGGTAGCGGAGGGTCGTGGTCGAGGCGGACATGACGGTCGAGACGAGCTGGTTCGTCTGCTGGAACGAAGGCTCCTGGACGTGTAGCGTATTGGCGGCAATGCGTGAGAGGGCGCCATTGTCGAGCACGACGACGGAATCGGCGTTCTGGGTCAGGCGGCGCATGGAGAGCAGACTGTTGTACGGCTGCACAACGACGTCGCCCGCGTTCTGCGTGTCCGGGAAGACCGAGTATGTCTGAATCAGCTTCTTGGGGAAGCGGTCGTTCATGCGCTCGAGCAGGAAGGAGCCTAGACCAGAGCCTGTGCCACCAGCGATCGAGTGCAGCAGCATGAAGCCCTCCAGCGAGTCGCTACCGTCGGCTTCGCGGTCGATCATGTCCATGACTTCCTCGTTCACCGACTCGCCCATGGCGTAGCCTGCCGCCCAGTTGTTGCCGGCACCGGTACCATCCTTGTGTACGTAGAAGTTCTCCGGGTTGTAGATGTTCTTGTAGGGGCCGCTGAGGATGCCGTTGATCACCTGTAGAGCGCGCGCGTAAGTTGGTGTTGTCTGGGGGCTTCCTCTCTTCCACGTACACGAGGCTCAAGATCGAGGAGAATGGCGCGCGGAATGTAGCGAGTGTCGTCAGACTGGGAGGCCTATTAGCAATAGTAGCTGGTTGTCATGGCAATGGAGTTGCGGTAAGAGCGTGCCTGGTAGAAGAAGACATCCTTCCTGTCGCCGCCCTCGGTCGCGAAGTCTTCGAGGTTGCCGTCCTGGTTGATGCCGTGCTCCTGGCAAAGCTGCTGCCAGAATTGGCTGCCAACTGCACGGGCGTTAGCGTTCGGGCTTGGGGTTCATCGTATGCGCAACTCGGAATAGCGCGGTGGAGAGCTGCGGGGAGATGGGCGGAGGTGAGCAGACGTACCGCTGTTGCCGCACTGGCCGGCCTGGAGGGTTATGATTTCTCTGAAGGAGGATCAGCGCATGGTCTGGGGCGTGGCGGGGTCGTGGAGTCGTCGCACCTAGGCATTTTGGCGAGTGGGGAGGTGGTGTGAAGCTTCAGTCGCGAGAGACGCGTTGCGGGCGCAAACTCGCGTTGCTGCCACTGCCCGAGCTCAAGGGCCCAACGCCCGCGGCCCACGTCACTCCCGCCCTGTCACGCCGCCCTCTCCCAATCAACCACCGCCCTGATCATCAGCCATCTGATTGAAACTGGCCCCAACTTGCGATACAGACGCCAAGCTCTACTCGCAACCAGCAGCTGAGCAGGCAATGGCTGCACGCAGCGAGCACCGGCTTCTCCATGGTGCATCTCTGTTGATATTAATTCTACTTGAGCAGGGTTGAAGTTCCAGGCACCCTCGCTAATCTTGCGGCCTGGATGCAAGATCATTACATGGTGACATTTTATACGCGCCTAAGAATAGCCTGTGGCCTTGAAAGAACACAATTTGCCGGACGAGTCACAGACGGCTTCGCCGAGGCATGACAGCTCGATTCTTGTAAAGTCAATGGCGCGTCTTGCCTCTTAAGCCTTCACCTACAAGAACCCTCTCGCCCTTGTCATTCGCTATTTCCTCCACCATGAAGCGAGGTGCCTTGGCCAGTGGATTGGTATCCGATGATTCTTTTATCCCGGTTCCCGGCTGCGCCAGATATGACTGGATGAGGACATATGACCATGTACTCGGACAATTTGGCACTCTTTACCTCACTGTTGCGCTCTCATACGTCCATCTCATTTGAATACGCGGGGAGTACGCCTGGGACTGGAGACCCTTCTTCTTCCATTTCTCCCCGCTCGCCGTCGTCGTTCAGCATGTCCTTGCCAGCCATCTTTTACTTTTCCACTACCTAAAATCAAAGCTGAAGCAGGGGGAGCAATCATTCGACATTTGTATTCCTCTACGCGTGCTCTTGGCCTCGTCCCACCAACTTCAACAGCTGAGGAGGAAATAAGGGGAGCCAGCAAGCCCCCTTACAGAACAGATGATGATAGCGTTCAATATAATGTCCGCTATGTTCCTATCAAGATAAGTCGTACGGATGGTTGAAACAGTCATCTATATACGGCCATTGAAGATAATTTGCTACGAGCGGAAGCTCTCATGCATGAGCACCCTGGCCGACCCCTGCAGCAACTGATATATATATCTTCACTGGCGCGGTTCACGTCCGATTCGGATTGAGAAGACGCTTCTTGGACTGTCGCAACCCTGAACATTGGCATCGGGTCTTGAGTGGTTGACAATACTCTCACTAACCAAAAAAGTAAGAGAGACTGGAAGAGGCCACCACTATCCCTACTTGGAGGAATGTAATACACAACTGTTGTTCGTCCCCCATGCCGTGGTCATGCCTTTCCTCGCTCAACTCTAGCAATTGCCCAGTCTCAACGCAAATAAAGCTGAGCAGTATTGTGTATCATTCATGTAGTCGCAATTATCCTAGACAATATGCATTTCTAAACCGCTTTTCACCTTAACAAGGAGTATTACCTCACACTTGCTCACCGGTCCCAACCTCTTTGATACCACCAATCTCCACCGAGCACAGCTAGGCAATGAATTGGTCAGGTTGGCGGGCGTAAGCTTCAAAAATTCAATTGATGTCTCAGTGTCCAGGCTCAGTGTCGTTGGCTGCCCTCCGTATTTACTCAGCCTCAGCTCCAGCCACCCATGTCTTATACCACTGTCTTGCCCACCGGCCATCCCGCCCGCCACCATTCCGCCACTGCCACGTGTATTGGGGGAATGTGTTCCATACGGCGTGGCGGGGCCTGTCTTTCGATATTCCTTCCAGAAGACCCAGCGCAGCCACCAGTCGGGAATGGCCGGTCCCACGGCGGCGGGATCATTGCTGCTGCTGCTTCTCAGCCTGTCCGTCCTCATCGCCCACGAGGTCAGCCCAGCGAAGCTCGTAGCTGAACACCGTCCGCCTGAGCAGTTCATCCTGTCCACATATGCCAGTCAGCAGTTGCGTCATCCCCACCGCGCTTCACAACAAGCAGAGCAGAAGGGGGTTAAAGAAAAACCAAGAAAAAAAAAAAAAAGAAAAGCAAGCACCCACCCCCGGATCCTCCTCAAACATGACCTTCTCCATGACCGACTCCCCCAACTTCCTCACCCTCAACCCGCCGTCCCGGGCCAGGTCGAAAAACGCCAAATCCCTCTCCAACAGCCACGGCCTGTACGGCGAAAAAAACACATACGCCACCGCGTCCCCCTCCCTCTTCAACGTCCTCCTCACGCTCTCCACCAACTTCCCATGCTCGCTATGATTGAACAGCAAGTCCGCCAAAATCACCACATCGAACCCCTCCCCCTCCGTCCCCTCCGGCCCGTCCACCCCCCGCAAATGCCCCAACAACACCGCCGGATCCGCGCCCCAAAGGTACCCCTCGACCCTCAGCACGCCCGCCTCGTACGCGGCGGCGACTTCCGGGCTGGCCTCGGCGGCGTTGCGGCGCAGGTTGTCGACGAGGTCGGCGTCCGGGTAGTCGGTGCAGACGACGCGGGCGGCGCCGCCGAGGGCGCAGACGAGGCTGGGGAGGCCGGCGCCGGCGCCGAGCTCGAGGACGGTGCGGCCGCGGATGGTGGCGGTGTCCTGCTGCGGGAGCGTCTCGAGGAAGCGCGAGATGGTGCGTGCGGCGTTCCAGATGTGGTGGCCCTGTTGGGTTTTTGGTTGGTTTTTCTCTCTTTTCCTTTTAAAGTGATTCGTGGGAGGGGTTTGTGTTGGTGGCTTTTGTTTGTGAGGGTTCAGAGGGGAGGAAGGAATGGGTTTGTCTGAGATGAGGTGGGGATATTAAGGATACAGGGGGAAGAAAGACTCGAGGTACGAGAATACTGATTAGAGAGGTTGTCACTGTGGGTAGTGCACTGTTCGTGTCGAATCATAGAAATGAAATGGAGATGGATGTCATCCAAGGGGTGTGTGATGGAGGTTCTGAAATAGGAAAGGGTTGTGACATTTTGTCGTTATGTGGAAACGACAAGAATCGCAGGAGATCAAAAATCGGGGAGAGGAAAAAAAAAACCTGGGTTGACAACGCGGACGATAGGAGATGTAAAATCCAAAATTTTGGTGCACAAAAGTTTTCGACGACTGAGACTCCACTTACCCACAGCGGGTTGAAACCAACCAGCCTGACCTTCAACTCTTCGCCCGATTCCAGCTTGTGCGTCGCATACGTCGGCGGTTTTTCTGGCTGGAAGTAGCCCTCAGGTTCCTGGAAGAGGTCAAGGCCTGCTGCTTCATCGTCCGACGACATTTCGAGATGGAGCTGAGCTCAGTGGGTATCACAAGTGATTTCAGTTCCGAATGTCGATCAGATGTTTTGTGGAGGTTGGTTTGTTCGAGGTGAGTCCTTCGCCGCGCGGCAAAATGCCGGTGAATTTTTCTTTTGGCCCACGGCACGTGAGTGAGACCAATACAGAGGTGGAAAGAACACATGAGAGTGGGGGGTAGCTAAGGAATCCGATTATACTAATGTGGCCGGGAATGGCTCAAAGAGGAAATCTATTGAATGCAGATTCATAAAAATAATTAGGCCAAGGAATGCGGAAGCTGGTGTCTAATTGCGAGTCCAGGATCAATGACATTGTCTGTACCACACCCTCGACTTGCCTGACTTGGTTAGTCGCCGCCGCCACCTAACCAAGCCATTGTCGAAACAGTGAGAGGAGTGATTTCTGGCAGTTGTTTGGCATCTCAACGTCTGCACAGAATTCAGAAGCGAGAAAGACGTTGGTCATCGTGTTTGTTTCTCCTGCCACCAGCAAGGAGTGAGTTAAAAGTTAAGTAGCTACAAGAAATAACAGGGCAGGAGAGAAGATACTCCTGCCTTGCCCGGCCGTACAAGCATGACGTTCCCCCAACTTGCTCCTTTCTTCTCATGCTTGCAACTGAAAAGAAGAATACTGTAAAAGGTCTTGACGCAGCAACTAGAGAAGTACTTCCGTAGCAAAACGTGTCATGAAAAGCAGTCCGAAATCGCCACATCGACCGCGGCAATTTTCACAACACCGAAAGATGATTCTCCAGAGGGGAACATTTCAGACTCGCTCATGTGGGACGAGGGAAAAAAACACACTAAATGATTCGCTGCGCAACGCTTCCGTATATACTGTACAAAGCTGGACCAAGATAAATATTAAGCCACAAGAAGGTTGAAAATAGGCCGTGCGCCGGGGTATAGAGCATAAATGCCGGGCGCAGTCGGATACTCCGATGGCTAATGTTTCTATGCGTCAGTGAGCAGGTAAGTAGCAGTTCCCGAAGACACCGAGACCTGTTGCGTTCATTAGCTTTTGTGTTGCTTGCGCGAGCCCGGAGTCTTGTGCACTCACCGTGCAGCCGTCGTCGTTGCAGCTCTCGTAGCTGTCGCCAGAGCAGAAGCCCTTGCCAACAATGTACTTGCAGGTGCCAGACATGTTGTCACCCTTGAGCTCAATGTTGAAGTCAAGCTTCTCGAGCGTAGTAGGCTTGTTCTGGAAAATCGAGAGCCAAGCGGCGCCGTTGGAGTAACCGACGCCAAGGTTGATAGGAGCCCAGTTGCCGATGGGGGAGTCACCGTTCGACCAGGTGCAGCCATCCTCGACCGAGACACCGAGAGGGTTGATGTAGTACTGGGCCGAAGTGGCCTTGCCCTGCCATTGGTAGTAGCTGGTCTGCTCAGGGCAAGTGAGCGGCTGCAACTCGCCGGGCTGAACATCGATGGGGATAACCATAGCCTCGGTACCTGCAACGCCGTCAGATCAAACGTTTGTGTGAACATCATTGGAAAAACTTACCAGGGTAGTCGGTACGGCACACGGCGGCCTGCTCACTAAGCTCGCTCTGGACCTCAACGGAGACCTTCTCGGAACCCTTGATGCAGAGTGTCTTGTAGTTGGAGTTGGTGAGAGTGAGCTTTCCGTCGGAGCAGAGAAGACCACCGACGGACTGGCCGGTAGCACCCTGGACCTCGGGCCACTGAGCCTTCTGGTAACCGGCAGGGCAGGCATAGGAGCAGTAGGCACCCTCAGTGCAGCAGTCGCCGCCGAGGCACATGTCGGCAATAGTGGTCATGATGTCGTCGAGGCCGCCAGAGCCAGCAATATTGGCGGTCTGGACACCAATCCATCCACCAAGACCCATCCAGGAAACCGGCACGGCACCATAGTCGCTGGGGAACTCGGAGCAGGGAACGTCGTCGGGGAACTCCGAGTCGAGACCCTTGGCGGAAGAGGACGAGGAAGAGGAGCTCTTCGTGGGCGTGCTCTTAGCGGCCTCAGAGGTGCTGGAGGGGGTCGGGGTCGGGGTAGGCGTAGGGGTGGAAGAGGAGGGCGGCGGCGTATAGGCGGCAGACGAAGACGAAGACGAAGAGGGAGGGGCGGAAGAGCTGGTCGGGGGCTCGACAGAGGCGGCCGCAACGGAGAGCTCGCCATCGGCCCAGATCAGGCGACCGGCAGCGATGCCCTCGTCGCACTCGGCCTGGGGGATGAGTGCGCCGTTAAGCTCGCAGACGGTGACGACTTCCATCTGGACGTCGACATCCTGCCTCTTCTGGTGGAAGTGGGCATGGCGGTGGTTGCCAGATCCGACGGCCAGAGCCGAGGCGGACGAGGCCAACAGGGGCAGAGCAGCAAGAGCGATGTTGCGCATGGTGATGGTTGCGGGGTGCAGAAATGCTGAGGCAGCAATGGCGGATTATTATAGCACTTGGGCGCGAGACGGAAGTCACAGTGCCTGCCACGCGCAAGGTCAGACAGGCTTAAAAATACGAGGCGCAGTGGGCTCACGGTAGAGAATGCTTGCACGACGGGATTGTCTTTGGCGAGCAGGGCGTGGCGCAGCGGTGATTCAGGTGAATCGCAGGCTGTGGAACGGAGAAAAGGAGAGCGGGCACTGAAGCGACGGTTAGCCCAGGCGGGGCGAGACTCGAGCGGGTGGGTTGGGTGCGGCAGCAGTCATGGTCGACGTACGAGGATTATTACTGATGGGTAGAACGAACGTGGGTTGAGCGCGGAGCCCAGGTCGGAAGGCGGCGGGAGGTAAGGAGCGACGTGAAAGAGAGCGAGGTTGCGCGGGCTCTTTACAGCATCTCAGGACGGACGGAGGGGAGGCGCCAGCAAAAAGGCGTGGAGGGAGCGGCGGCGTGGAGGTTTTGGGGCAGGGCCCGGGGGTCGTCTGAGCGTGCGGCCGGGATGTTAGCTGTGGCATTCCCCAAAACAGAACGCCTTCGTGCCTGGCAGGAGGCCGCCCAGGCTCTAATTGGCTCGTCCAAGCAATATTAATCTCGCGCCCTCTCCGCATCTGCGCCGCTCCCACGTCCGCCGGCGCCGTCGCCAGCCAGCTCCGCCGCCCTAGGCACGCTCTGAGGACTGCTCACCCGCAGGCCTCTCCGGAGGCGATGATCGCACCCGCTCTGCGCGCGAGTCCGCTGCTTGCCGCGCGCTCAGGAGGCGGTTCCAAGATCGCCCAGCCCGGTAGCAGGGCCAAGACTCCGCCGGCTGCGTGTGCTGTGGAAATTGCTGTGCTTGGCGATAGGGGACCCGCTCGTGTCGATGTGCCGAGAAAATCGCCCAGAGGAACCGCTCCAGAGGAAGCCGCTGCCACTGCCGCCGCGGGCTGGCCGGCCTTATGAGCGCTGCTATGGCGCCGCGGGGCACGCATCGCCGGTGCGACACGCATCTCGCAGCGTCCCGTTCGGGCAGGCGAGGATCGGTTGCCGGGCGCGCTGCTTTGGGAGAGGGGCGGTGGAGGAATTGGGAGGTCGAGCTGCAGGCGGCGCCTCGTTCCCTGTGGCGATCCGCAGCACGCACGCCCCAGTCTGGGGACCCGAGGTGGCCCGCCCACGGCCTGTCCCTGACACATCCCAGCGCTGGCTTCTTTCGGCGACTCGCGCAGCCCAGTCAGCCCAGTCAGCATCTTAATTCGGGTGGCTGCTCGGGTACCTGGCGCTAGCGCAATCGATAGCTGCGTGTCATGCAAGGCATTCCACCACCACGGCCGGTGACACCCTGCCCAATTGCGTAGCCGCAATCCGGGCCCCCAAGTCGCCACGGCAATCAGAGTCAACTCATTTTTGCGCCGTGGATGAGGTCACGGCTCGCGTGGCCGCAGGGTTGCCGCCGGAATGCGCCTCGGCCAGCTGGCCTCTCGTCCTCTCGTCCGCTCGTCGTTGCACGGCCGCTGCAGGTACGAATCGGGCCTCACCTACAGCGTGCGTTTCGTGACAGGCGCCACCGAGGCAGAGGTTCCTGCAGATCGGCGCGCCACCATCGCCTGCGGGGAGCGACGTCAATAGCCCGTCCTCGAAGGCCGCTGCTGCTCATGCGTGTTGCCATGGCACCACACGCGGGTGATGCGCTGTCCCGTATTCACGCAAATCTCCCGCCATGCGCCGCCGTGCGACGCATATAAGCGCCTCGTACTGCTCCACGCTGTTTCCGACGCCGGTCCCAGCGGCTGGTAGGGCAGCCCGCCTGCGCCTGCTGCTGCAGGTACACGTCGCGCAACGTGCTGCCGGCCTCGAGATACGAGCGCTTTCGTCCGCCTGCAGATCGCAAACCTTCCTCCTGCATCCTTCCACAAACCGTTTGCTGACGCTGAGCAACATCGAGAAGATAAGGCACACCACAGCCGGCGCCCGCAAGCCCCCGTACTTCAACCTTCACCACTCGTTAGCCCTCGTGACTATGCTACCGTTCCATCGCGTCAGCCCGCCAAACCTCGGTCCGTGCTAGCTTCTGAGACGCGTCGCCACGGCTTTCTGGATCCATCTCCGCCCTTCGCACGTCCTCGAGCTTCTCAACAAACACCTGCCGGCCCTTCCGTAGGGCCAAGCACGAGGAATGATGCGAGCCACGTATGCGAACCTTCTACCGACCGTCTGGCGCGTACAAGACCTCTTCTCCGCTCCATGCTCGACGCCCACCCGGACCATCCGCGAAACAGCAGCGCGGTAGGAAGCGGCGCTTTCTGTCCCATGGCTCTGCCGTGCTCACATCGAGTGAAAACCGTCGTCTGATTTGAGCTGCCAGACAAGCCATGCAAGGGAGCACATGCTGGGATTGACGACAACGTGGCCGTCGAAGGAAGGTTCCCGATACTGTCAACGTCTGATACAGCAGAATTGCCGTCTACGTGGTCGAGCATCGTTGCGCAGATGCGTGATTTCCCGCTTTTCGACCATGGGACGAATCTTCCATGGCGGATCTGGTGGCTGCAACTTAGCCTTCGGCGGTGAGCAGGCAAGAGCATTAGGATCACAAAGCGAAGCGAGATTTGGTGCAACAACAAAATTCCTACTCCGGCCGACCCGTCACACTTGAGACGTTGTGCTGTGCGTCAAGGCTTCTGCCACTGACGTGCACGTTACCGCAGTTTCCTCGACTGCCCCGCACCTTGCTCACAAGGCAGAGTATGGGCAGCGCCAGGCGACAATCGGCGCATCCGAGCCGGTCCAATTTGGTACACCTGTGCTGAAGTCGGCATGCCGCCGAGCATCGCCATATGCTCGGCGCTCCCCATTCAGAGTGCGTGGAAAAGTTTGGTCGACTGCACGCGCCATGCTGAGGCCCTCTGGAGGATCATTTGCCATGGCAATTAGCGGATCGCTCGATGCTCATGCGACGATAAGGGAAGCTCTGATATCCTGCGAGCCCGGAGCTGCGCATAGAGCGATGAACAAACGTATGTCCTAACTCGGCAAGTACTATTACCAGGCCGCGCCCCTATTTGCCGTCCCAAGCTCTTGATCACTCTTGGCAGCCAAGTCTAGTTGTCGTAGGCCCTGTCTAGCCGCCGGCTTGAACACTGCTCATTACCGATGCACCGCATGAGGCCTGTGATATGCCGGGATCCGGACCGAAAGGGCTCTATTTTTGCCCGATGGGGTGCGCTCGAGCGACGAGTGCCGAGCATCATCGGCCGGCTTTATTGATTGCTTGTCGATGGCAATCACCGACAGATCAGTTGCCTGTGGGGTTCTGTGTGCGCCGCCGTGGTCCGTCTCCGCGACGAGATGCCGTGTGTACCGGGTACGTTGTGCGGCGGCGGGAAGACAAGAAGTCTGTCAGGGGCTCTGCGGCTGCTTGTGGATTAGCTCGCGCTTCGCCTTACGAGCGAGTGGGGGTGCAGGGTGATTGCTGCTTGGCGGACGCAATGTCATCGCCCGGCGAAGAGAGTCAAGGGCATTAGCAATGTCCACGCGGTATCAACTTGGTCTTTCCGCTGCGCAAAAGAGACGATGTGGTGATAAGTCAACTTGCTCATGAGTCAGATGCTCGGTAAAGGTTGTGGAGATCCGATCAGATTGGACGCGACGATTACTGCCCTGCTTCTCCGCCTTTTGACTGCATGCGGGGTTTACTTTTGAGCCCCGGTTGGCCCGCCGATGACGGCACCGCTGGCTTTTTGAACGAACACGCTGGAACTCCATGGCCGCAGAGCGTTGGAAAGCCGCCTCATTGGGTCTCATGCTTTGCACCAATTCCGTCCAGACCTCCCAACGGCTGCATCAGCTCATCTGACCTACCTTTATTGTTCTATCCCCGGGCCCTTGTCCGTATAACTTTGCCTTATAACCCAGTCAAGAAGCCGAGTTGATCGTACACTGGCAGTATAAGCTTCTTGGCCACAACCGAATCTTCGAAAGGTTAAAAGAACGGGCTCCAGATGCCCTCAAAATGCTCTTCTCAAAACCATGCATCCGTCTCTTAGCCACCGTATTTCTGCTTTCCATCTCAGACCACGCATCAGCCCAGTCCCTCGGCTTCGACAGTCGTGAAGCCACAATAGCCAGCGTCCACCACGCTCTATTCACCGGCCTATCATCCTGCCGCGAGGTAGTCTCCTCCTTCCTCACCCGCATCGAGACGCACAACCCGCGAATCAACGCCATCATCGCCCTCAACCCCTCCGCCCTGGCCACCGCAGACGCGCTAGACCACGCCCTCTCCCTCGGCAACACCAGCACCGGCCCGCTCTTCTGCGTCCCCATCCTCCTCAAAGACAACTTCGACCTCGCCGGCCTCCCCACGACGGGCGGCAACCTCGCCCTCTCGTCCCTCCACCCGTCGACGTCCGCCCCCACGGTCGCCGCGCTGCAGCGCGCCGGCGCCGTCGTGCTCGGCAAAGCCAACCTGCACGAGCTGGCGCTCGAGGGGCTCACGGCCAGCTCGCTGGGCGGGCAGACGCTCAACCCGTACGACGCGGCGCGCACGCCGGGCGGGTCGTCGGGCGGCAGCGGCGCGGCGGTCGCGGCGTCGTTTGCCGTCCTCGCGACGGGCACCGACACGGTCAACTCGCTGCGCAGCCCCGCGTCGGCGAACAACCTGTTCAGCGTGCGGCCGACCAGGGGGTTGCTGAGCCGCGGCGGGGTGGTGCCTATCTCGTACACGCAGGATGCGGTGGGCGTGATGGCGCGGAGCCTGGAGGACGTGGCGGTTGCGTTGACGGCGATGGCCGGGGTGGGGTATGATGAGGCGGATAACGCGACGGCGTTGATTCCGGAGGCGAGCGTGGGCGTTGATTATGCGGCGGAGCTGGCGGGGGCGTCGTCAAGTCTGGAGGGCGTGAGGTTGGGGCTTCTGGAGCCGTTTTTCAACCGCTCCGCGGGCCCGGAGACGGACCCCGTCAATGAGGCTATGGACACCGTCGTCGGGGAGCTGGCGGCTGCGGGCGCGACCATCGTCCGCATCAATGACACGGAGCTGTTCAACGCGACGGGCATGGCCGCGACGCTGGACACCCAGCGCTTCGAGTACCGCGAGTCCCTGGAAGCGTACCTGCAAAACTCCGACCACACTTCCTCTTCCCCCGCCTCCCCCTTCCCCCGTACCCTAGCCTCCCTCTACGCCACGAACAACACATCGGGCTCGGGCACGGGGAACGGCTCCTTCCTCGTCATCCCCGCGCAGTACGAATACGTCACCACCGCCCTTCGCTCCAGCACCGCCAACGCCACCTACTCCGCCGTCCAATCCGGCATACGCAACCTCACCCTCGCCCTCGCGGCGACCATGTCCGCGCACCGCGTCTCCGCCCTGCTCTACCCGGAGCAGCGCAACCTCGTCGTGCCGGTGGGCGCACCCAGCCAGAGCGGCCGGAACGGGATACTCGCTGCGCTGACGGGAAGTCCGGTGGTTTGCGTGCCGATTGGCTTCAGCGGTGGCGGTGGTGGCGAAGGGAGTGGTGATGAGGACGCGTCGCTGGGCGTGCCGATTGGGATGGAGGTGTTGGGCCGGCCGTGGGATGAGAGGACGTTGTTCGGGGTGGCGAAGGGGGTGAGGGAGGCGGTGGGGCCGAGGGCGAGGCGGAGGACGCCGGGGTGGGCGACGGGTTTTGTGGAGGGGAAGGTTTATGAGAGTGTGCCGGTGATGAGGCCGGATAGGGGGAATGTGCCGGACGCGTATCCGTTGGGAGTATTGTGATAGGTCTGTGAGCGAGGATGGCGGTGGGTGTGTAAATGGTTGGGGGATCGTGTGATGGGCCGATGGAGGGTGGTGATGGGACTGCAGTGGTGTGTGGATGTAAGTATGATCTTATGATCTTATGATAATGGAATGTGTGTTGTTGGCCAGCGTCTGTTGGGCTTCATAGAGCATTCATCCGTTGCTCGACGTGACTGATCGCATATGAAAGGTATTCGAAAGCGGAGAATTCACCTCTTGAGGCTCACGCCCATCAATCGAATATCAAAAAGACAAATTCAAGGGATAACGTGGCGATAATTGCTACTGGCACTCCGATTCATGACAGCAATATTTGCTTCTACTGGACCCATAACAGCTATTTAGACTTACTTCAACCAACTATATATCTATTCTTGACAGGATATCGGACTGTGACTTCTTGTTGGTTCAAAGTTCTTGTGGATACAAGCATGATGGCTATCACGGTAAGGCGATTGCGAACATTGTCTTGATAGCTGATGCGGCGAGGTACGCGTAGCAGTGTAGTCAAGTGCGATGAGCATATAACTTGTATGTAATATTCCGGGCGAATGTAGACACTAAGAGCATCGCAGCATTGGCGGTGGGAATGGCCTCAATGTATCGGAGGTTGACAATCAGCAAGGGAGTGTATCATTAGTACGATGCACGGAAACTGTGAGGGAGAAGTAATCGAAAGAACAAGTATGTATTCAAAAGGTGTGGGGAAAACGCTGAGGACCGCAACAATACACGCACCATCTAGACACTTACCCTACCACATCGGAACATTGCTGTCTTTCCCGAGCAATCACTGCAAGACTGCTGATTCTGACGTTACTAATTTTCTTTTGGGGCCGCGGAGATGTTCCGCGCTTTTCTGATGATCTCAGTTGCGTTCAAGGTCGCAGGTAGACGGTGGTACAGTCACAGTCTGGTGCCATCTGGAGGCTCTCCACAGCACTTATCCGGCAATGATTCGCTGAAACCAGGAATTTCTCCACAACTGCGAAGTAATCGGGTGTACCCGAGGAGGGGTGGATCTACCGGAAGCGCGCAGGGTGGCCTCCGCGACATGCTGATCTGAAACCCTTGGACGATCGCATGGTGCACGACCCCAAGGAGGTAAGACAGAGTCCGCCGCACCTATTTTGGCATCCGTGTGTTGTTCATTTTCCCAAGTCATAGCGCGGCGGTTCAGCTTTGACCAGAGGTACGCGCTGAAAGACTGTGCCGCGTGTAGGGACGGTGGCGGTGCCGATTCGCCTCCCTGGACAAACCAAGGCGAAGACATTTCGCCATCAACTGTTCGATATATTGGCCCCTGATGACGAGAGTCAATCCAGATGTGCCCAAAGGGGTCAGCAAGGCCTAAAAAAGCATTGCGCCAAGGCTGACCGATTGGACTCCAAAACAACACACGTATCGTCGTCGGCGCTGCGAGAGTTTCCGCTGAGCCCAGCGGCCCGGCGCGCCATGTTCATCGTCACTGCAGTATCATGACCCGAGAGTTCAGTTGCAGGAGTGCGCGCGTAGAAGCCAATCAGTCGCGTGCTATTTGCGTGCTGCTGTGGGAACTTGCACGCGCTCGAGCAGAAACAGAAGGGTGTCTCAGACTCTTTAATTCCTTTATTTCTAAAAATGAGCGGGCGATGAGCGCCTGGCGGCCAGACTGACGATGCGCGGAGATTTGCAGCTCGATGCTGTGCGGCGGCATGGTCCAGCCAGGGCGGAGGCGGATCAGGGTGTCCCATGTGTGTACATGAGCTGAGATCGGCACGGGCAGCGGCACGGGCAGCGGCAGCGGCAACGGAACGCGCGGAAGGTCGCTTGGCTGCGGAGGCGGTGTTGAGGTGGCGTTGGGTGATGTTTGCGTGGACAGGACGGGCGCCAGGGTTTGCGGCGGTTGTGGGCGGGGGCGAGTGGCTGCGAGTGGCTGCGAGTTGGCTGCCATTGGCCGTGCCCTGGCCACACCCCTGGCGCTGCCGCTCTTGGCCTCTGGTCCAGCCACGCCGACGCCGCTGACAGCGCTGAAACCCGCGCTCAGTCCATCTCTGCGTCGTGCGCCCAGCGTCACTCCAGGGCCGGACAGGCGCATGCTGCCAAACCGCACCGGCACAATGCCTTGATTTCTAACCAAGCCAGGCTACGGCCGGAGAGCGCGTGGTCCATGTAGTCGCCCCGCCCCTCCCGGTTCGTCTCCCGGAATCGTCCCCTTCCGCGCCATCGTGCCCATCTCTACTGCTTTTTGCCCGAGCTAGCCCTGCCCGATAAGCTTCTAAGCCTCGCCCGACACGAACACCAGCAGCGCCCTACCGCTGCCATATTCACGCTCAACTTAATATTGCCAGCCCGCGACTCCCAAACGCACATCGTTCACGCGCCACCAAACACCACACCTCCACCACCAGCCATGGCCGCCACAACAGAGCCGGTTCCCGAGCAGCAGCAACCTGTCTCTACGGAGAAGAAGCCCGAGCCTCAAGCACAAGCTCCTGCGCCAGCACCGGCAACAGACATCACCAGTGAGAAGGATGCGTCGCTAGCAAAGGAACCAGAAGCCATGGCAGCAGCATGCGACTACGACCCCTCGGCCGACTTCAAGGGCGATGTGCAGGTCTCGCAAGAGCTTCCTACAGAGGCCGACATCAAGAAGTGCGAGGACATGCTCGTCCTGGGCGCCGACGGCGAGTCGCGACCATTCAAAAGCCTGTACTCGGGCGAAGGCGTAGCCGAAAGACAGCTGATCATCTTTGTGCGACACTTCTTCTGCGGAGTACGGCCCACGAACCCTTTTGCGCTCTCTATCCCCACGGTGCTGACAAGTCGTCCCACAGAACTGCCAGGAGTACCTGCGCACGCTTTCCGCCAGCGTCACCCCTGACGCGCTGCTCGCGCTGCCCACGCCCACCTTCATCACCGTCGTCGGTTGCGGGCGCCCCGAGTTGATCTCAATGTACGCGCAGACGACCAATTGCCCGTTCCCCATCTTCGCCGACCCGACCGCCAAGCTGTACGACTATTTCGGCATGATGCGCACGCTGTCGCTGGGACCCAAGCGTCCGGACTATATGAAGGCCAGCATGGTGTCGACGACGATGCAGAGCATGTACCAGTGCATCAAGAGCGGGAAGGGCATCGTTCAGGGTGGCGACCTCAGGCAGGTCGGCGGCGAAATGCTGTTCGAGAATGGCAAGGTAACGTGGGTGCATCGGATGAAGAATACGCGCGATCACGCCGAGGTCGATGAGTTGAGGAGCATCCTCGGGCTGACCGGAGAGGACGAGAGAAGGAGAGAGCGCCACGATGGGTTCAAGGCCATGGCAAGGAGCATGAGCTGGAGTCGCAGACACGGGCGGAGTAGCGAGGGCGGCGGCAAGGACCGAAGCAGGTCGCGGGAACCTAAAGTAGTGGAGGTGGATGAGAAGGCGGGCGAGATGAAGGAGAAGGAGCAGAGGAAGAGCAAGAGGAGATCTCTGTTCGCAAGAGCGGAGCCTGCGAAAGCGGATACAGACTTGAAGGCCGAGATGGAGAAGACTTCATAAGCGTGCTAGGAATTTATCGGGGACAGGTAGCATTGCAGCGGCGTTTACGGAGCCAAGGGAACAAAGTCCGTATAGGTACTTAGCGATGATTTCTCGGAATCCAAGGCTTGCTAGTTTTAGAGGAATGCCGGCATATGGACGCGGGGTCAACGCGCGTGAAAGTCTTCCTCAAACCTTAACCGGAGATGCCTTCTAGGCCTGCACAGGCAGATGGCGGGCATGACTCGGCGTGCCTGTTACCGCGAGGCGGCGGGTAGAGCAGCAGAGCCTCAGCCGACAGGCAGAGGGCGGCGGCGGCGGGCAGATGGCAGATAGCAGCCTCGAAGGGACAATTGCAGTAATTGAGTCCATTGCGGCAAGCAGACCCACCGTGCCACTGGCAGTTGGGGCACCCGATGCGGCAAAAAGTCCCGACGGGCAGGCGGGCTAAGCTGCGCTGGACCCCGCCTACCTACCCCGCCGCTGCGTGCAGGCTCGTCATCGCTAGCGAATTCGTCAGAAAGCGCGCCGAGAGCCACGCCCCGGCGCGCAAGGATGGCGCCGGCTGATGAGGGGAAGCTTTGGAAGTTATCGGAGTTGGATGGGCAGCCGGTCCATGGCTGCACGCTCATTGGGTTCGTGAGGCTTGCTGCCGGCAACAGGCGCCCTCTCGCTGTCCCCCACATGGCTCGCGCTCTCGGACGAGGGCACATAAAATAGATCCGCCTCTCCCGCCGTCGGCTGCCTTGACCTCATCTTCTTCTCCCTCCCTCGTCTTCCCAAAGATACCCCGCAGCTCACGACCAACCACCACCGCTAGCCGCCATGTCTGCCGACACTGTTGGAAAGGTGCGCCGCTGCCGCCCGAACCTTGCTGTACCTGACTTGCCAGCTAACACACGCCGTGCAGACCATCACCTGCAAGGTGCGCAACAAGAGACTCCGGTGCCAATGACGCAATCGACCCGTTAACACATGGTGCAGGCCGCCGTTGCCTGGGAGGCCGGCAAGGAGCTCAGCGTCGAGGACGTCGAGGTTCTCCCGCCCAGGGCCCACGAGGTCCGCATCCAGGTCTACTACACCGGCGTCTGCCACACGGGTGAGCACCAAGGAAGCTTCGGGAAGATGTGGAATGCCGTTGCTGAGAAAACCCCCTCCAGATGCCTACACGCTCTCCGGCAAGGACCCCGAGGGTGCTTTCCCCATCGTCCTGGGACACGAGGGCGCCGGTATCGTCGAGTCGATTGGCGAGGGCGTTACCTCCGTAAAGCCCGGCGACCACGTTGTTGCACTTTAGTAAGTCGCAGAAATTTTCCTCGCTGCTTGCGAAGAGTGGGCTGCCAGCTGCCAGCTGCCAGCTGGGAGCTTGGGCTCCCGGAGCTCTCCACTTTACGTAGCAGCTGGCCGATATCTCGGCCAATTCGGCTTGGCCAGGCTTGTCGTGTCCGCGTTCGGAAAAATTAATGCTGACGGCGGCCAAACCACAGCACCCCCGAATGCCGTGAGTGCAAGTTCTGTACCAGCGGCAAGACCAACCTCTGCGGCAAGATCCGTGCCACCCAGGGCAAGGGCGTCATGCCTGACGGCACCTCGCGCTTCAAGTGCAAGGGCAAGGACCTGCTCCACTTTATGGGCACCTCGACCTTCTCGCAGTACACGGTTGTCGCCGACATCTCGGTCGTGCGCATTGAGCAGGATGCTCCCATGGACCGCACCTGCCTTCTTGGCTGCGGTATCACCACCGGTTACGGCGCTGCCGTCATCACCGCCGGCAAGAACGGTGTCGAGAAGGGCTCCAACATTGCCGTCTTCGGTGCCGGCTGTGTTGGTCTCTCTGTCATCCAGGGCGCCGTGAAGAACGGTGCCGGCAAGATCATTGTCGTCGACGTCAACGACAGCAAGGAGGAGTGGGCCAAGAAGTTCGGTGCCACCGACTTTGTTAACCCTCTGAAGCTGCCCGAGGGCAAGAGCATCCAGGAGAAGCTGATTGACATGACTGATGGTGGATGTGACTACACCTTCGACTGCACTGGCAACGTCCACGTCATGAGGAGCGCTCTCGAGGCCTGCCACAAGGGTTGGGGCGAGAGCATCATCATTGGCGTCGCTGCCGCTGGCCAGGAGATCTCGACGAGGCGTAAGATTCCCAAGCCCTTGACTTTACAAGATACTGACACATCTTTCCAACAGCGTTCCAGCTCGTCACCGGTCGTGTGTGGAAGGGCTGCGCCTTTGGCGGTGTCAAGGGCCGTACCCAGCTTCCCGACCTTGTTCAGGACTACATCGACGGCAAGCTCAAGGTCGACGAGTTCATCACTCACCGCCAGCCTTTGACCGGAATCAACCAGGCTTTCTCCGACATGAAGGCGGGCGACTGCATCCGCTGCGTCGTCAACATGCGCGAGTAAACAAACAAACCATAAAAACAAAACAAAAAAAAAGTCAAAGCGTTTCTTGTCGGTTGGACTACCCCAGGTTGATGCGGTTAGAAGGAGTTCGTTCGAGCGGAGGGCATAGTGACGTGCTCATGATCTACGGTTACGATTTAATCAGGTCAGGCGATAACGGTCTGGTGGCAAGGTGTTACAAAAATGGCTTGTAGGTGTGTGTTGCCAACAGTCCGTAAATATGACATTTAACCGAGAGGAGTTCCATGCCAAACGTATCGTCATCTGCTGTGCTTGTGAGTCGGGCTCTTATGGGGAGTTGAAGCCTCCGTCCCGAGGAAGATGCTACCGCATCTCATGACATCTCATGACATATTCATATGGATGGGAGCTTCAACTCCCCATGGATAAAGTCGCCATGGGCTTGGAAGCCCTAGCATATAATTATATCGCGACATGGCCTGTCGGCTCTTTCAACACGGTCAGTCAGCTCAAGGAGACCAAGCAGGGAAAGGCTAACAAAGGTGTGCAGATACAAGGCTACTCCCTTATTTGGCAGCGTTACAGTTGTCGCTTCTTCCACACGTACTCCCGCGCTTGGCGGCAGGGAACCGACAAGAAACCAGTCTCGTTCCTTCGAGTCCGGAAAGCAGCATCCCATGACCTCTTCACCTCCGAACCCTTTTCCCACTTGGCACCAACACCCTCCGCCCCTCCAAACAAGATCTTCCACACCTAAAGCCTCCCCCGCAAACCCAAGCCAACCCCACGAACACCACCATCGCAGTACCCGTCAACTACAAACCACTACCACCACCACCAACAGCAGCAGCAGCAGCAACCAAAACAACAACAGCAACAACAACAGTGAGTAGCAATGTCCACCCCACAACCCAACCCCGACGACCCCCCCACAACAACCACAACCACAGCCACAACAATAAACACCCCCACAACCCCATTAACCCCAACCACCTCGACCTCGACCTCAACCCCGACCTCAACCACCTACACCCACCCCTCCATCCGCCTCGCCCCCATCCCCGGCCGCGGCCTCGGCACCCTCGCCACGCGCCCCATCCCGCGCGGCACGCGCCTCGTCGCCGACCGCCCGCTCCTCGCCGCCACCAACACGCAGATGCTCAACGCCGAGCTCTTCGCGCACGGGCTGACCGCCGCGCACGCGACGCTCTCGGCCGACGGCCGGCGGCAGATAGCCGAGCTGGCGGCGCGCGAGGACGTGGTGGGGGATTGGATGGAGTTTTGGCGGCTGGAGGAGGTGGTGGATCGGGTGGCGGGGGCGGGGGCGGGGGAGGGGGCGTGGGCGGGCGCGTGGGGTGGGGTGGGTGGTGGTGTGGGAAGTCGTGAGGATGAGGGGACGGAGACGGCGGCGACGACGTCGGTCGAGGAGAAGGCGCATCTGATGGCGGCTTGGAGTGCGAATTGCTTCGGGGTGGGGGAGGGGGAGAGCGCGGGCGGGTGGGCGGGCGTGATTGCGGCGCGGGCGGCGCGGTTCAACCATTCGTGCGTGCCGAATGCGGGGTTTGCGTGGAACGACGCGCTGGGGGCGATTACGGTGCATGCGATCAGGGAGGTGGAGGAGGGGGAGGAGCTGACGGTCGCGTATGGCGATTCGACCAGGCGGGGGGCGAAGAGGCGGGAGGCGTTGAAGAGGGTGTACGGGTTCGACTGCGATTGCGTGGCGTGCGCGGGGGATGAGGAGGAGCTGGATGGGATGAGGCGGAGGATCAAGGCGTTGAAGACGGAGTTGGCGAGGCGGGCTGATGGGGAGCAAGAGATATCTTCGGAGTTGGTGGAGGAGGGCGTGAGGCTGCATGAGCGGGCCGGACTGGTCGGATCGCCTCTGGTGAACTTGTGAGTGGTTTGCCTTCTTACTTTGTTTCTTCTTTTTTTTTTTTGCCTCTCCTCCCCGAAGCGGTTCTTGTGCTGATGATGGGCAGCTACCAATGCGCATTTGCCGCAACTGCGGACCGCCGATATCTAGAAGAGGAGCTGCGTCACTGCATCTACTGGCAGGGCGATGACCACCCACACGTCAAAGAGCTCATGGAAAGGCTGGCGAGTGTTTGAACCTCTCACAGCCACGTGCTGCTCTCAGCAAACATCCTCGTCTTCCACCGCCTTCTCTAAACCTTTCAATTACGACGATAGCTATCCACATCGATAAGCTTGGCCGCACATTACAATCTCATGAGCTGGCTTTTGATAGGATCCGTGGCCTATATCGTTCTCGCATCGGTGGGCACGAACTCGAAGACTCCTCTGGTTCACTTACCATTAATCCAACACTGAGAGGAAACACAAACGTCAACCTGCTCCACACCTGCAAAAGCCATCACGCTCATATCCATTCCCGTCGAGAACAGCCTCAGAATTGCACAGAAGACGTTCATCCCAGCTCTTCCGAGAATCAATGCACCCTCAGCTTTCCGCCATCGACGACGCTTCTCCGCTCCTCTCACGTTATCGTGTGCGTTCAGACTGCATCCAACCACTTCGGTATCCTCGCCTGCGTCCGCGGGCATGTCCTTCGGTGCCATCAGACCACTTAAAGCATTTCGACTCTGATGTCACTGCAGCGGCAAAATATCGGTTGCCTCGAGCTGTACCCGTGAACGTCCTAGCGCCGGCATTGTTGGCTTATCTGACGGTTTGCAGCTATTACAGCGAAAATGGTGACATCGCGGGAAGCGTGAGGACCATAAGAGTAGCGGACATGGAGAAAATGGAGTGGGTCGGCGCAGTAGAAGACGAAATATAGTATGGACGAGGTGGCGTTGGTGAGGATGATCGTTTGCTGCCGCAGAGCGGATGGTTTCGGTTTGGGGGTTTAGTCCCTTCTGATTAGTCCAAGCTATTGGCACTCGCTCTGCGCCAAATATTGTGATCAGTTTTCACCTGCAGCCAGAATATGGAGATCCTGGTACAGCAAGTGATTTGAGCCCCGCTCAACAGTTTTAAAACGCCTGGTTGCATAGAGGGAAGCCGTTTCGCAAGCGTTTTGTGCACAGCCTTCACCCGGTAAGTGGAAGCCATCTCGCATGACTGTGTTTTCCTGGGACATCTGAACCCAATGTTCTGGATACAATCGTTGGTACAGGGATTGCAAAAGATTTGAGCCTACCTCATAGAGATATTGTACCCTACTAACGCAGATATTGAAACGGCACTTTCCCGCGAACAAGCAGATTTGTAATGGACATCACCGTGCCCACGCCAAAACTGAAGAGATCCCACCAGTTTATTCACACACACACACACACACACACACACACACGTCTGAACTCGTTACGAGCTCACCTGACGAGACTGCTTTCAGCCACCGCAACTGCGGCCATCAACCTACCCACCCGCGCCTCTCAGATCCAGAGACGCCACCAGCAGTGAGCACCGCCAGCCGACAAGCATGCCCTTGCTGCGCGGCTTCGCTGGGGATCCGTTGTGTGGGTAGTTGAAGCAAGTGTTCCAAAGATGTATGTGTAAATGACCTTTCTTATCCGGATTCAGATGCGAGTATCGAAACCACACAAAAGCATGCAGATATAGAACTCCGCTACCTACGTAACATAGATCTGCCGTCAGGTCCAATCCTTGCTCAACTCCCTTCCATAGCAGAAATCAACCAAACGACTCCAGCCAACGAATACAAGTAAACACTTCCCACAACCGCACAATCCGCCATACATGACGAGCATAGCATGCCCCAAGGCAAAAAAAAAAAAAAAGACAACAACAACAACAACAATCATATCAAGCTGCAGCTCACTCGAGCGCGCTCATTCGTGACAATCGATTTGATATCAAGACAAGGGCAGACGGGCTAGTTACTGTAGCGACCGTTCTCGAACACCATTCCCCCAATAACCCCAAGCTACGACAAGCAGCTGAAGGAAGAAAGACGCAACCGACAAGCACCACGCTCTCGAACTCCTTATCTTCACTCTCTACCTCGCTCTTACTCGTACGAAAAAAAAATGGATGTGTTTCCCTGAAGCCCAGGGTCCGGGGGGGGGGGGTACTAGTAACAGAAGAACGGGAACGCGACAAAGAGGACAAGAGGCAAGCAATAGAAGCAACAAAAAAAAAAGGACACGAACGCTCGCTAGCTAAGTTTTTCCTCCCCGCTTCGCAGAAAATAAAATATCAAGAATCGTTTGGCAAGAAAACGACACGACGAGGCGAAGAAGATAAACAAGAGAAAAGGATTGTCCTCATCCCAGCCAACTCTTTCTCATCCCCTCTCTCTCATCACCAACTTTCCCACCACCCCATACCTGATCACAACTCGTAGGGACCCACAAACCACGACCGTTAATCCCCCCCTCCCCCCAAACCAAGACCGACACACCTCAGAAGGAAACCAAAAAAATGAAAATGCCTCACCACCCGTTCCTCTCGTCCGACCGACCGACCGACCGACCCGACCCGAACTGACCTTACCTACTACAAAGACTTAACTTACTTCAATCATCTACAATCGCGCTTTCCTCCTCCTCCCCATCCCCACCCCCCCTCCCGCCATCATCCGCCTGCGCCTTGCTGCTCCGCCTCATCTCCGGCGGCACGTCCATGCCGGCATTGACCTGCGCCGCGATCTGCGCGTCGCGCCACTGCTCGAACTCGTCGGGGCGCTCGCGCGCGAGGGCGCGCAGCTCCTCGGCGTTTGCGCCGATCTTCTTGACCGTCTCCTCCCAGCCGTCGCGGACGACCATGTCGCGGAGCTCGCCGCCGCTGAGCTGCGAGAGCTGGTCGCGCAGCATGCGCAGGTGCGCCGGCTCGCGCGCCGTCTCGGCGTCCTCGCCCGTGGTGCCGTGCAGGCGGTCCTCGAGCTGCGGGCGCAGCAGCTCGCGCCGGACCGACTGCCCGAGCCGGTGGATGCGGCCCTCCTCGAGCGTCTGCGCGCGGCTGGCCAGCGAGACGTCCGAGTTGTGCCGCGAGCGCAGGCCCAGCGGGGGGAGGTCGTGGTCGTGGTCGTGGTCGTGCTCGGCCTCGTCGTCGGAGCCGCTGTCGCCGGCGGCCGTGAAGCCGGTGTTGTGGGCGGCGTAGGGGCCCTTCGATGGCGCTGAGGACGTGTCGGCGGTGTCGGTTTTGTTGCTGCCGTTGTTGTTGTCGTTGCTGGATGGGGGGTCGTGGTCCGAGGAGAGGGAGCCGATCGAGTTGGCGAGCGCGGCCGAGATTTCTGAGGCGGTGGGTGGGCGGTGGTGATGGACGCGGCAGTCCGGGTACTCGTCTTCGAAGCGCTGGATGATGCCCTGGAGGGTGTTGTCGAGGAACAGCAGCCGCTTGTAGGCCGTCTCGTCGCCGGCGCGCGCCTCCCTGGCCAGAGCCGGTTGAAGGCGTGCTCGGATCTTACGTGCGCTGTGCAGCAGATCCTTGGACATACTCTTCGCCTTGGCCGAACGCTGTTCGCGGTTGCCGAGTCTGCTCGAGCTGCGGGGAGTAGCGGCACCGCTTCCAGGTCGGCTTCCTGCCATGCTTTTCCGTCTGAGATTGTCGGACGCCTTCTCAAGCAGACAGTAGTTAAGCGCCTTGACCAAGCCAGTACCTCCAACGATGTAGTCCTCGTCCGGCGCGGCGGAGTCATCGTCAGTGCCATCGGAGTCTTCCCCATGTCCTACCAGATGAAGGAGTACTTCGGGAATCTCTACGTTTTCAGCACCGCTGGATGCGGCACCAGGAGCGCCAGGAGCGCTCTCGGCCAGTACAGCAGCCTCTTGAGCTGTGGCACGCTCCATGTTTGAAAGACAATAAGCGACGACTTGCTTCGCAAGAGCCTTGACAACTTCGCTTGAGTCCTGGCTGGGCACGTCGATATCGACGCATATTATCGAGTCCGAAACCCTGACGGCAACCATCAACGATGCATAGAGTGCGCAAGCCTCTTCCTGAGATGCCTCGTCCGATGCGGATGCCAGGGTAGAAAGCTCTGGATTCTCCAGGATGGTGAGATGAGCCAGCCGTGGACATTCCGGAAGGACTTCCGCCAGCCCGATAGCTTGAGCAGGCGTCATCGACACATCCTCCAAATGGATCCGTCTCAGAAAGTGAAGTTGGGGGAGGTACTTTCGTAGGGTAGCCAACGCGCTGGGCTCAGTTGCGAACAAATCGCGATTGTGTGACAGGTCCACGAACCGGAAGTTCTGCAGCGGCACCAGCTTCGGCAATAGTAGCCTTACCGAATCCGGACCCAGGTTGCAGTCTGCAAGGCTCAGTGCCCACAGCGGGCATCTGTCATGCAGACCTTCGCAAAGTTGTTCCATCCGGTTGCGCAAATCATTTCCGCCAAGGTCTAGTCCGTGGCATACGCCGGAACGGAGGTAGCGTACGACGTGCTCTATTCCTTCCGCATCGATGGAATTATTGGAGAGCCCAAGCCTTTGAATGCCGCTAACGATGACGCCGTCAATTATCTTGCGGATGTTCTGAGAATTCAGTGCGCAATCCGTCATGAGCAGCTCCTCCAGATGTGCGCCACCAAGCCGTTCTGACACGGACTTGTTCAGGATTTCCGCAATGTCATCGACGGGTACTTTGATCTGCTTCTTCTGCTCCGAGGGATGGGTCTTAGGAGGTGCGCGCGGCTGCGGGAAAGGGATGTGAGAGACGTCCAACGCCTTGAGTGATCGACACATGTAGATGAACAGACTTATATGCTTCCATCCTTCTCTTGTAATTTTCGGGTTGTTCTTTAGGCTCAGTTTCTCCACAACGCCCGTGCTTTCCTGGAAACTCCTGGTTGAGTCCGTTTTCATGGAAACGGACGAGCGTCCGTGATAATCCGGGGGTTTAGCGGCCAGAAGCCCTGCGAGAATGACGCGCAATCCCTCATCCGTGAGTTCCGAGTCTTCCAGGAGCAGCTTCTTTATCGGAACTACCGCAAGCCAGTCGCCAAGAGTATTCATATCCGCCAGCGTCAGCCGCGAGCCCGTAAGGTTCAGACAAGTGACGACACCGGGAGTCTCAATCGGACCTCTCGCTGCCTCCTGGAGTTGTTCGCTGATTCGCTTCAGAATCGGTGTTTCTCTCAACTGGCAGCATCTCCGATATATTCTCAACGGGTCCGTCGTCGGACGATCCTGAGGCTTCGACGGCTTGGTATCCGCTGATTGAGGGGTTGAGCTTCCCCCATCGTCATCCCGTGTAAGCTCCATTGGAACGGACCCGTTCTCTTCCGCCTTTCGACGCTTCTTTTCCTTCCTCTCCTTTCGCTCCGCCTCTGACCTTTTCTTCTTTTCCTTCTTTTTATTGCTAGACTCTCCCCTCTTTTCCTCGCCTTCCATTACTGTGCCCTCCGGATTGGGCGCCTCGTCGTTTCCCACCTCTTCGTTGCTGACCTGAACCACGCCATCCTTCTCTTTCTGGCATGCAACGGCGTCTGGATTTTTCAAAGCCTCACCCTCACCCCGCTCCTTCATCTTCTTGTCCTTGGTCGTCTGCCTCTTCCGCTCCGGAGATTCGCCGTTCTCCCTGTATCGTGGTGCACCGGCAATCTCCACGTCGACGCAAAAGGCAACCCTCCGAAGCTTCGAGCTGTCCAACTCCGGCACAAGACACCTCTCGCGATTTTGGTCGATGTTCATGACGCGTCGAGGGCACATGCCTCCGTTGCCCGTAACCTTGCTTGGCGGCGGCGCCTGCGATCCCGAAGAGAGCCGTCTTAGGGCATTCGACAAGAACGACACGCGCGACGTCTCGGGCGGTTGCGGCACGTACGGCTCCATATCCTCGCCATGCTGGTGCTGTTGCTGGCCATTGGTGGGAGGAGTGGGGGTGCCGAGACCCGGCGAGTACGGGTTGATAAGCGGTAGGCCACCGCCGCCGGCGCCGCCGGCACCACCACCACTACCGTTGGCCTGCGGCTTGCCATTCTGCACGTTGTTGCCGTTCGTTGCACTCGTGTGGTTTGCGGCCTGTTGCGACGAGGAGAACTTGGACGTTAGGCTCGTCACCCACGAGCCTCTCCTTGACGGGGACCGCGAATCAGGCGGGGTTGTGCCGGACTTGTCGGAATTGTTGCGGCCCAGCAGTGACGGGCGCTTTTGTATCGCCTTCGGCTGGCTTGTGGCATTGTTCGCCTCCAGCTGCGCCGGGACGACTGGCTGGCCCTCTTCTTGCTCCTTCACGTCGTGAACGCCATTCGTGGGCTCTTGCGGTTTGGGGGTCTCGGTGCTGTGCGAAGGCGCGGGCGGAGCGGCGGCGGGGACGGCTTGCGAGCCATGGGATGCTGAAAGCGTAGAGTCTCGCGCGGCGGCCGGAGCGGCGGGCGGATGCGCTCGTTGTTGGTTATCTTGAGGGTGTCAGCCAAAGCCGATTTGTGCCTTGCACGATAAACTTTTCGCCCGGCGGCGCTGCTTCTGCAATCGCCACGCTCACGGTCGCGAAGCACACACATGGCAGGGCCGAAGGACTGCGCTCACCTTTGTTTGAGTGGTGCAACCAGCTGACGTCTACTCCGTGGATTCCTTCCATGTCTCTGCTGGTTCGGCAGTGGTGAATCGAATTTTAATCGGTGTGCTTCGCAGGCTCAGCGCCAGGCGCGCCGCAGCGACAATTGTGTCAGGTTCGGGGACGGCGATCGCAAGATTCGAGGCGCACAGCGGAGGGGCGAACAGGGCGCGAGGGCGGAGGACAATATCAGAGCGGCCGGCGTAAGCAGGCCCACGGCGCGATCGAGTATGTTCCGTGCTATAAGGTGTGGCGCGCCATCGCGGTTCGCGCCAAAATCGACTACAGCGGGGGACGGGAGGCGGTGATGCTGGCTGAGCGACGCACTCGGGCGAACGTATGGGTATTCTGGTTCCTTAGGCGGAGGCGAGGCCCATGGCAATTAAGTGGATGTGCGACAGGATTGGTCCCGGGTTCGCCGTGCGTCATCGCTCTACGACCTACTAAGGGTCTTCGCTCACACGGCCCTCAGCTGACAATCTCGGCCGCCCTGTTACTCCCTAGAACAACTAAACAAAGTATGCAAAAACACGCGCTTCCAGTGCCTTCTCCGAAGCGACAGGCTTATATTCGCCAGGAGCGCGACGAACATGTCCTGTAACACAAGTACCCAGGCGCTTTATGCAGCGCCCGCGTGACATGCACCTTGGTCTTGGCATTCATTCGTGGGGAGTCTGGCCAGCGCGGCTGGCTTGCCCCTCACTAACGCCATCGCAAGCACCATGAATCGAGTCAAAATGCATTTCAAAGACGGGTATCTGATCTGTGTGTGGACGCATGATGTCTTGAATTCATGAAACTGCCGTCCACGCTCCCCTTAGGGACTGTATGCTGCACCGAGCGTAGTACCGACAAATCCCTATCCAGCTATACGCCGAACCCATGAACCCATAGCTTTTGATGGCCCCGCTTACAACTCCTCCTTGAGCTGAGCAATCTTGGCCTTGACGCGCTCCTCCTTCTCCGCCTTGGTGAGCTTCTGCTGCTTGTACTTGAGCGACTCCTGCTTGTACTCGTCCTTGGACTTCTTGGCCTTGGCCTCAGGGTCGGCCTTGAGGGGGTCGGCGCGGATTTGCTTGAAGGCCTCCTCGTAGAGCTCCTCAAGGGCGTCGGCCTCAACGTCCTCATCGATGTAGCCCGAGAACTGGGACTTGTACCTCTCCTCATCATCGTCGGCAAGAGTCTCCATGTACTCGGCAACGTGGCCGCCGTAGATGTACTTGCGGAGCGTCTCGGCATCGAGCTCCTTGGACTCGATATCGTAGCCGGGGAAGCGGTTCTCGGAGTGGGGAACGTAGAGACCGCCGTCGGAGGCACCCTTCATAGCACCGAAGACACGGTTACCGGTGGAGGTGCGGACGAGACCGACATCAAGGAAGACCTTGAAAGGGCGGCGCTCCTCGCCGTCGTCGCCCTCGGCAGCCTCGGTGAGGGCGTACTCTCCATCGGGCTCCTCAACACCCTTGAAGGTCTCGTCGAGGTTGAGCTTCTTCAGGGCGCGGCGAGCGACAAGAAGGCCAGTGGCGTAGGCAGCGGACCAGTTGGTCAGACCGTGGGTGATGCCATAGCGCTTAAGCTCGTGAGAGTAGGCAGCGACGAGAACCTTGTCGCCGGTGAGCTCCGAGGAGATGATCTGGCAGATGATGTCGCGGTTCGTGAAGCGAACGACCAGGCGGTACTTGGGAGTGTTGTACTTGTTCTTGGCCTGGGCGATGAGCTTCTTGCGAGCATAGTAGTCGGTCTTGCCGGACCTCCTACGCTTGTACTTCACCTGGTAGCGGCTGCCGTGTCCGTCAGCTAGGTGCGCGCGCGGGTAGTAGTTGACGGGTAACCTACGAGAAGTACGCGTTGTTCTTGACGAGCTTGGTGAAAGGCATCTTGACAGTCGCTCACACTGCAAACAAAACCCGAGTCAGCAATTGACGCTTCAGAACCCCTTCCGAAGCAACTTGCGAGACTCTGTTCCGACTGCCTTGATCGAGCGGGGCCGTTGGTGCGATGCAGCGGCGGGCCGCGCAAAACGCCTCAGTCATCGCTGAGGCACGCTCGTTGCATCGCGAAGAGGACTGACGGTGGGACTTACGAGGCTGGGTCCGTGGGGTTGTCGAGGTCGTCGGTGGTCGCTCGTGGAGGAGAGAGCAGTTGCGCTCAATTTCTGTGCGAAATTTAAGCGAGCCTGCAGAAGCTACCCTCAACACCAGAAATTGTGGTGGGCGACAGCGGCAGCAGCACCATCCCGGCGCCCGAAACTCCGCCGCGCTCGTGCCGAATCCATGCGACGCCCAACGTAGCCCGTGCGGTCACATCGTTCTCCTTGACTGCACTGTATCACAGCGATCTTGAGGTTGGATGTTGCGCCTCCTTTGTCTCTCACTGGATAAGACTGCTAAAGCAGCCTCTACATTCCTTTCTCTATGGTATCAACCCCGACTATACTGGCAACTGGATACTCTCAACGCATCCGCCGGTTGCGACATCCATTTCTGAACACCATCCCTCCTTCGTGGTACCTGTTCCCCCCACCACCAGTGCTTCTTCCTCTGCTTCTTCCTCAGAAGTTGCTAAGAATCCGCCGTCGCGTTCTCCACGCCTTGCTATGCGCGCGTAAAATTACCAACGGGCGACTTTCCGCGAAGCGCATTTTTAGCTTGCTTTGTATGGCGGACTGACGTATCTTAAGTCCGATGTCGGTCATTGCATTCGGGGAGCTCCCGAATATTGCTACCTCCGCCTTGGTGTTGGCTAGGGGTGTTGCACCAAAGTTCAAGTCAAACCGAACTGAGCCAACTACTCATCCAGCGAGCTTTGTGTCAAGCGTTCCGTCTATGGAATTCATCTGAGCCTGCTCCGCCTGCGACTGAAACCCAGAGCTGCTTCGATAATCACCACTCGACTGCGCTAGAGGCACACCATCATGGCCACCATGAGTCAAACAGCCAACACACTGGCAACCATCGCCGCAGCGGCATGCTCCGCTCGCGTCATCACATCCAGGCAGCTCGACTTGTTGCCAGAAAAAGGATGAGGGGGACAGCGTTGGTGTCTCAGCCGCGGCCGTTGACGATGCCGGCTCCGGGGTGGCGAAACTCGCATTGGGGACCGAAGAGTTGTATGAAGTCGTGCGTTGGTAGGAAAGTTGCCCGGGCTGAATGTTGTGGTTTTCTTGTCGGATAGCACCCTGGCCGTCCCGAGAATCTTGAAATGTGAAGTGCGAAATTTCGGTTGATGGTGTAGCGTGAGTGGGTCGGACAGTCAATCCATTGCTAGATGGCCAGAATGAGCCTCCGTTTGTATCTTGTGGGTATGGCATTCCGGGAGGTGGGAATGAAGATTGTTGTTGGTAAGGTTGTCCTATTTTTCCAGCCTGCCATGGGCGATCTACAGAGGCGGTGTTGGTAGGCTCCGGGATTGGATATGCGGGCTGGCAGTGAAGGTTATCATCGTTGCACAGAGGTGAGGAGGGATTAGCGTAGAACGGATCCTGGATCATGAAGTTCGCGACTTCTTGCAAATGGCGCAGGGTGGTTTCATTACGTGGATGGACAGCACATCCCAGACAGGCACAGGCATCGCCGCATGTGCAATTGTGCATGACGTCGGGGATGTTAGTCTCGAAGCCCTCTGAGAGCTGTGCGCCCACTGTAAAAGGATATAACGAAGCAATTTGGCCTGGTGAGGCACCGTTTGTGGCGTAGTGTATGCTGTTCGGCGGAGCGCGAGAGAACGTAGGGTTGTGCATGGGATTGCCGAACTGGTGCTGGCCAGCATAGAAGGGATACTGCTGGTTTGGCCCAAATGGCTGTTGTGCTGACTGCATGTGCGAGTAGTTGCCGCTGATTGCTTGACTCGGAGCCTGCTGGTAGATATCGCCTTGTGGAGCTAGGTTTAGCCTCTGGTTTGACTGCTTGATCGGAGCCTCTTTTTTAGTCGCAATTCCACTTCCACAACAGCTTTCCTTAGTGCTCGGAGGTTCCTCAACAAATGTCTTTGAAGCAGAGTTGCCTTCCACTGTGATGTGCTCCCAGCCTTGAACCTGTGCAGCAGAAGCAGAACGAGTGCTCTGTTTGCGCGTTTCGAGCTGTACGTTGAGCGGCCTGGGCTGAAATTCAGCGGTGGCCTTCGATGAGCAGCAAGCCGACTCCGAGTATGCAGGACCATCATCATGGCTGCTTGGAGAACTGCCCTCACTTGTCGGCGCTGGCGAAGTGTTGCTACTCCCCGTCGTGGCGGGTGGTTGTTTTGAGCTACAGCAGGATTTCGGCGCCTCCGTCTCTAGCTTCTGCTCGGAATCCTGCGCGGTCTTGATAGCCTTCTCGAGAGAAGCAGGATTTCGACTGTTGCTGACGGACTTGCGTTTGGATTTCTGAACCCGGTTCGAAGGGCCGGTGAGACGACCGATGGTGGACGATACGACCTCTGCGACAGGAGCCGGTTCCTCACCGTTGCTTGGACAGGCACAATCGGACGCTAGGCATGGACGGTCATTGAACAAGTCAGCGAGAGGAGACGGATTTAACATACATCTTGGGATGGTGTAGTTTATAACGAGCCTCTCGCAGCTGCAGTTCCCTCCCACATGTGGGCAGCTGCTCAACGGCCTGCCTGGCTTGCGGACTTCGAGCAGCAAACGGTCCTTGTGATTGCATGAGGTTGAGCGATGTCCGCGGATGCATGGCCCGCTGTAGCAGACGACGTGGGTCAGCCGGTTGAGTGGCACGGCGGGGGATAGGCGATAAGGGCAGACGCAGGGGCGGAGGACTTACCAAGCAACCTTCTTTTGCTCGCCGTTGATCGTTACCCACGGCATGGCTTTAGGCTCACTGGTATGCGGGGCAGGAAAGGTTCATCGGCACGCACAACGTGGGAAGGCCTATCGTGATGTGAGCTGGCGGACCCCTGCATCATGCTGTCGGGGCACAGGTGGGACGGAAACGCAAGGCTTCATGAGAGGGGCTTCGTGAGTTGGACGCTGCGTGCCAAGGGAAGAAGCTTGCGCATACCGTGGCTCGCACGGGCATCAAATGGAGGAACCCGACGGTGCGCCGACTGTTGCTCTGCGACAGGATGGCCGAAGCTGTTGAAACCTTGCCGGGCCCGTGGGGGGACTGGGGAGTACAAAGAATGGGCAATCTGGCGGCGAGCGGGCGTGAGTAGGCTGGGCAGATTTCCCCGGGAACGCGAGCCAGTGGACTGGGACGTGAAAGTCAGCGGGCGCCGCTTCATCTGGGTGCCGCTGCGGAGCGGGTGTCTCGCCAAAGCGAGCGTGCTGGGTGCGGCTGCGTGTACCGTGATACCTAGGCGGTGCGCAGAGCCGCGGATGTTCAGACTGCGAGCTGTGGGCTGCGGCACCCGAGCAGGACGGCAGCGTGAGGCCTGGCGGCAGCACGAGAATAATGGCCGGCGTTTGCAAGGTGCTGCGTGGGGTTGCGAAGAGTCGGCGCGCCCAACACAGCCGTCGCATGCAGTTGAGCAGGTTTCCCGGCCGAAACGGGTAAAGAGCGGCGAGTCGCGCCTGGAGCCGGGCCTGGCTTATTCCTGGGGCGGTGGCCGAGCGGACAGTACATACTTGATGAGGCCTCAGGTCAGCCCGCGGCGCCGCAGAACCGCAGCGACAGAGTAGCGCCAGTCATCGAGACAGGCGTGCCGTTGGAGTGAGGACGACCGAGGCCAGGTCCCTGCAGGTGCGCCTAGCCGAAGCAGATCTCGCCCTGCTGCCGCCTCTACCGGCGCGCAGCATCCATCATGCAGCTGGCCGCAAAACTGGATGCGTCGCGCCTCGGCGCCTCGGCGCACTTTTGCAACACCAGCTCGCGGCGGAGAATAGCCATGGCACCGTCTCGCCGCCCGGGGCCTGTCCACCATTCGCCCGGGCGCGAGATGACGCTCGGGTGGCTGATGCACATGCAAAACGTTCAGCCTTGCCCCAGTTCACGTGCATGTTTTCTGGCTTGGCGGTGCCTAGTTCGCGGCAACTTGCTACATTTGGGGATCGACGCAGACGACGTGACGACGCATACAAAGCACATACAGAGAGCCACCTCGGGAAATGAGGCAAGAGAAAAGAAAAAGAAAAATTGCTTCATTCTCCTTCTGTGTGCTCATCGCTATCCCCAGAGGACCCAGCATAGTTCCTAACGCCGCCCGATAAACAAGAAGTGAAGATCTATTACTCGTTATAGTGGTATACCTGCAGTATGGTTAGTGGTGGCCGTAGTCTTGGGAAGTTGAGGGAGGCTTACAAGATAGTTGGGCAACCCGTAGCTTTTCCACCCCAGTCTCGACGCCATCTTCGCGAAGCCCTCGGTTTCAATCAGATGGTAGAACGCAAATGGCGGGAACATAGCGCCGTCTCTGTGGACGTCGGCCTTAACCAGCAAAGCCGTGCCGCCAACGCCATCAAGCTCGATCTCCTTCTCCTGGTTGCCATCCCCACCGTCCTTCATGTACGCCATCAGCGAGCGATACGTCGCCATCTCCGCATAGCCCTCCAACAGAATATCATCCTTGCCCATGCTCTTAGCTAGGCCCTGCGCCGTGGGACTGTCAATCCACGAATTGTAGTCATACGGTCGGATCTCCATCTTCTTGGAATCATCATTGTAGTAGCGCTGGTAGCAGTTGGGGACAATAATAGGCTTGTTGTGCGACGCGAGATCCTGGATAAGAGATGGCGGCGTTTCCACGACGTCCGAATCGAGCCAGAGAACCCAAGACGTCGTCGGCCCCAGCGTTGTGAACAGTAACGAATTGCGCGCCTTTGACATTGCTGCGCGCCTGGCCTTCTGGTTCTCCAGCTTGTGGCGCTCAGACTCTTCCTGCGACTGCAGCGGGATCTCGGTGTCCTGGCGCAGAATAGTGATACTTTTGAAGCGCTTCTTCTGGGGCCCCTTCTGTGTCTTCGCAATCTGTTCCTGGAGTGCGGTAGTGGCGGCATTTCCCTCGCGTGTCTTTGGTAGTATGAAGCCAAGCGAGATCAGCTCGTGGGGGTAGTTGAGCTTCAGGAGGTTGTCCCAGTATTCCTGGTAGAAGCGTGCCATGGGGGTCAGAACGAGAACAGACTCGTGATTGCCGATAGGATCGCTCGTAGTGGTGAGGTTGTTCATGTGGTAATGAACGACCGGAGGAGGCGCCAGATCGGCATCGCCCTTTGCCTTCCGGAAAGGCATCGACGGCGGGGACAGCGCATTGGCAGCGGAGGTCCGCAGCTGGTGCGGGCTTATTGAGCTGTCGGAATCGGAGGAAAATATGAAGAACAGGAAGCCAACACAGAGCAGCGCGGCAAGCACGATGGTGATGGGGTTGGTCCTCCGCAGGGAGCGCGCGGGACGCATCTTGGTCAAGGGCCTCAGCGGAGGCGGGTCGATAGCGTGTGCTGGAGTCTACATGGTGTCAACTAGTCTGCGTGCGGGAGGACGTGCGATTGGGGTGGAGTGGAGCGGCTCCAAGGAGAAGCACGTACGGAAGCTGCAACTGTGTTCCTCAGAGTCGGCCCAAACCAGCCGCCGAGCGGAGGCGTACACGAGGGCTGCGAAGTCGGCAAGGCGCCAGAGAAAGAGCGAGTGGTTCGGGATCAGAGTGTCGGGAGCATTCCAGTCGAAAGCCCGCAAAGGCTCGCGCTAGGAAGCTGTGTTGACGGTGCTTGCGCTGTCGCTGGATATAGTCTACGTATTCGCACCCTCGCAAGTGAGATTGGCCCAGCCCCGATGCTCGCGGCAGCTCTTCGGCAAATTGCGCGACGCGCTTGTCAGGCACGCCGCGTCAAAGCTCCCCATCCGTGCCACTCGCCCCAGCGCCTCTGTCCATCATTTTTCTCGCCGCGCTCTGCCATGCGCCTCTCCGCCTAGCCACCCATGTTCAATTCCGCGCGAAGATGGCTGCCGCCTTTGCGCGGCCCAGCCGCGGTTTGCGGCCGTCTCCCCGCCCGCCCACGAGCGCGTCCGCTTCCCCGTCCGCTCGTCCCGCACGACAGCTCGGTGCGGAGCTTCTCCGCCCGTCCAACCCTCCGAGCAGGAAATCCCGCGTGCGAGCCTACGTACGTTGCGGCTGGTGAATGGGCCTGGAAGGAGGGGTGGGACGCTCGGAATACCCTAGTGGTTCAGAAGGAGCGCTACCACATGGGCACAATTACTGTCAAAAAGCCTGGCGACACGGTTTGTGTGCACAATCGCTGCTTGTATTGCGCAGAATACTGATCGCAGCCAGGACATCCGTACCCTCATTGACCGCATTGAACCATCGCCTTCCTTAGATCTCAACAGGGCCCCAACGGCTATGCTGCTGGTCACTCCATCGTTCGCGTCCGCCCTGCTGCCTCCAGTGCCTAGCGCACCCGCCTCGCTGCCAAATGTTCCGGAAGCCGTCACGCAGGCCGTGTCCCGCTTGGTACAGGACTCACTCGAGCGCGAATCTTCGATCAACAATGTCCGGATTATCGCGGCTGTGGTCGACCGGCTCCCGAGTCCAGAGGGTGGCTCCCAGGCGAGCAAAGGCAGGGAGGGGCTAGCTTATGCTCTGTGGTTCAACGATAATGTTGCGCGTACCGCCTGGTCATGGAATACCGTAGTCCAGCGGGAAGACAATGCCGCTTGCCTCACCATTGACTTTTTCGATCGCTTCAAACTTACCGATGTAGAAGGAAGCCCAAGAAGTCCACATAGCGAGGTCGTTCACCGACTGCACCTTCCACTTGCGAATACTCTCTTCCAGACAGGCCATGTCTCTCTGATGTATAACATGTTGTACAGGCTCAGCGAAATCGTGGAGCCCAAGCATGGACATGGCGCCATACTCCAAAATCGCCGTACTCTTCATGTGTGCGAGGTCAATAGGGCCAACAGTCAGCGTGTAACGTGGCCAGTGGCTGGCCGATACCTGGCACATCGGTTGGTAAACTTTCCGCGCCGGGAAGAGACGTTGCACCAGCTTCACGTTCCTCTCGTTCCGTTGACAGGCCCGAGACAAGTCGAAGCCGGCCTGGGAAACATCATTCGACAGGTCACGGGCCCCGACGGGAAAGCGTCCCCTGCATCTCATGAGCTAGAAAAAGCCGTCTCATCATTCTTCGAAGCTACAGGGCAGGCCCCGCACGCGATGCCTGTCTGGGCGCTTGTCTGTTCTGAAAAAAATTCCAAATATCTCGCTTCGGCTGTCCTAAGCGCGCTCGGAAAGTGGCAACCCAAGCAATTCAGTAAGGTGTACGACTATGCTGGCATGTGTTCGCATTATGTCGGCGATGCTTGGACCGCCGACCCCAAGATATTCCAGCCCGCCATTTGGAAAGCCATGCTGACCGGAAATGCGACGCTCCATCGTGTTCTTAGCGGTGGTGGCGGCTGGGGTAAGAAAGCCGGCCTTATATCCTTGAATCCCACCACATCCGCGCAACGAACTGCTCAACAGGCCACTACTTTCAGTGAGACAGATCAGGCCACAGCAGAGTCCCTGAAGGCGGTGGCGGAGCCCGGCTCGTACATAACTTTCTTCACATCGCCAGTCTCATCCCTTAACGTGCCGGCATACGAACAAGACACGAGCGTTTTCGGCACTCTACCAAGCAGTATTGACGACATCCCTGACACAGCTACAGAAGGTCCTTCCGGTATCGACGTCTGGCCCGGATACTTTGGTGCTTTGTCAGAGCAGGGTATGAGTTTCAAGTTCATTCGTGGTGATCCACACGGACCACAGGGGAAGCAAGTTTACACCTCAACGATGGTCGACGTCCCGTTTTCTCTTTTTGTCACAAGCAACCGGTTACCTACGAATATCCCTGCGCCTGCTGTAAGAAATACTGAAGGTGCAATGTCAAAGGTGAGTTCTGAGTATACCGAACAGATGGTAATTTAGTCACGCACAGCGTCCAGTATATACATGTTCATTTCTTGAATTGGAAGTAGCTCTTTCCTTTATCGGCAGTATCGCTGACTGTATGAAGCCTGCGTGTAGCCCAAACGATATCATGAACCCTTCTTGTCTCGGATCATTTGCTGCAACTCCCTGTAGATCGCTACATACTCGTACAACTTCTACCCTTGGCAAGCACTCTGTCAGATCCTTCTCGTCCACTCCTTCCTCACGATATAAGTCGAAGGATTATCTCAGAAGCAATACGGGCCGGTATCGACCCCTGATACCCATCTCTACACGACTTAGACTTGTTGATCTCAGCGGGCTGAAAGATATACCCGAGGATAAAATCGAGGAATTCCGTATGACGCGGGACAAGTACCAGCACTGGTGGAAAGTCTCGCGATGGATTGCTGAAGTCAGCCAGGAAGCGCTTGACCGTATACCTATCCGCGATCAAGCAAAAACAATGAAACCGGCCGGGGTAGCGGCAAGAACGTGGAGGAGCCGCGTATATGCGTGCAAAGAGCATATTTTGAGGCTTCGCCAGGGGAATATGCGGATGTTACAGCTGCAGGTCGAAGCTTTGGGAGCATACATCAACATGACCGTGGAAGAACTCCAACGACTTCCACATATTGGACCCAAAATAACAAACAAAATAATTGAGTCAGGCACCATGCACACCTACACCTCAGCTGATAGAGGTGCGCTCCACCACGCGTACGAACGCGCGCTCCATGCGGCCAGAGCTGAGGAGTGGGCGGTAGCGCAGCTGCCATTCAGAGCACCAGAGGTCACCAAAATTTTAGAGGATATGGGCAACAAGTCACAGCTCAAGTGCAAGAAGTGGGAAGACATACTATACCCTCTCGCGATTAGGTTAAGGAAAAGAGCGAGGAGGTTCAGGAAGCTTGGGGCGACTAGTCTTGACCACTTTAACTCTATGCGGCAGCAAAAGAACACAAACGACACTCAGCTTACACCGAGCTTAAATTCGATTGCTCGACAAGATGCCTTCGGTTGTGTCGCTTCAAGGGCTGGGGGTTCGGCAGGACAGGCTGAGCGACTACGTACCCGGTTCGACAAAGTAACGGTCACTCAGCAGCATCGCCGCCGCCTCTCATGTTCGCACCGGTACACCACAAACGACTCACCATCTTCGTCGCCCTCCTCCTCTTCTCTTCCCCCTGACGATGATACGGACGCAGATCACATACCTGACTCATTATCTTCTTGTTTTTCCCACTTTATTGAGGATACAGGTCTAGACCACAGGCCTGACTCTCCTTCTCCTTCTCTCCCTGCTGAGAAAACGAACGTCGACCACACGCCCGACAACGTCCAGCTGCTGTTCCATCGAAACCAATTCCGCGACACGCGTCAATACTTCGGCCGCAAACGCCGCGTCGCGCTGCAGCGACTGCAGGACACGGTCGACAACGTCGCGACGCTCCGTCTCAACGAGATCCAATACCTCGGCGATGCCGTCGAGCTGTCCGACGTCGTCTGCTTGGAGCTGATGCTGGAGTGCGCCAATGCCAACCCGGCCGCCTGGCAGCAAAAGCTCAAACAGCTGTCTGCCCGCGCCGGCCCCCACGCCTCGTTGCAGACGGACATGTGGCCCGCCATGTGGCACTTCGACCGGATCGATGGCTCGGCGGCACAGGATCTGATCAAGAAGCTGCGGTGGCGAATCCTGCGGTGGGGCAGGAAGGCGAGGATCGGAGATGAGGAGGCCAACAGGCGCTTGCAGAAGGTCATGGAGATGCTGCAGGAGGACGAGAGGGGGACGAGGACTTTCAGGATGCTGAAGGCGCGGCTGGAAGAGCTGGTGGAGGAGAGAATGAGGGCCGAGACCAGAGGCTGGATGAAGAATAAGTACCGGGTGGCTTTGCGGAAGCTACGGGCTGGGGAGATCGCGTATTTGAGGGAGGCGGTCGGAGCTGTGGAGAGGAACGTGGGAGTGATGGGCAAGATTCTCTTCTTCATCAAACAGGGGGCTGAGGAAGGGTTGGAGCGGCAGAAGCGGGTTGGGGAAGACGTGCGCCAGAAGTCGCATGATCCGACGTGGAAGCAGATGAATGAAGCGTGGACGCTGGCAGGTGAACTGGAGAGTTTACTAAGCAAAAGATGAGGTGGAGGAAAATTTCATATGGTGTTGAAAAGAATGGTCTGTTCATAGACAAGGCGCGTACAGAGCGCCCGGGTAAATCTCCAATCATTGATTTCATTTGATACAGCATATCTCTCGCCCGCTGGTTTCTTTCCTTGGCTCCCTTGGTACCACACCTGGGTGCTTGACGTTTAAGTCTTGCAAGTGAACGCAGAGTTAGGACGACGCAGCGTTAGACGGACTTAGCAGCGTTCCGGCTACATTTGACTTTGGCGCGTTCTTACGAAATCTAATGCCGTTACGTCTCTGCATCGCCTGTGCAAGATACTTGGTCTACGCCATCCATCTAGGCCAGCAGATGCCAGTATGTTGGTAAGCCTGGACAGAAACTCATCTGAGACAGCCTGATGAGCCGGTCCTGTGCGGCACCTTCCTCGCAAACTCCATGCCCCGGCGAGTTTCACGAGAACGATAATGTCTTCGATTGACATGCCTATGTTGGTAAAACGTATTGTCTAGTCGAGAGGTGGATTTAGATTGAGCAATGTCCTAGGATGGAGCCGGAGCCTGTTTGTGATACCTTGGATTTCTCTCAGATGCTTGAAGATTTCAACCAACCCTGTACACAGGCCTTGTATACCCACGAGATGATATTCGCGAGCGTTTTGAATGGGGACGATAGGTAATGGTAAGTCTGCGGTTTCTTTTGTACAAAATCCTACGGAGGTGGTTTCAGACGCAAACAGTCCGAACGTGGACAGCTATTTCGGGATTCATTCTTGTTGACATAACACCCTGGCACGTTTATATCGTGACAATGATGGTGCCTTCCTTGACTGTCCCCGGACATCTGGCCTGCTCGGAGCGTCGTCCAGGACATTCATCGTAGGCAACGAGAGTGGTCAGATGTTCCACACTGACAGACACTTTTGAGGATGGAGCACTGTCCGCAGGCACCCCCTTCCCGTTTGGAATACTCACAGACCGACCATTACAGCGTACCTGCCGCTTTCCTGAGCTTCTTTACCGACGTTCAAATGCCTTCGGCGCTACCACCAAGACCACAACAAGGCTGCTCACGATCAATGCCCCCGCTATAGCGCTGACCACCATAATTGAGCCCCTGCTAGCCGGGAACTTGCCGCGGATGACATAATGCTGGGACTCGAAGTAGCGGTGAAAGCCGATGAAGAGGATGACGATCGAAATGGCTATGAAAGTCGCGCCCAATGGCTTGCCGACATGGCGCAGACGATCGTGGTCCTGGAGGTCGTGGTCGCCGGGTGAGATTGACGTGTTGAGGCGGAAAAGTTGTGTTACGGCGATACCGATGCTCGCGAAGGAGAGCGAAGTACGGAGCCAGGCGAGGAAGGTGCGTTCTGTGGCATGGTAAGCTCGTATTCAGGCAGCCTTTTTTTAAGAAAAAGAAAAAAAAAGTTCTCGGTAAGAACGAACTCGGGCGCTTCTCTGTAGGATTCGTGGTATGAAAAGTAAAGAGATAGAAGTTGGGAATAACACCTACCAAGCGCCAAATGATCCCTAGCAACACTTCCCTTATTATCCAATTCAACACTCCCGTACTTCTCAGAAAACTTCTGCCACCAAGAGTCCTCCGTCTGTGCCTCCTGCACATCCGTGGCCCCATTTCCAGCGCCGCCATCCTGCCCGTTGGCTCTCCTCCTAATACTTGAGGAATCACGGCCAATTAGGCCCGTTCCTCCATTGGTATTGTAGGTACGCTGACCGGTGCCATTCCTATCCGCGCCCAGTATTCCTGTCGTCTCGTCGGCGCTGTTGTTCGCGGCGGCATCCCCATTGTTGGCAAGCCGGCTAGCCATTGAAGCCTGTCTTTGCTCCGACCACCTGCGTTCCGTGCCCGCAACGTCGGGCACGTCGTTGCTGCTGCTGCCGCCCTGCAGAACACCAACGGCGCGGCTGGACGAGTATGACACTATCTCCTTGAAGCTGACGCTCAGGTTGCTCGAGCGGACGGATGATGTGAATTGAGCAACGCGAGAGTTCGATCCGGAGGCCGACGTAGAATCTTCTGAGTGCTGCTGTGGTGGTGTCGGTCTGACTTGTTGCTGTCGGTGCTGCTTTGCAGACGAGGATGCGGAGGAGGACGAGGACGAGGACGAGGACGAAGACGAAGACGAGCGATGATGCGCCTCGGAAGTGCGTCCGGAGGCAGTGGAGGATAAGGCGCCCTTATCCTTCCAGAATGGCGCCATTGTTGAGGCAAGGCTTGGCTTCCCGCGGTAGCTTGCCGTAGTCCCTGTGCTCTGTGTTCTTGGTAGAAGGAACGGGTCGCGCGTGTGGTCCTGGTCCGTCTCTGGTCTAAAGGGCTTAGATCAATAATGAGCGGGACTAATCAGCGACGCTGGTAGTCAAGGGTCTGACGCTACTCACCGGACTTAAATGTGTCACAAGGAAGTAGCCAGCTCAGAGCTTACCCCAGTGCGGGACTCGTGACAACGGAAAGCTCGGACCCTGCTCGAACGCTGTGCGCGGGTAGATCAGCGGAGTTTTTCAGCTGCATCATGGCCTCGGCCTGGTTTGATAGAGATAGCAAGGCTGGCCGTCGACGAGAGAGGCGCGTACCTGAAGTCTGGTTGGTTGGGAGCGTCTTTACGGGGGACGAGATTCCAGGGTTCGGTGACGTACTGCCGCCATCGTGGGCCGATCGGCCCAGCATTTTTGCCTGATTTGTGCCTCGTTGTCTCAGACGCCAAGTCGAACTTCACGCAGCCTCGCGCCTGCACCTACACGCATTATTTTCTCGGATGTCTTCATTTTTTTTTCCCAGCTATCTTGCCACTCATCAATTTCTCTACGCCCGAGCCAATCTCGCTCACTCGTCCCAGAAACATGTTTGCCTCCAGGATCTCACCCGCATGACTCCTTTTGATTCCATTCCCGAGAAACTCTCCATTTACGCTTTTAACTTGATGAGGAAATTTGTTGGTATCTTCATGGCCCTCTCTCCGGGGCTCCTATTTTCTCGACCTTAGGCTGTCATCTCCTCTGTCGTCTTGCCCGCCCGCGAACTCTTGATGACCTTCTTGATGATATCCTCCACCTGGTCCCAGTCCTTGGCGTCGAGCGGCAAGAGTTCCGTGTTGTAGTACTTGGCGATCTGCGACAGGTTCATCCAACTCTTCTTGTCGTGGATGAAGCTGATGGCCACACCGACGCGGCCGAAACGGCCGGTACGACCAATACGGTGAAGGTAAGTTTCCGGATCAGGAGCGCCGTTGGCCATTTCGGGGATATCCTACAGAACCGTCAGCAAGTCTATGCATGCGCCAAGAAATTCGAGTACATACGTAGTTGATAACCATGGTCACCGACTGAACATCGATGCCACGGGCCAGCACGTTCGTGGTGATGAGCACCTTGGCCTCTCCCTTCCTGAACTTGTCGATGATCAAATCACGCTCAGGGCCCTCCAGAGCACCCGAAAGCTGCGCAACCTTGTGGCCCTCGGCGGACATACGCTGCTCGAGTGCAGCGGCAGTGTCACGGCGCTTGACGAGATGTTAGTTCGGAAACTATATCCCTCCATGCTTCACAGATACATACCTTGACGAAAATGATTGAAGATGCGATGGTCATGAGGCCGTAGAATTGCAGGAGGACCCGGAACTTGTCATCCTCGCCTTCAGCATCCAGATAAAACTGCTTGATTCCCTCCACCGTAAGTTCTTCATGCTTGAGAGTGATCTGGTTGGCATTGGGCGCGAAGGACTTTGCGTAGCGGACAACCTCGTCAGGGAAGGTAGCGGAGAAGAGGACGACCTGGACCTCCTTAGGAAGGAGCCTGCGAGAGTATTAGCAAGGGAAAATGCATCCGTGCTGGGAAGTGCGCACTGCTTGACTCTCTTGCACTGATCTCCGAGACCCTGTTGATCCAACATGTTGTCGGCCTCATCCAGCACAAGGACCTTGATACCGCGGTTGTCCAACAGCCTCCTCCTGATCATATCCATGACGGTACCAGGCGTACCGACAATGACCTGACCCTCGAACTTCTGGTTGCGCCTGCTAGGGTCGGGAATGGCAGCGGTCACCACAAGACCTTCCATGTGCTTTCCCATCTCTTGAACCACGCCCAAAATCTGACGAGCTAATTCACGACTAGGGGCAAGGACGAGGGCCTGGGGGGCAGTGGTTGAAAGGTCGACGCGGCTTAGCATGTTGAGGGTGAAAGCTGCGGTTTTGCCCGTGCCGGACTGCGACTGGCCGATCAAGTTGGTAGCAGGCTCCATGAGAAGAAGCGGGAGGGCCTTCTCCTGGATCTTGGACGGCTTCTGGAAGCGCATGCCATAAAGGCCCTTCAGAATCTCCGGCTTCCTAACAGCAGCACCAACCAATTAGTCTCACTAAACATTGCGCGGTCGTGTAAACAAACATGCGGGGCGTACAATTGCAAATCCTCGAAGGTCTTAGCAGAGAACAGCGGGTTGTTAGGGTCAGCCTGAAGATCTGCAAGCTTGACCTCGACGTCGTACTCGGGCTCATGAAGGCCGCCGCCTCCGCCGGTTGTGGGCGTTGCGCCATCGGTCTGAGCTTCGGCGACCTCTGCGGCGGGCTCGTCTTGGGTGATGCGGTCCTCGAGCGAGGGTGCGGCGTCAGACATGGTGGGCGCTGGTGGCTGTGCGGGTTTGGCGGGGTGATGCTAGTTGGACGCGTCGCAGACAAAGAAGCTGGCTGTCTCGAAGGACGGGCGGGCCGAGGACGTAGCGAGAGCGATGGTGCAAGCTGCGGGCGCGAATGGCAGCGGAGCGTGTGTTTCGCGCGGCCGAGGTGGGTTGAGGCAACGCGTGCGGTGGCGTGGATGCGTGGTGGAGCTAGGCGCGGGGCATGGGTGTGGAAAGTGCCTGTGATGATGTTCCTGGCCGCAGCGCGGCGGGCTGAGCGCGGACAAACCTTTCCGCCTGGAAAGTGCCGCCTGGCTGCGAGGCTCAGTGGCTCAGCCCTGGATTCCGGGAACCTGACTGCCTGAACGTCGTCACACCCCGCCATACGCAGGGGCCCTCTCTCTCCATTGCGGCCCAGCACCAGCCGCAGCGCCCTTCACACCCACTCTCCCATGCGCCTTTGCGCCTGCTCTTCCACAGGCTTGCCCCCGCAACCATGGCCGACATAGACATTAACCCACAATTCGGCGCCGAGCTCAAGGTATTGCTCCTCTCTCCGCATATGCGCGCGGGCATGGGCTGACGCACGTTCGGACAGGATGGCTTCAAGCCGGTTAACGCTTGGGTGCGTACGCCGCCAACCACCACCCCCCACGCCCCGGGCCCGCTGGAACCCCCGAGACGAGCTGCAGCACTCCGCTCGCACCACTGGCATGTGCTGACACGTGTGCGTGTTAGGTCGCGAATGGTATCGGTTGGCTGGATGAGATACAGCAGTTCTACCGGGAACGCGCCGCGGTGGAGAAGGAGTACGCCGGCAAGCTGAGTGCGCTGGCTAAGAAGTACTTCGAAAAGAAGGCTCGCAAGTCGAGTACTCTCAGCGTGGGCGAAACCCCCACCGTCACTCCGGGATCGCTGGAATGGTACGTCTCGCCTCGGGCCCCGGGCGCCGAGGACACAGATGGGGACTGACTCCTTAGAACAGCGCCTCCATGACCACATGGCAAGTCCAGCTCAGCACCCTCGAAAGCCGCGCGAGCGAGCACGAGCAGTTCTCCCAGCAACTCGTCACCAACCTGGCCGAGCCCCTTAAGCAGCTTGCCGCCCGCTACGAAGAGTTGCGCAAGTTCCACGGCGATTACGCAGCCAAGCTCGAGAAAGAGCGGGACTCCACATATAATGACCTGAAGAAGGTGAAGGGCAAATATGACAACTCTTGCCAGGAAGTCGAGAACCGCCGCAAGAAGTCCGATGGCGCGTTCGATCATGGAAAAGCAAAGGCACGTGCTGCTTTTGAGCAGCAACAGGCTGAGATGCGGAACTTAAAGGTCGGTTCCCACAATCTCTGTCTGTCCTGGCCGGTGCTGACATTGTTACAGAGTACTTATATTATCAGCATCAATGTAACCAATAAGCAAAAGGAAAGATACTATCATGAATATGTCCCTGAACTTCTGGATGTAGGACTTCTGGCACCTCTATCTTACCATGGCCGCTCCTAACTAGAGACAGAGTTTGCAAGATCTTTCTGAGACGCGAGTCGCGAAGCTGAACCAGATTTGGTCGTTGGCTGCCCAGATCGAGACCGGCACGCTTGCCCGGAGCACAGAGTTTCTGAACCACTTGGCTTCGGAGATCCCACGCAACAACCCCAAGCTTGACTCCATGATGTTTGTCCGGCACAACGCCCAGGAATGGCAGGACCCACCAGACTTCTTCTTCGAGCCGAGCCCTGTCTGGCATGACGATGACACGATTCCGGCGGACGACGCGACCAAGGTTTTCCTGACGAATATTTTGACGAAGAGCAAGGGGTCGCTAGGGGAACTGAAGCGGCAGGTTGACGCAAAGCAAAGAGAGGTTCAGAACGCTAGGAAAGCGCGAGACCTCATTCGAGAGGGCAAAGATAAGCGTGACGAAGTGGAGTGTGTGCGCGCCATCTTCTCGTTGCAGGAGCAAACGCACGAAGTTCAACGACAAAAGACGACTGCTGAGGTTGAGGTTGCGACCATCACAACAGCAGTAGGAGATGTCAGCATTGGAGCACGGAATCACAACTTCAAAGCCCAAACGTTTAAGATCCCCACGAACTGCGATCATTGTGGCGATCGCATCTGGGGCCTGTCCGCCAAGGGTTTCGATTGCCAGGATTGTGGCTACACATGCCACAGCAAGTGCGAGATGAAAGTTCCCGCAGACTGCCCCGGCGAAATGAACAAAGAGGAGAAGAAGAGACTCAAAGCAAGAAGGCAGGAGGATGCGAAGACTTCGACGGCAAGCCTGGGAACTACAGACTCGCAGTCCGACCTGCCTCAGCTCAGCCGGAGCGATACCGTCAACTCGATGAACACGCTCAGTTCTGGCTACTCTGCTACAGCGCACAGGTCTATTTCAGGCACTGCGGAAGTGGCAGAGGAGAAGCAGCCCGAAAGGAAGAGTTCTATTGCTGCTATACGGAAGAACCGTGTCATGGCGCCACCTCCTGCGCAGTACATCAAACCCGCCGAAGCTGCAGCGCCTTCGAACGGCGATAGTCATAAGGCCAATGAGCCAAAGGGCAAGATGATGTATACTTATGGAGCACTGGGCGAGGGCGAGATTTCAGTCGACGAGGGTAAGGACGTTGCCATTTTGGAACCGGACGGTAAGCTGCGACGCCTACATATGAATCTCGTTAAATTTACTGAACTCTACTCCCAGACGGATCCGGGTGGATCAAGGTCCGGGCCGGCCACGAGGAAGGCTTGGTGCCTGCTAGCTATGTCGAAGCTCTCCCCGCATCTCCTGTGCGCCCCAGTTCGACCTACTCCAATTCCACTGCATCGATCGCAGACAGCATTGCCGCTGTGGCGGCAAAGAAGAAGGGACCGGCAGTGGCGCCGAAGAGAGGTGCAAAGAAACTCAAGTATGCTGAGGCCTTGTACGACTACGAGGCGCGCAGCGATGCTGAGCACACGATTGTGGAGGGTGAGCGGTTCGTCCTCATCAACAGAGATGCGGGCGAGGGGTGGGCCGACGTGGAGAAGGGAGGCATCGTCAAGAGCGTTCCCGCAAATTATATCCAGGAGGTTTAATGGCGCACCAGGAGCGAGCGGAGCAGGCAGTGCTGGTGGAGGGCTCGGTCTTGGAAAGTGTACATTCACGGCGTCTGGTGCATACGGGCTGCGGGGCATGATGCTTGGGCACCATGTGTTTTCCGATCAGGGTCTTTTTAGCTTCTTTCCATCCATATCTGCTTTTTATCAATAGAGTGCACATGCAGCAAGCAAAGCAGGAAGTGTCGATGATGCACCGCCCCACTACGCGCCTCTTACCCCGGATGAAGGAAAGGCCGAAGTCAGCCCAGCCACGGGCGACTCCCGACAACGTCAACCCCCCGGGCCCCGCCAGGCACTCATCCCGCCATCTGCCACCCCCGAGTCCACCTCCATTCGCAATCTCCAAGCTCCCACCTCCGCTAGCTTCGAGTCGCTCTACAGCCCAACATGGCGGAGGTTCCGATTGGTATGCAAGCTCCCCCAAGCTCCTGACGTCCCTCCGCTGACGCGAGCCCAACTCTAGTCCTGGATGGCGGAACTGGTTTCCTGAAGGCCGGCTTTGCCGGGCAGGTCCGTTTTCTGCACCCACAAGCTCCGCCTCGCCTCTTCGAGCTGGCTGACAATTGTGCCCACACCACAGAACTTCCCCGACCACCAATACCCCTCGATAGTCGGCCGCCCGATCCTCCGCTCCGAAGAACGCGATGGCCTGGACATACAGCTGAAGGACATCATGTGCGGTGACGAGGCCGCTGCCGCCCGGTCAATGCTACAGATCACCTATCCCGTACGCCTGCCCGTTCCCGCGAGCTTCGAATGAGCTCCCCTGAGCGCGGCTGCCCCGCCGGCACCGTCCACGCGACCCCAGCGCTGACCTGGCTTTCGCCTGCAAACAGATGGAGAACGGCATCGTGAAGCGATGGGATGACATGCAGCACCTGTGGGACTACACCTTCTTCGAGAAGATGAAAATTGACCCTACCGGCCGCAAGATCCTCCTCACCGAGCCGCCCATGAACCCCCTTAAGAACCGCGAGCAGATGGCGGAGGTCATGTTCGAGCGCTACAACTTTGGCGGCGTCTATGTCGCTATCCAGGCCGTCCTGGCGCTGTACGCCCAGGGTCTGTCATCCGGCGTCGTGGTGGATTCCGGTGACGGTGTCACGCACATTGTGCCCGTGTACGAGAGCACCGTGCTAAACCACCTCACGCGCCGTCTGGACGTTGCGGGCAGAGATGTCACCAGGAACCTGATTGCGCTGCTCCTGCGGAGAGGTTACGCGCTCAACCGTACTGCCGATTTCGAGACGGTCCGTCAGATCAAGGAGAAGCTCTGCTACGTCTCTTACGACCTGGAGCTGGACCAGCGCCTCAGCGAAGACACGACCGTGCTCGTCGAGTCGTACACCCTCCCGGATGGCAGAGTCATCAGGGTTGGTAGCGAGCGTTTCGAGGCTCCCGAGTGCCTGTTCCAGCCCCACCTAGTCGATGTCGAACAGCCCGGCATGGCCGAGTTCCTCTTCAACACCATCCAAGCCGCCGACGTCGATGTCAGGTCGGACCTTTACAAGGCTATTGTGCTCAGCGGTGGTAGCAGCATGTACCCCGGTCTGCCCAGCCGGTTGGAAAAGGAGCTTAAGCAGCTCTGGTTAACGAAGGTTCTGCAAGGCAACCCGGAGAGGTTGAACGTAAGTTGTCTAGTACAAAGATTGGGTCAGTCGACAAAGTTGCTAATATACTTTGACAGAAATTCAAGGTCCGCATTGAGGATCCTCCGAGGAGAAGGCACATGGTCTTCATTGGTGGTGCTGTCCTCGCCAACATCGTAAGGCATTCTCCCCTCCGGCGCTGAAGTTCCTGACTGTATTAACTCATTTTCGCAGATGTCGGACAAGGAGAGTATGTGGGTTACCAAGGCGGAATGGGAGGAGCAGGGCGCGCGTGCCTTGGAAAAGCTCGGCGGTAGATGATAGTCTCTGCTCTGCACCTATCCACGACACTCATGCTGGTCTCGCCCACGAGGAAAACTTACTACTTGGAGTGGTAGGTATCAAGACTAAAGGCCATCTGGGAGGGCCAGTACTTTCAACACCATTAGTTTCTGAAATGAGATATCAAGCATCCGAAAGAACATGCAGAAAAAGGAGAGGACCTGCGCTCGCCAATTAGAGTCAGCGCCGACTTGGAATGATGTGCTCCGAACGACATGGAAGTAGACGGCAACAGAGAGGGCATTCTGGATACTTCCTCCATGTCCATGCCCGCCCGTATACCGTCAGGGATCACACAACTAGCGCCCACCTTGAGGCAATCACAAGACCATCTCTCTCGGTCAGAAGAAAGGAACCGACACGGCCAACATATGATGTCCGCCCTCTCGTTGCCCGCAGATCCCGCATTAAGGCCGCGTCAATTTCCCTCTCTGCCGGGGTCGTTGCCGTCGCCGCTCGTCATCAGACAAACGGAAAAGCCGCGCACTTTGAGACGAAGATCCCGTTCCCCACATTGTTGAGTCTCTCCCTCTCTCTTCCCTCCACCCTCCACCCACCATCGCCTAGGTATCCTATCCTACCCTACCCCCACACTCTCACACACACATTCATACCCCAGGGTCTCCGCGCCGCCACCGGCCAGCCCCAGCCCCTCCCCCTCCCCCGCATTCGTTTTTCGGCGATTCTTCAGGATGGGGCCTCCCGTCGCGTGGTCTCATCCTTTCCGCACCTTGTCCACGCATACGCACGCACACGCGCAGCAGCCGCACACACATCGCCCGCCCGCCCGGCGCTTCCTGACGCGCGCACAAAAAAAGTGGAGAAGGTGGTCGTATGCAAGGGTCGCATCGCCATGCGCGGTGACGCAGGTGTTTTAACGTTGCTTGCATGTGCGTGTGTGTGCGTGTGTGCAATGCGGAGTCGGTAGGTAGGTACGTAGGTAGGCAGGTAGGTAGGGGTATCTATCCGGTGCTGGGCGCCGAGGCAAAGGTTTCACTTGGCTTGCGTGGGTGTGACTACCTACTACTTCTTCTTTTCTTTTTTGCAGTGGAGGTGTTGTCTGCACGCCACTGGGCGCGCCCGCCATGTGAGTTTGCAGTTCGTGTGGCGTGTGGGAGCGGAGCGGATCTGGGGCTCGGAGGAGGGAGGTGGATTACGATCGTCTCTTCCTTCCTACTACAAAAGACATTTGGGGAGGCGGGGGGGCTGGTAAGGTACGTAGTGGAGATGGGGATGTCCACTGCGCTAGCTTTTGAACGATGCCTCACACTAGGCATTCCCCGAAATTTAGAGCCTGCGGAATATGGTACGATATTGATGTAAAATACGTCTTTCTATCGGTCCTTTGGAACCTGTCAGGCAGTGTGTGGTACTTTTTAGCTGGCGCGCGAGGCGCTGCTAGCTAAAACGGCTACGGCGCCACTCGATAGACGCCCGAAACGGCCGGGATGGAAACCGGCGTCCCAGGGGAAAAAAGCAATCATTTCTGCTGTGTTTCATCGCATCTGCTCTGCTCTGCTCTGCTTGTTTGCGCCGCACTGTGGCTTCGTCGTGGTGGTGGCGAGGGGTTTCTTCGCGGGTTCTGTTGCTTAAGGAGTTTCGCTTCTTTGGGCCATGGTCATGGCTGGGTGAGGTCTGGCATGTATATGCGTACACGTTTCACGGAGTGCCCATTGCTCTCTTAAGCTTGAGGATATGATAGGGAAGATCTATTCGAGTTTTGTGTCTGGCAGACGGCGAATTATTTCCTCGGTCCATCTATTCACTTCCAGTTGTACTCCACATGCCTATAAGCCATGAGGCGTAAGTAGCGGTTAGGCGAAAGTAATCGCTGCGCATTCACTGGCTACACGGTATCTCTTGGGATCACCGGCGTCTTCAAGATTTCAAACGGGAGATGAGGTGCCGAAAAAACAAATATGGTTGGTGTGTTGGGCTGGCGCCTTATCAGTGCTCTCATCCGCATCCTCATGGACCCTGACTGACAACAGACGGCGGTGGCGCCGGACGGTTGATCGGGCTCCCACTGGGACCGAGCGTTTAGGAAGCAGTAGGTGCCGTCCAATTACCGCAAAAAGGCCTACCGTTTCCTCCAGGCTTATGGCAGCTTAACTTAGTGCTTGCCACAAAGTCGGTCTGTTTCCTGTCAGAGACGTAGCGGTGGGAGGGAGGATCCGCCCGCGCGGTCTAGCAGGAAGTAGTATCTCTCCGTTGATTCCTTCTCCACACGTCCCTCCTTTCTAAGCGCCCCGAAGCAAAGTCTTTGTCTGCTGCGCTTGGCGCGTAGCACGTGTCTGCGGGCGGAACGTTCTCCAACGTCTTGAGCCACTAGGTGACAGGCACCATCCACCTCGCTAGCAAAATAGTGAACCGATGTTTTGCGAGCCTTCGCGAGGTAGGATTGTGCACACCGCTCCCTCCCCCTTCGGCAGCAGGATCTTGGGTGTTTCGGGGGGTTAGGAAAGGGGCGGCTTGTATTTGGGCAGGCCGTATCCATCAGTTTGCAAACGCGGAAAGGAGAGACGCTGTGATTTCATTCGGGAAACGGAATTAAGGACAGTCCGAAAAGGGAAGCGGAAGTAGGGAAATGAGGCGGCCTGCTATTCGGCACAACCGAGTCATCATTATGCATCTGCCGGCGGTTTAGCTTTTCAGGGTCCGGCAACGCGGATCGAGGGTCTTGGAATGGTGGTGTTTGATGTTTTTTCGGGGCTCTCTTCGCCCTGCATTGTCTCAGGTGTGGGCATGCGGCAGCAGGGGCTCGGGGTGGGAGGCGCGGGTGGTGTCCGGTAAGGCACATAGGGTCACTCACTATCGGAAGGTTAGAATCCTGCCGCAAGGTTGCGCAACACATAGTTTAGGTGTGGAAGGGGGCGTGGCGGATGGACGGCGGGAGAAAGCTTTGACGAAGCGCCGCCCAAAGCGCGACCCTTGTTCCTGGTCGGTACCCGCCCCCCAAGCGAGCAAGGTCCATCCTGACCGCACCGCGCTGGTGCCGTTAAAGCGGCGAGCCGGATGGAAAGAGTGGCCCTCAGGACCATGCGCCTTCACGCGCTCGCTGACAGAAGAGTACAGGACAAAGCTCGGCGATGGGTTGATGAGTCGAGAGATAGCAAGGCCCTCTTTTCTCTTCTCTGCCTCTTACCCGCTCGCCGGCTGTCCCCAGCGCTGGGGCACGGCCTGCTGATTCTGCTTGCTTGCTCCAAAGTAGCGAGCGTGCTGGCTGACTGCCATCTGCTCGAACAACACTTCCCCCAGTCCTTCCCCACCCTTCTTGAATCCAGCTGCAAGGCGGGATGCCGTTTTCAACGACCGAGTTCTAGACTTGCGGACAGCGTTGCGGCAGCGGAGGCGGGAGAGGGGAACTCTGTATAGCTGCTGCAGCTAGAAGTAGCAGGCCAGCCCCGCGATGCTGGCCTTAGGTGTCTAGACCGTCCTCCAGCGAGCAGCTGCCAGCCGTTGCTGCAAGGCCCTCTGGCGTCTCTCCGTCATGCCAGAGCACGCGGGTGGAGCTGCACGTCTGTGGTAGCACTTCCGCCGGCAATGAGGCCCGGCCATCATCATCTCTCGATGGGCGGGCAGTTGGCGCCGGACGCCCAGTCAGCCATGGCCAATGCCATCGCACATGCACACGCAGCACACGCAGCACACGCCCGCAACAGCAAAGGCGTGCCCACATGCGCCTGCGGCCCAGGTGGGCAAAATGGAAAAAAAATTTCCAACCCAGTCCGTGACTTTCTTCGGCCAACAAAGCAAACATGGTGGTCACCACACACCGTCGCTCCATCCATCGTCCGTCAAACTCATCGCGCTAGCCAGCGCAGAAAACACCTCGAGGGCAACAGCTCACGATGGAGAAAACAAGTGCGACCAGAGATCCTTGGGGCGCGCGCACAGGTCTTCCGCGACTCGGCGACACTAGCCGTTAGCTCTGATGCCTTCGTGCCATTGGGCGAGTGGGCGGGCGGCCATGGCCTTTTCGTCCGTCAAACGCCAACGGGCGAGGAAAGCCAGCGTGGTGCCCACATAAGATGTACGTCCAACGAGCCAAAGAGTGGGGGCGGAAATAGGCCAAGGAGGGATGAACGCGACGGTGGAGCGGGTAGTGGCCATTGGACGACGACTGCCCTGCTACGAGACGGTAACGTTGGAAGAGAGAGTGTCGCTAGCAGACCGGAGTGTTTGCGCCCGGGCTGCCGCCGCCGTGTACCGGGGGTGTCGACAAGTGGGCAGGGGCGGATCACCGCCCGCTTCTGGCGTGGTGTGTCATTCGCTGCTGCTGGTGCCGTCGGTGCGCTGCAGCGAGTGCCCGTCGGGCAAGCCGCTGACGTAGCGGCGGTTTCTCTCTATCACGACGTATGACGGCGGTGTTGGCAGTGATGGTGCCCAGCAGAGCAACAACTTTGTTTTCCTTCTTTTTTTTCTATTTTTTATAACGGTGTTACACACGGTGTTGTCGCCACTATCTTGTGTGGCTGTGGGACATAAGAACTTGCCCGAGCGGGCCATGATCGTAGGTGCAACAGGCTGAAGATGGCTGCCGCGTGGCGCGTAATCGCGAGCGCAGAGCGGAGGGTCGGCAACGCGAACCGATTTCAAAGAGGCAGTGCCGTACCCGGGAGGCAGGTAATGGAGGGACGAGGGCGGCGTTGGTTGGTGAGATTCGCGACTCGGATGCGTGGCTGCGCGGTTGGCCGCGAGATCTGCCGCAGCTGGGTGCTTGAAGAAGGGATGGTCCCGGTGGAGATGGCGCCCTCGTCGCTGGGCTCGCTGGGCTCGCTGCCACGGCGGCTGTCTCTGATGACTCGGCGCTTTCGGGCTTTCTTTTTGGTCTGCTAGCTGCATTGCAGGCCCGGCCGATCTCTCGAGCAACGATAAGGCGAGGCCGATACATACATGTGAAGGATTCCTGTGGGAGCACGGGAGGTGGCGACGCGGAGGCGGACGGCATGTCCCCAGCCGATGGCAGCGGCCTTTTCCAGAAATTCCAGCGACGGCGGAGGCTGCGCCATGTGCTGCCGCGTCGTCTCGTCCCGTTGCGCCGTGTGGCCAACGAGGCGGCTGCCATGCCGAAACTAACCCTTGCCCTGCGTTACCCGTCGCAAGGCGAAAAAGATGTCAGCCCCACGTCCGCGACTCTCTCGCCGCGCAAATGATGACGGCTAGCTGTCTCAGGTCGAAGATCGTGACCTCATCCCACGTCTCCTTCGTACTCTGCGACAAGTCGGAGCGAAGCGTCTCTCGTCCAACCAGCGGAGCTGGAGCATCCCGCTTACAGCAGCATCACCTCCCCAGCAGCCTATCTCATCGCTCGCATCACTGCCCGTAACGGCAACCCTCGCAGCGGCGCCGGTCGTCGACACCGCCTGCTCCAAGCAACCCGCCAGCACAGTGCCCAACGCCGCCGATCTCTTGGCCTGCCATCCGCCACAAGCGGCAGTAAATCAGAAGAGTGAGGATCTTCCCGCTGCGGCAGCAGTAGCGTGTGAGAACAAGCATCGACGTGGCGCCAACGGACGGAACGAGGCGGTGGAGGCTGCGACAAGTGCGGCTTGAACGATGATCGACTGTTGACCGGCTGGCGCGTAGGTGGTAGTAGATGGTTGTGGTGTAGCAGCACGCACCGCGAAGAAAGCGCCGTCCGCTCGTTCGCTGCTTCCATCCTTCCATCCTTCGCTCGTGGCTCCCTCTGCTCCACAGGTGACACTCACCCCCGCCCTCGCCTTCGGGATGCCGATCTCGCCTTGACTGCTGGCTGCTCAGCTGCCTGCTGCTCTTTGTTGAACGTGCCGCAACCACCCATCACCGATGTGCCGTGACGCAAATAGTGGGCGGCGGGCATGGAGTTACCTCCGACGGGAACCCGTGCCTGCCCAACGACATGGCGTCACGCGGTGATTCGTCGCTTCCCCATTTCCTTGTTTCCTCCTTCGTCTCTAGCACCAAGAAGGAAACTTCGTTACCCTGGGCCCCAGCTTCGCTCTTTCCTTTTCGTCTCCTTACCGCCGGGCAGAAGCCAAAGCCAACAAAGCCCATCACCGCCCCGCAGGCCGCGCTAAGTGCGCTTAAAATCATGGAATGACGATGGTGGCATGGTGGACGGGCATGCCGTCATAGCGTTCCTGTTGCTCGGGTATCCCATCACGATCGTATTCTGCCCGGCGCCAGCCATTTAGCAAGCGAAGAAGAAAAACGGCAAGGGGCCGCGGGGAAGGACGAGGGAAGGAGGAGTGACTCCGACATACGGCCTCTCGAGCTATACCAGGACGTGCCACAAGGCCACTGGCCTAGCGAGTCGGCGGAGATTTGGTACAATAATAGAAAAAAAAAACCAACCAGGACCGCTCGCAGAACCGAGGTGTAGGTGTGGAACAATAATGCTGAGTCTTCCAGAGCTCTCTATTGTCAGGTGTATCATAGCATGATGGGCGGGCATGCCGAAGGGCAGCACGACCACTTTCTCCGCGAACAGGCCCTCGCACTTGCTCTCTCCCACACCCCACTCCACATCTTCCGAGGCTCTGATGCTCTCCGGCACGCTCATCTGCCGGTCGTCCCGCGCCGTGCTCTGCGAACCCACGCATGCGGCGGCATTTTATCCCAAATAGGGCAAAAACAAGTGGAGGACCGTCTGGTTGGTTCATCGTCACCACCTTTCTCCAGCAAAGAAAAACCACTCCCCCGCCAAGTCTCACGACCGAAAGAAAAAAATTGCGGAGCGATGGGGCTTGGCGCATGTTCATGTGGGCGGCGGATCATGCCGCTCGCTCGTCAAAAGAGGGGAGCAGCGAACGGATTTTGGCGATCAATCGACAGACGCAATGGTTCGACTTTATTTCCTTGCTGCTCACTTGATTTGTCCTGCAGCCCCGGGAAAGGCAAGAGCAGGAAGAAGAACAGGGAAAAAAGGCGGGCGCAGGTATCACCCGTTCATGTCGCGATGATTGATTCCCCATCTCCACAGAGCCCACTCCGCGTAAGTGGTGGATGGACGAGTGCGTTGGAAGGGAGCAGCAGGGAGGGTGCGAAGTGTTCGTCCAGCCACACGGCGCGTCGTACTCGCCCGTTGCTGCATTTGTTCGCGTGCGCGACGCGGCGAATGTTCACGTCCCTCCCAGCGTCGTCGTCGTATGTACCACCCATGGCTACGAGATGCGTATGGCACATTGCGTGTTACCCTACCAACGTGACCTGTGCGGTGGTGGCGGCAGCGGCGCCCATCCATCTCTCTGCAGGCGTCACGCTTCGCAACCGACGGGGCTCTGTGGCTTAATGCTACACCTTTTTTTTTTTTCAAACACACTACCAGAAGCACTACTATCGCACTATCATTCAGTTCTATTTGCGTAAACACGAAGATGACTCGACGGGTGACTCGCGGCTGCTCGGCAGCATCGCGTGGCGCTTTGGCGGCGGCTGGCGGCCTTGTGGGTTACCTAGTTGGTGGATGATAGTGGTGGTGTGTGTGAGGGTGGGCGGCCTCATTGCGGCCGGCTGGCTGGTTTGGGCCGGGCCGGTTACTGGAGGGAGGAAGCAGCCGACCAGCATGAGGGTGGGCGGGTGTGAGCAAGCGCGGGGAGCGGTACCTCGGCGAAGGATTGGAGGGGAGCGGCTGATGCCGCGCAGTGGTGGACGCAGGGACTCGCAAGTCGTCTGTTGGATTGGCCGCCGTGGTGGTGATGGAGGGCAGGCGCAACAGGTACACACATACGCCAAGGCGGCACCTGCGACCGACACTGCACGCCAGGTTGGCCGTTTAGATGGGGAGCTGTTCGTTTCTCCCCGCCTCTTCAGTGCACGCGTATGTACCAGCTGACGGGCGGCGGAGACGCAGCTTGTGTGCTGCTGATGCGACTGCTGGCGCGCCCGCTTGCGTATTCACCGCGCCGCCTTGCCGCTTTGCCGCTTGGCTGGTCGAGTATTTCGAGACATGCTGCTCGGTGTGGGCTGTGCAGGATGGTTTGATGAGCGATGACGAAGGCACCTTTACAGGGTATTCACAATCAAGGCGGCCGGGGTATTACTCACCGTCAATGCCTCTTCTTACCAAGCTGCGCGGCACGCGGCAAAAGCTACAACAGCGACTCCATGTGTTGTCGTCAGCTCACCAGCTCGTCGTTAGCGGCGGTGCGCAGTCCGGATTCCGATGCGCAGCGCGCCCAAACGGACCAAAAACCCGATGATTGTCGCGCCGCCCGTCGTGTTGTCGGGCGGCCCCTGCACATCCATGTCGCGATGGGCGTTGAAGAAATCAAACGGCACCATGGCACCCACTCGGTCTTCACACAGCAACTGAGACGGCCTCGGGCACCAAACCGCTTTGGTATTGAAATCGAGCGATCAAGCTGCCTGCCTGGTCTGCCTTGGTTTCTCGCGCATAACCCGCCTTCACTATGGGCTCGTAGAGTCCGTGCTCGCGCGGCTTCACTTGTTCAGGCTTGCCTGTCTGGCATGTGTACAGTAGTTCCATTCGCCCACGTGGACGGTGCTACTCCGACATCCCTGCCGTCGTGAAGAAACCTAAAGATGCCCGAATCCTTTCCCAATGCTAGTAAAAAGATGCACAACGCAGAACACCCACTCACGAATCCCTCCGCAAACGCCGGTAGCGCGGGGAAACCCCATGTTGGCCAGTCGAAAATGAAATTTGGGCGGGCCCAAGCGAATGTGGTGTGTTTGAAAAAAAGGGCCCACTTTCCAGCACTTGGTATGTGGGGACGAAATGTAACAACGCAACCGTGAAGCGAACGGCAGAAAATCCCAGCCCCAATCTCACCAAACCCCCCCTCTCCAACCCATGCCAGTGTAATCCCGATCCCTTGGTACCGAAAATGCCCGTGGTGAGGGTCGCGAATGACGAAGTGGCGAAGATCATGACGATGGCCATGCCGGATCACACGATGGCGACCCGACGGTGTGATCGACTGCTTGCCACTGACTACGTGGAGGTGGATCCTCCGCGCCTCACCATGATAATGAACGGACGGTGTGTTGCTGTCCCTCCGTCGGTCTCATCCTGCATTCAGGATGTGACAACACTAGTCTGTCAACCTGGTCGAAAACCCGGAAACGAAGACGCCGAAAATGTAGTGATGCGGATTTTTTGGGTGTTTGGTGGAACACGCGTCCCACGTGAATGAAAATGCTCAATCTCTCTCCCTTTGCTCCTGTGGTATCGCTGACACCGAAAATGCTGATGGAGATGACGCCCGCAGAATTGCCGAAGATCGAAGAAAACCAAGGACTCGAAAACCGAGGACTCGAAAACCGGGTCGTTACGCAGAAAATGTGTCGAAATAGGCCGTGTCGGGAAATGCTCGTCATAAACGACCATTCCGAGTAAGGAAGGTGCAGATGCTCAGTAGCTGCCCACCGAAGTTGGGCGCCCAGGAGACATCTGGCCCACCCGCCTCACTTCATCTTGAAGGAGCTTCTCGACGAGGTCGTTCCTAGAGTCGCAGAGACCGCCTGCGGACTTGGCTCCTGCCGTGAGGTAGTCGCCTCCCTGACCCTCGAGCTCGAGAGGAGTGACTGGCCCTGGGCTGCCCAGAGGGTTCAGACGGGGGCTGGCAGGCTTGCTGCCGGTAGCCATGTTGCGGGTGGCGTTGGCGATGAGCTCTCTCTGGTACATGTAGAGCTGCTGCTGAGCCTCCGAGTACTGCTTCTGCTGGGAGCGGGGCGAGGGCGGCGGCTGGGGGCTGTTGGGGTTGGTGCTCGGCGTGGTGGCAGCGCTGGAGCTGGACGAGGGGAAGTTGGCCGGATGGAAGCGTGGCAGCGAGGGCAGCCTGAGGTTGGATGAGCCGGAGCTGGGCTGGCGGTTGGCCCGGAAGCGAGGTGCCTGGGACGGGATGGCCAGAGAGTCGACTCCGGCCCTGGCGGAGAGGGTGCTGGGAGGAGACATGATGGCGGTGCGCGGGCGGGCAGACATGGTGGTGGTTGTGGGTGTGGGTGTGGGTGTGGGTTGGAGTAGTTCAGGCTGCCGGTTCCGGATGGTAGAACAGTGACTGCGTGGACCTTGAAGAGGCGTGGGGGAGGGTGCTTATATGTGTTGGGAGAGGCAGGTGTGGTCTCGAGAGAGATGTGAAGTGCTGGCGGGAGAGATGCCGGTGGAACAAGGAGGTGTCAGAAGGCCAGGAGCGGGGGGTGAGTGTTATAGATGGCTTGGTGCCGGGGGTGTTGCGGGCGCCGATAAAGCAGCAAGGCGTGCAAGGATTATTGTGGTGGAGATGCAATTCAAAAGGGCAGGGCAGACGCTGATCAGATCAACGGGCGGCCGGCTGCAAAGCGGTGCCAGGACGACAGGGTTTCAAGGGCTTGGTCCCTGGCGCCGGGCGCAGCGGCTCAGCAGAGCGTCGCACCGAGCGCAGCGACTGCCGGTGGGGCAGCACAAAGCAAAGGGTCGTGTGTGCGTGCCCGCGGGCCTGCGGGCCCTGTGCTGCGGAATGCGTGCGCTTTCGAGAGAGCTAGCTGTAAGGGGAGAAGAGGGGACGCGCCGCCGCAGCGTGATCAGCCCTGTCTCGTTCCCTCCTGCCTCGCGCCGCCCGACACTCGTGAGCCCATGACCCGATTTTGGTGATGACGATTGTGCAACAGACGGCCTTGGCGCCCTAACCACCGCCGACGAACGCCTTCGGGGCATGCAATCATGCACTCGACATCTGTCTGCCCGCGCGCCGTCGCACGCCGGCCTGCCTGCCCTACCCCTGCACGTGAGCGCTTGACCCGCCGCCTGCCTCTCCGACTGTTCCGTGCTGCTTCTGCTGCTTCTGGCGCCTTCCTGGCGCGTCGGGCGCCGCGCACTTGCGCCCTCACCACCGAATCGCGCGATCGATACCGCTGCTGCAGTCGCCCAAGCCGCGCTCTCCGCAGGCCTCCGGCTCGAGGGCAGCCGGCTTTGCGACCAGGGGCGCACCGCACATGTTTCCGCCCGCCGTCCAATCACCGCCGCATCGCCGCATCGCCGCATCGCCGGCGCCGTTGCACCTCTTCCCAGGACAATTGTCCGCTGCCAAAGGAGGCCACATGCAGCGCGCTAGAATGTTGTAGGGACGGGTTCCGGGGCGTGAGCTGACAGTCGTTCGTCGCACCCTGTGGCCAGAGTGGTCCCCCGGTCGTGGAGTCTCCATGCCACAGAAGACATGGCATTCCTCCGAACCGAGAAATGCTCTCTCGCTTGCTGCGGTGGAGAAGGCGAAGACAGACGGCGCGCTGCCCTTGCAGCAGCGCTCAGCCGTGTAGGCATACGAGATAAGCCAAAAATAACCGATCCTGTCAGCATCACGCATGCGGAAAGGCAAGAGAGAGGTTTGCTTCCTTCGACTAGAGCGCGCGCCTGGCGGGCTGTGCAACTTGGCGGTGCTGATGGATCTTCAATTGCCGCTGCGGTTGAGCCGTCGTGCGCGCCAGCAGTGCGCAGTCCTGCACGCGTCACACCGAAATCCTCAGAGCTCGCTCACCGATCAATTGACTGTCTGAACTGTTGAGCCAGCCAGCCTCGTTCGGAGCTCATCAAACCTGGCAAAAGCATGTGCAAGGGCGGCGCGGCCCTTCGTCCTTCCGCCATGCATGTTTCATTGGCGCGCCATATCCAATCGAATGATTGAACCCTCGTGCCATCCCAACGCCCGCCGATGCTCTGATGCTCTGATGCTCTGCTGCTCTGCTGCGTGGTCGTCAGGAAGCAGCTCTGCGGCGCAGCCGAACGGGCCCGGCTAAGCGGCCTCCGCACTGCGTGCCATTCATCTCCAGCTGCAGCGCCAGCACCGGCAGGAGAGCACCGGCAGCAGCACGCACGGCGCAGCAAATAATCGCTCTTTTTCTTTCCAGCAGTCGATCTGCCGCCGACACGCAACAAAGGAAGCATAGGGTATGCGGATCCATCGGACGGCTTCTTCCAGAAGACCACAATATGCACCCGCCTGACGCCCACCCCCCCTTCTGCGAACCACCAATCGCCCGGCCATAGCAGGTACACTAAGAACCGCGGTTGGCTGGCGCGCGCACGCGAGGCACGGTCACCCCCCTCAATCACTCGAATGCGATAGAAATCGCAAAAGGCCGCACGCGAATCCGCGTCGGCCCACGAATCGCTATCGCATATTGCTCATCCATGCTCTCCTTTTCCGCCCAGGGTGCCCCGCTGCGCCAGAGAACCGCATCGAAAACCCCGCATTCTTACGCATGCAGAGCGGCGACAGCACTTCGAACACGCGTTTATGCAGTCCCCCATCAGGCTGTTCCTCCTGGCAAAGGACCAATGTCCGGACGGGGATCCGCCAATGATCTACGATCTGTGATGGTCCTGGGGCCGTAAGGAGAGGCATGCACGAGAAAAAAAAAGAAGCGGCAAACCCTTTCAGCCAAGCTGCATGCATGTCTCATGGCAAGTGATTCCGGATCGGCGCGGCAGAGCGCGAGAAATGGATATTGCGACAACCGCGCATAGCCGCCGCCAAATTGTGTACATACATGGGCATAAAGAAAGGAGAGATCGGGACGCTCGAGGTCACGATAGATTGGAAACCGAATGCAAGAGCTATCGGTTACGGTATAATGCGGGATTGCATTACATCCGGAGCGTCCCGACTACTGCACCTATCCGAATAGACAAAGAGTGTAGACAAGCATTCGGTTGCCCGCCATGCACAGGGTGCGCGCAGATGCCTCTTTCAAAATTGTGTAACAATGCCAAACGTTCAGCCTCTGTTTGCTGAGACGCCTAATCGATAGTCGATAGTTACACACGTTACTGCAGTTCCAAGCCAGGTCCTTCTGGGCTTCAAAATCGCAAACATCGAAGTCGAAGTCGAACACTCGAACACCCCCGCCCAACGCCAGCACGACAAGACCAACCCATTTACACCAGAATCGCCAACCAGTCCTTTTTTTGTCGGTACCCGCTACGCCATAAAGCCAACTCGTAATAAAGACCCGCCAGCATCACCGCCAGTTGCCTTGACTAAGTTTGAGAAGTCCTTCCACACAGCCTAGCTCTTCGCCGCTTGAGACACTTGTTCTCTGGCTGTGGGCGCCCGCACCGCCCATGAACGCGCGAATTTCGTCATCGTCTTCTATGTTACTAGTGCGAGTGGTCTGTAGCCTCCTGTGCGGCGTGGCCTTTAGCCCTTTCTCGCGGTCCATCATAACGCCGAGGCTAGCACCTGTACTCATGATATTTGTGTTCTCGCCCAAGACCCTGCGTCGTGGCTGACCGGACTGTTGACCGGCGGTGGGGTGTTTGATGCGACGTAGGCTAGCACCAGGAACCCCTGGTTCCCAATTCTCCTTGTCAGACTCTGTCTGTGGTATCTCGAAGCCATCGTCATCGACCTTCCTTGTGATGGCAGATTGACTCTTCTTCAATGGTGTCTTGCTCACAGGTGCCGCCTTGCCTTGAAGGCGTCCTTGAGACGATGAAGAGCGAGACAAAGGCGGTCGGTGAGTGCTCTTTCCATCAAGCTTGACACGCTTTGCCGAGCTTTGGGGGAGAAGCTGAGCATTACGCTTGTTAGGGTTTAGCTTCAATGCTTCTCTGCTAGCAGAGCGTATAAGACCAATGGCATCCGCTGCGGAGCCACTTCCTTCCTGGTTGGCCTTTTCAGTCAGGGAATTTCTTGCGTCGCTATCGCACCAGAATTCCCAGGCTCTAGAGTCCCGAGACCGTCCTGAGAAAGAGCGTTGGATACCTTGGGGCGATTGAGCTTGCTTATGGTCGTTCAACGCGGCAGCACTGTAACTGCGACGAAGGCCCTCCGTTCTCTCGCACACCGGCGCTGGATCCGGCTGAGACCGAGGCGGGGATGGAGAGTCCTCGCCAGTGATGACTCTAGCCATTCCATCTTCAGACATCGATAGTCGCACAAATGAACTGGACTTTTTCAGAGTCCGAGAAGACGCCTGCTCCTGGGACGACGGCACCGAGCCTGGCTTCTCCGTGGTTGCTTCCTCATGAGTGCGGATGAAAGACTGGCTACGGCGGTTCGCGAGGTAGCCGATGCCCTGGCGCTGGCTTTCTTGCGATGATGGAGGCGGCTGTGAGCCACCAAACTCTGCGGGTCCAGCGTCACCGGATGGGACTGGGGTCTCTCGCAGTTCAGTTGCCACATTTGTCGTTTGGGATTCGACGTTCGTCAAGTCTGCGGCAGACGGGGAGGGGATCTTCTCTGGTAAGTGCACAGTTTCAAGAGCTGGAGACTTGGCTGGGGTCTCTTGAGGCCTGTTTGAGTTGTTCAGCGACGCCGCTGTGGCATCTGCTGTGTGTTCTTCGTGCTCCCCTGTTTCGGCATCGTCTGAATTCGGAGCGGACGAGGATGGCTCTGTGATGGTTCCTTGGGAACTGGACAAGTGCGATTGTATTTCGTGCGGTTCGAGTGGCTTCGATTTGCGACGCGTGTTTTGGCGGCGGTTCTGGAACCAGATCTGGTGGTGCGTATGGTTAGCATGGCGTAGCATGTAAGTGGCCCATGCGGGGATCCCTACCTGCACCTCCTTCTCGCCAAGAGCGACGCGCTTCACGATCTCGAGACGCGCAGCCTTGTCCGGTTTGCTGTCCTTCTGATATTCCGCCTCCAGTATCTTCTGGTCCTCGGGGCTTTTGCGCGCAAACCGGCATTAGCATCATTTCGACGGCACATGAAGCTGGGGGGGGTTCCACGCCCTGGTGCGGCCAGGCATGAACGCGTCTCGCGCCACTGACAGCGCGAAGAAGCACAACAAGAGAAAGGCTGACCTTGTTCGTCTCCGTTTCTGGCGTGCAAGAGGTTTATTGTCGACATCGGGTGGGAGGTTGCTTCTGACGGTATCGGGGGAGTGCACGAGGAATGCGAGGCTGCCTGAGGGCGGGCTCGACAGCTTCGTCGCGTCTGCTGGCGGGGTGGTAGAGCCGGGATCGCTCATGGCGACAGGCAGGAGCAGGCAAGGTAAAATGGAAAAGCTACGAGAGCAGCGAGGGATAGAAGATAGGGTATGGGTGCGACAGCTCGTATGGCGAGGCACGCGTGGTGGAGAATGCGCGTGTGTCGAGATCGGCGGCACAACGGCTGCCCTCGTCGACCCCGGGATGATGACGCGAGGCGCGACCGCAGACAGCAGCACGCGCTCCCTTCACAGAACCGGCACCCTCCAGCACCCCGCCAGGCGCCGCACAGCTCGCCCGCGTCCAGCATCCAGTTCGCATCATGCCGCGCACAAGCATCCACCTCCCCGTTGACTTGTTGTCGCGCACAGCACGCGCTTTCACGTGAGTCGCCACGCGTGGGGAACTCCGCCTGGCGCCCCGCTCTCCGTACCGTCCTTCTGTTGTGGTCGCTGAGGCGCGACTCGTGCGCGTCCTGTGCGCCAGCCCTATGCATTGAGGCCGCCGGGCCCCGGACCGCTCTTTACTCCTGTCGGAACATATGACCGGGTCGGACGTGGACTGCGTGGGACGGCATGAGGCGACTGGCCAGGCAACAAGCACTCTAGGCCAGCCCGCGAGACGTGAAGCGTAAGACCGGACGAACCTCTTTCCCGTACCGTCGCCAGATGAGCCTCACTGGACCTTCGTCGTGACCACACGCCACGGCGGCCTCTGGATTTCTCAAGCCGCTTCACTCGATCTATTGGCCATGCTCATCGTCTTTACTTCATATGCAGTCTACTTGAGTCAGTATTTTGCCTCTCATCTCACAGCAGCTTAGGCAGACGCCTGGGATATGCGAAAGTCCTTCCGTGACCCTGTCCTGCACAGGCTTACCTCACATTCCGATTCGGTCCTTTCCAACGTAGAATCTTGGTGCCAACGTGTGGTACGGCCTCCTGCAACCGACGACATTCTCTCACCCGTTCACCTTGTAGTAGTCTGTGTTGACACCAAGACTTTTCCTGCTGATGGGAGCTTGTTCCGCCATTGGACAAGATGCCACTATCTCCGATGGCCTCTATGCAGGTGTTCGAAGGACAAGGTTAGCGTAGGCTGTAGTGAGAAAAAGAAAATTGTTCAGTTTCGGTGTCCCGCGGCCGACAAGACGAGGCCGAAACTACACACTCACCGCCAGTGGCGTCGGAAGGATAACATGACCTGGTTCTTCTGGCGCCGTCCTTCGGGTCATCGGATCATGTCACTGCCACAAAGACCGGTTCCAGGAGTGCCATTGGTCGCCTCTACCGCAGCCTCCAAGGGATAATATAAGTGCGCAGCAAAAGTTTGTTCAGTTCGCTGAGCCCTTGTCTTCACTTCACAGCCAATCAGACCCTATAAGCCACAGGTCCCGAGTAGCTACCCTCCATCACCATTCGGTTTGCGGACCCCACGCGGCCGGGACGGATTTGGGACCGCAACGGCCGGCTGTTTTCACCGCCACATGGTGTTGGAGGTGTACGTACGACCTCTGCGGGGTCCGCTTCGGAACCATTTTCCAAACCAAGTTGGTGGTACTAGTTCGTCGGTAGCGGGCGTTCTGGCTGCGGCCACTTCTCCTGAGTCAGGCAGTAGTCCCAGAGTCTTGTGAGGTCTCTGGGCGTTCTCCGGCTGGCAAGCCACACAGGCTATTTCTGGCTGGCCACCACAGACGCGGGATTTCCAGCTCCCAGTTCGTCGGAAATCGCCTCCTTTACCGTTGTGACCACGATCTTGGGATTATGGCAAACCGCAGCACAAAGTGTCTCGGTCGACTCGCAGCCAACCACCAGACACAACCCACTTGACTCGATAGCCGGGCTTGGGACAACGGACGCAGGCAACAGCTGCTCCATATTTTTTTTTCTCAATACCCCCGACAGCGCCCATCAGTGGAGCGATGAGAAGCCGTCTTAGGCCACTCATCTTTCGCTTCAGCCTTTCGGGACTGCCGTCCTGCTTCCCCGGGATTCTTGCTGAGTGTACGGTCACTGGCCACCGATACCACCTTGTCATCACCCTCTTGATAACTGGCTAGCATTTCTAGGCATCTACACCCAAATCGTAACTATCGACCGATCCCGACTCTGGGATTCTGCTAAGATGAAGCTTTTACTGGAGGCCACATACAGATTCCAGTCAATAGGGGGGCCGTTTGTGAGTCAAGCTTTGGCGAACAGCCTCATGATCTTGCATTCCAGATTTAATTGACGCCTTGGATGCTACTTAGCACTTGCTTGCGGCTCTATTGCCCAATTAGTTGAAAGAGGGGAGGCTCAACTATTTAATCCGAAACCTCCTCGTTGGAACAGCCGCATGATCTCCAAACACCCCACCCAAAAACCATTCCAACATCATGCGTGTCGCAGTTGCGGGAACCAGCGGCTTGGCGCAGCTTATCGCACACTATGTTAGAGAGGAAACAAGCCACCAACTTGTATTGCTCTCGAGGAAGGTAAATGCCACTTTCTTACTTTTGCCCAAGCTCGGATTCCATCAAATTCCGACTCGGTTATCATCACCAAAGGCACAGAAGACCATTCAACGGTACCAGGGGTACTCGATCCATGATATGGAAACTTCTTAATTCCTAGGTTCCTGATACGGTCTGAACTCTTGGTCGGCATGGAGTGTGAATACCTGGCGGTCGCAATCTGTTAGCCTGCCCCGCCATTTCGAAGTGGCACTAGGCTGGCTATTACCCTTTCACGGGTTGCTACAACTACTAGGCTTCTCCGGCGGCGGCCTTGGCTGTATGCACGCCGCTTGGTTGTGCCCGGCCCTCCTGCAGGGCATCATCATTCAGCTACCGCCTTGACATCCACGCTTTGCTCTTTTTCGCCATCAGATTCCGTTAAAAACCCTGTCTGTTAGTTGCTCCAAGCACTGACTGTCTCTTAGGCACAACCGAATCTCGAGTCCAGAGGCTACCAGACCCAAGTAGTGAGCTACGATGACTTGAGCTCTCTTGAGCATGCCCTAGCGGGCATAGACATCGTGATCTCCACAATCAGCGGCCCTCCGCAGTTGGCGCTCATCAAGGCATCGGTCAACGCAGGTGTGCATCGCTTTGCGCCTGCCGAATTCGAGGGTCCTCCATCCTTGCGACAGGATAACGATCCATTAGACCGTGGCAGGGCGTCTGCTTTGGCATACCTTCAACACTACCGCCCATACTTTGAAGCTACAACCGTCTTCGTATGCGGCATCTTCTACGAGCGCTTTCAACCAGGCGGGCTGGCTGCTGGCCGTCTGGGATCCTCGGCAGGAATCGGTCAGGAAGGACACTACATTCTGGACCTCCGCTACATGGCTGCACAGGTGCCGGCGTACGATTCGGCAAATCACCCGTCCTATGTTTGCATGACGGCCGCCCAAGACGCTGCACGACTGGTCGTCGCAGCTCTAGACATGCCTACGTGGCCACCTGAGTTTCGGATGTGCGGCGAAAGGCTCAAAGTCTATGATTTGGTCTCTATCGCTCGAAGTGTTCGAGGTGAGTGGATGAGGCTGTAGCAACCAGGCCACTTGGCACTTCTTTTGCCGTATGAATGCTGACCCACGGATAAACAGGAAGGGAGTTCTACGCCGAGCCCACGGTCGAAAGTACGCAGACGCTGAGGTACAAGGCATCGCTTGCATCGACGCAGACTGAGCAGTTGAGGCTGCAGAATCTTGCTGCCACAGCTGACGGTCAACACGACTTCACGGATACGAACCTCAACAGCTATTTCCCTCACATCCGCATGACTCGATTTAGAGACTGGCTGGCATCTGCCTGGGCTGGCGTCCCTTAGATATCCGGCCATGCACAATGGTGAAGGGATGATACGGGACGCCGAATGTCCCAACCCCAAGCCGGTGGATACCATACCTGGACATAGGATGGAAAATGATGAAGGAGTACGATCACTGCAGCGCAGTAAGCAAGGTTTGAGACTTTGACACTCATCGGCAAGAACTGGTCAAACCCCCTTCTTTCTTTCTTTCTTTCTTTCTTTCTTTCCTTTTGTGTGCGTTCAGGCGTGGCCTCAGGGCTTGGGATCCAGATTGATACGGCAAGTGGACTGGATGACCGCAATGCTGAGTAGGCATTCAGCAACCCTCACCCCTCTTCTTCTACGATTTTTTCCTTTCGGTGTTGTCGTTAATAGAATGCTTTTGATACAACTATATGTTCACGGACAAGTCCATGCTATGTTGTGGAGACCAATCGCATGCAGGAAGACTACGGGGACGCTTTGGACCCTCAACAGTCTTCCACACAGCCACTATTGCCTATCCGCCGAGGAAAGCTATCGGGTTGCCACCTCGGTTGCTGACGGCAGCAAAAGGCGACTGGCGCCTAGAGATGCAAGGGAAAATAAACCTTAGGTCTCAGCCACTACGTATGCTTGCTTACTCTTGTGCGACCCATTTTTGCCTAAGGTTCTCTGGGCCTGGCCGAAACTGGCCTCGTATCGCAGGTTGCAGTTTGAAAATGTACCCTGTTAGTGTAGTTATCGGCTGTAGCTGGCGCCGGCTCGCGGCGACTATGGCGCTCTGGCCGTTGGGTCTCGGCCCGGGGCATGGACTTCAGTGACGCGGTAAGGCTGGTGGGTGCCGTGATATTCTCGCAACCCAGCTTGGAAAGCCATGCACCAGCAAATGCGGTGGAGGCGGGTTGCGTCATAACGGGGTGAAAAAAACGTAGGATGCCAAGCGGAGAGGGGAGTTGCGGCATGGGCGGGGAGGCGGGCGGCGATCGCAAATGCGATTGCCCTTCTTGAATCTTCGATCTCTGCAGTTTGATGTGACCATGGGCCTTGCGCATCAGCGCGGAGGTGGGGCCCATTTGCACAGGCGCGTTCGGTACAATTGCGTGCCTGTGATGTCAGCTGCCCCACCAAAGCCTTTCTGGCAACTGCCCCTCTGCTTGTGCTCACCATGCCGCAAGCTACAAAAACACAGCTTCCGCGCTCTGGACCAATTCATCTTCTACACACACCACTTTCTGTGATACCCCAATCCCAGCTTCCAAACTTCCAAACACTCTGCGACAAATTTCCGTCACATTCTCCACCACAAATCCATCATCATGCCTGTCACCAACAACGTGTAAGTGACAAGTGCTAAAGCTTCGCCACTAGTCAAAGGTTTCAGGGCTAATTCGACGCAGCCCCATCTCCGGTGTTGACAGCGCCAACCCCAAGACTGTCGAGGAGCGCAAGGCCGAGCTTCCTCTGCCCGACCAGCCTCCCACCGCGTCCGACTGGCAGTCCGCTGACGCCCGCAACGTCAACGTTGGCTCCGGCAAAGTCTCCGACGACATCTCCTACGGCAGCGGTGCCAGCACTCTGCGCGAACCCACCACCAGCGACGAGAACATCGATGTCGGCAGGACCGCCAAGGATGGTCTCGGCGGCCTTCCCAACGACGCCGTCACCAAGGAGAAGCGGGGCCATACCGGCACCCAGGAGACCAGACAGTAAACGATGGATGGCGAAGGGATTTGGGCTGAAGGATGACACTTCCCCTGGCGGCCATTGATTGGCGCAGTCTATACCTTGAGCGGTTTCTTAAATATCATGCCAAGGGTGAACCTGGGCGCTTAACGTGTACTATAGAGATCCGGCCATGGATCATTGAAATGAATGATGATCAAAGCAAATGTTGTGTTCGCGCTCGTGAGAAGAGGGGTTGTATCACCAGAATTCTTTTGAACTGTCGCCTTGAGGAGGCATCCGAATTCGAAGCTTTAAATCCAAACCAAACGTGAATACGTCTAGAGAGTATTTCTAACTGCTAGCATACATTGTGTTCGATGCAGTGAGCTTCAAAAACGCACCGCTCTAGGTGCGACTAGGATATGGAGTCCACAGTGTGCGAGTCGCCCCGCTGCTGTGACGTCTTACAGGAACACCCAAATTGTAAAGTCGCCACTTTGGCGAGCATGCATCTACTCACAATTGCAGCGTTGGCTTGCATATGGAAATCCAAGGCTCGATATTATCGCAAAAGTGCAGTGTTCTAGACTAATCGGCGTCGGCTGAACTGGTGATTGTGAAGGGCGATCTATGGCATGCGGGGCAGATTGGCAGGCTGGTTCATGGATAGTCTAGCTATCGTCACCACACGGGAGCCCGACCTCCACAGTTTATGCACGTATGATGTCACTATGGTGGAAGACATTTCTGGCAAATGACATATATTCCTGCTTTACAGAGCCCCTGCAGAGTATATCTTCAGCACGGCAGACTCCCTGCACATACCAAGCTACCCCTCACCTCCAGTCCGGAACAGACAGAGCTTCGCGATTCACGCAACTACACAGTTTTCCACGTCCATCTGATTGAAACAAACATCATGCCGTCCTCCGCTGGTCAGAAGGTATGACAGACCCCGCACAAGCCATTTGATCAGCTTTTGGTGGCGTGTACGTCACTCGCACGGCAGCTCTTACACGTGCATGTGAAGCTCCTCGACACGCACCCTTGAGTTCCCTGCTACGCAATATGTTCGACGAGGAGGCAGCGGCTGACTTTATACTGTAGGTCACCGACCCCAACGCGCCTCCGGTCTCCGAAAGCGCCGGCATCATCACCAGTGACTCCCTGGCTGCCGAATCTCTGAAGGGCGACGGTTCCTTCGCCGCCGGCAACCCCAAGTCCGGCATCTCTTCACAGTCCAGCGCCGGTACCACGGCCAACACCACGGACACGTCGGCCGCCCGCACTCTGAACTCGGCCTTGGACGCGGAGTCGCGCGACGCGCAGTCGGAGTGGGGCGAGCAGGTGCAGCTGAACGCAGGCAGCGGCCTGACGGGCAGCGCCCCCACGGCGTACAGCGCCAGCCAGCTGCTCGAGAAGGATCAGAAGCCGAAGGGCAAGAACATCACCGAGAGCGACGAGATGTTCAGCGCACCCAACGCCAGCTTCAACAACGAGATCGGGACCAAGAACGATCCCGGTCGCGTGGCGGAGCAGACGATGCAGCGTCAGGCCCAGAAGAGCGGCCTCGCTTCAGCGCAGCCGAAGGATAAGAGCGACAGCGGCGACCAGCCCTACTCTGTGCTGAAGGAGACGTCGGCCTAGAATAAAAGTTGAGGGCAGTTACGGTTGATGGGTTACGACATGAATTGTATGCTATTAGTACATCCGCGGCGTTTGACTGATCGGGCTAGACGGCCTAATAATAGAAGTGTACATGATTCCGACGATGACGCGGGCAGCAATTTTGTGCATGTTTCAACTAAGTCGAGGAGTTCGTCGTGTTTCAACTTGGTCGGTAGCTTCGCGCCGTTGCGGCGCGGCGGAGGAGGCGGCGGAGGCGAGAGGTTCGCGGGCGGGGGGCACAGGCCATGCGGACCCTCGCTGGAGCTGAGGTGGCCTCTTCCGACGACGCTATGCGCGCGCGTTCACCCACCAATTTGCAACTCCCCTCTCTGCTTCCCTTGCCGCTCCATGTAGCAGTCGCTGCACAGAAGCTGCTACCATGAACGGCTTCGCGGACCAAGGCCTCTCCGAGGACAGCTTCGGGCCCTCCGGCGGCGGGCTGCAGGCATTCGATGCTTTTCGTAAGTCGACCACCCTCGATTGCACGATCGCCCCGGCACCTCGCTGCGCGCCTTGCATTGCCTTTGCCCGTGCCCCTCCTGCGCGCCGGATCGCAAAGCCCTCCTTTGGTGTCCATTGACTAACACGGCCTTTGCCTCCAGCCAAGACGAAGAAAACGTACCTCCAGCAGACGACGCAGGGCGCCAACTGGACGCTGCTCTTGATAGTAACATGTGTGTGGCTCTCGATCACGGAGACGATGCGCTGGTGGGTGGGCGAGACGTCGCACACGTTCAGCGTCGAGAAGGGCGTCGGGCACGAGATGCAGATCAACCTGGACATCGTGGTGGCCATGCGCTGCGACGACCTGCACGTCAACATCCAGGACGCTTCGGGCGACCGCATCCTCGCCGGATCCGCACTGACCAAGGACCACACGCGCTGGCTGCAATGGGTCGAGAAGAGCAAAAACGTGCACAAGCTGGAGCGCAGCCAGGGCCAGAAGCGGTACGAGGAGGATGATGTGCACGACTACGTCGGCGCCAAGGTGAAGAGAAAGTTCCCCAAGACGCCGCGCTTCAGGGGCGCTGCGGACTCGTGCAGGATCTACGGCAGCCTGGATGCGAACAGGGTGCAGGGTGACTTCCACATCACGGCGAGAGGCCACGGCTACATGGCGTTCGGCGAGCACTTGGAACACAGCCGTAAGCACCAAGAAGATGGGCCAGCGCGACCAGGTTTGCTGACGAATAATGGCAGAGTTCAACTTCTCGCACCAGATCAACGAGCTCTCGTTCGGCCCTTACTACCCCTCGCTCACCAACCCGCTCGATGACACGCGCCTCGTGACGCCGACGGAGAACGACCACTTCTACAAGTTCCAGTATTATCTTTCGGTCGTACCAACGGTGTACACGGACAACAGCCACAACATTGTGACCAACCAGTACGCGGTGACGGAGCAGTCCCACAGCGTGTCGGAGGTGTCGGTGCCGGGTGTTTTCGTGAAGTTCGACATCGAGCCTATCATGCTCACCATCTCCGAGTACAACGGCGGATTCCTTGCGCTACTGATCCGGCTGGTGAACGTGGTTAGCGGCGTCATGGTCGCGGGTGGGTGGTGTTTCAGAGTGGGCGAGGCGCTGGTGGAGTTCTATGGCAAGAGAAAGAACCGGGGTGATGGGTTGGGTGTTCTGCATGGAAGGACGCCTAGCTACGACGAGAAGCGGAGCATCTGAAGCATTTGCTGTTTTTGGGGTTTCTTGGGATACAGGCGGCGTTCCGGCAGGGCTTGTGTACAAAGTTGCTTGTAGATATATCCGCGCAGGGTAGATGTGGCGCTGCAACTACGGTTGGAGTGCCAGGAATTGCTTGAGCTGGTGTTTCCCAGTGTCCTGCTGCATGGCGAGGTGAAACAGGCTGCCCGAATGGGGTGGGTGCAAGGCTGGGCAACGGGCCAATCAGCAGCGGTGACTTATCAAGGCGGATGAAGACGGCAAAAGCGCGCTGTTTCCGTCAGCATGTACTCACCTGTCCTCCAGTCCACCGCGGCCCTCAGCGACATTCCTGACCTCGGCCACACCGGAGGTAAGTCACTCATCTACTTGACCTCTTTCTACTTGCGTCTTGGCCCCAGCGACGGCTGTCACCCGCACTGCATCCCTCCTCGTCGTGCCCCTCGCGCCCCGCGACGCAACTGTATACCGCCCGACTGTTTTTCCGGCGGGTGAGTCAACTTGGCGCCGCGATGCGGATTCGGCAGAGCACTGCACCTCCGTGTCAGGCGGACCAACGAGCTGCCACCACCTCGTCCACCAGCATCGCCCCTCATGGCTTACAGATCCTTTCACGCCCCTGCTTTGACCAAGCGAGACCGAGGCCGACTCAGCATGCCCGGAAGCGTGCTGATCCGGGCGCCCGTGTCCCGGGCACGCAGGTGGTGTAGTCCTGCACCTCAACTAGTGTGTCTTAGGACCAGAGGAAAGCGGATCTGAGACGTGCCCACTCGAAGCCATGTGCTCCAAGTACGTGCTTCTTTAGCGCGTGCCTACTGAGGAACTACCCGCTGCGCGACCACTAGTTTGCAGCTTATCACGAGCCGCCGTAGCCTCACGTCGCAGACGAGGAGGCCAGCTATACCCGCTCCCCCCGCCTCCATACAACACTCTGACTGGCTACCTCTGAGACATTGCCCTTGCTTTTCTTTATCGCACTCCCGTTACAGCAGCTCTTCAGTGACAACATCAGCCCTTTCTTGGCACGCATACTCCTTCCCCGACCCTTGCTCTATATATCTGCACCTGCTCCTTCCAAAGCCATAACACGATTTCCCAAATCTTCACAAACCACACATACAACCAAAGGAAAGAGAACGTTTTCTGAAGTAGGCCTCATGGAGCTCAAAGCGTACCGATCCCATTCCATACGAGGCTTCAACACCGACGGCAGCCTTGACCGCGCGCAGCTGGACCTCCGCCTCAGTCCACATCGCCCGGAGCATTTCCTCTCCTCGGGCTCTCCGCACCGTGTCGACAGCGGCTACAACTCGCCAACATCACCGACGGGGGCAGAGCCGGCATCTACTACTGCCATGTCGCTGCCGCTAATCCGCCGTGCGCTCCCCAGGGGCGGCAGGAAACCGCACGTCTGCGTCGTTGGCGCCGGAGTCAGCGGTCTGAGATGTGCGGATATCCTGCTGCAAGCCGGGTTGAGAGTGACGGTGTTGGAAGCGAGAAATAGAGTGGGTGGACGGGTGAGTTGTCATCCCCCCCCTGGACCTTTTGGTGCTGTCATTCGTCTGTGCAAAGTTATGAGCATGACTGCTGATCTCCTTGAGCTCTGCAGCTTTGTCAAGCGAAAACGCAGGCGGGTCAAATGGTCGATCTGTAGGTTCTCTTTCCCCTGGACTCTTGTCTTTCTCTGTTTCTCTTTCTTGCCCGATTTCGACGGTTGCATCAGAATGCAGTGGCAAAGAGGTAGGGTTCTCAGTGCGAGCGCTTTCTGGACTTCATGCGCAAGGGTACTCACTTTCACACCGGTACGGATACCTCGTGGTCAGGTTGAGTCGTGTCAGCCTAACCGCTTCAGAAGGTTTCTGATCCTAGTGGAGCGTGCATTTCCCTTCCACTGAAAACAAATCATGGGAAGTGAATTTTGCACATTCCACTTTCGCCATGAGGTTCGGTAGCGCAAGTGCACTTTTCAATGCACTATCAACAGCCTCGCGATCTTCTTCAAGAACACACTGTCAAGGCGTTCAATCAGAGGCTAATTGAAGCTTGTCTGGATCGGTAGCGGACCGAACTGGATCCACGGGACTGAAGACAACCCAATCCTGGATCTCGCAAAGGAGACGGGCACCGTTACGCACAACTGGGATGGGCGACAGGCCATTTTCGACCCGAAAGGCTCGCAGCTCTCCGAAAAGGAGGCTGTTGAAGCCTCTGAGACGATATGGAGCATTATAGGTGACGGCATGGAGTTCAGCAAGCAGAACAGCGCATCGATACCGCCGACAAAAAGCCTGCTTGATTACATCCACGAAAAGACGAGCGAGCTGTACACGGATGAGAATTGGAATCACCTTCAGGAGGCTGAAAAGGAGAAGAAACGCAACCTATTGCACATTATTGCGGAAATGTGGGGTGCATTCGTCGGCAGCCCTGTCGAACGGCAGAGCCTGAGGTTCTTCTGGCTCGAGGAGTGCATCGACGGCGAAAACCTGTTTGTCGCGGAAACTTACCACAAGATTTTGGAGAGAATAGCGAAGTCCGCCTTGGAAGGTGCAGATGTCAAGTTTGGCCAACGCGTGAAGACGGTCGAAACTGTTGCCGATGAGGAGGGCAACGAAAATGGCGCCGTGCGGGTGCATCTGGCCGCCGGCCAGAGCATGCTTTTCGACGAGGTCGTCATGACCACGCCCCTGGGCTGGCTCAAGCGCAACAAGGACACCGCATTCGTGCCGCCGCTGCCCGAACGCTTGTCCGATGCCATCGACAGCATCGGTTACGGCTGCCTCGACAAGTTCTACATCAGTTTTCCAACCGCGTTCTGGGAAGAGACTCTTTCACCTTCCCCGTCGACCACCTCCCCGGCCCCCGTCCCGACCTCCGCCCGCCAAGCCGTACCCAACACCACCGCCACCACCGCACCCGTCCACCAGCCGGACCAGACCGCCGCCGCGGACGACAACAGCGGCAATCGCCACCACTACCCCGGCTTCGCGCAATGGACGTCCCCGCTCTACGCATCCTCCACCAACCCCAACCACTGGAGCCAAGAATGCGTCAACATGGCCGCCCTGCCCGGCTTCACCGCCCACCCAACCCTCCTCTTCTACACCTTCGGCCCCACCTCGCAGCACCTCGCCTCCCTCCTCCTCAGCGCCTCCGACTCCTCGGACACTAACAAACAACAGCAACTCCTCCTCGCCTTCTTCGCCCCCTACTACACCCGCCTCCCCAACTTCAACCCCCACAACCCCTTGCACCAGCCCTCCTCCGTCCTCGCCACCGCCTGGACCAACGACGAGCTGGCGGGCTACGGCAGCTACTGCAATTTCCAGACGGGCCTGGAGAGCGGCGACGACGACGTGGAGGCCATGCGGCGCGGCTTGCCCGAGCGAAGGGTGTGGTTTGCGGGGGAGCACACGGCGAGTTTTTTGGCCTTGGGGACGGTGACGGGCGCGTATTGGAGCGGGGAGGGCGTGGGGAGGGCGATCGGCTGGGCTTATAACGGCGGGGATGGGGATGGGGATGGCGATGGCGATGGTCAGCGGCAGATGAAGGAGGGTTTGGCGGGAGGGGACGGGGCGGCGGAGGATTGATTAGCTGACGGGCGGAGGAAGGAGGCGCGTTTTTTCTTTCTTTTTTTTTTCTGCGGCCTCGTGGTGATTGGGGACGGGGTTTCAGGGGTTCGTGGTGTGCTTTTTCGCGTCTTGCTATTCTTTCTTGCAGGAGTTGGGAGGGTTGCTAGTCCACGTAGGTTAGTTGTATGAGAAACCAACTGGTGCGTGCTCGCAAGTCCGGCTCGAAGAGACTGGTCCGCTATCCTCTTGCCCGATTCCATGTCTCTTGTTGGGGGTAAGGAGATTGTCAAAGACGTGAGGGACGAAGTCAAGCGCAGACGAGACTTGATGGAAGGACCTCGTCCTCGACTGATATATTCCTCACCAACTCCCCACTTCCCAAACGAAATCGCATTCGTGCATCGGCCTGATGCACGCTCATCATCCAAAAGGGCGCTCGCAAGAGGGGAGGGAAAGAAATTCTCCAATCCATGCCGGCTTCCCTGCCTACGCCTCGTGCATCATCCCTAGACTGATTGCCCCATCACAACGGAGCCAACGCCCCTCACCTCACAGCCGTTCTCCCTCCTTCCCTAATCGATACAAGTTTTACCCCATTGCCTACTTTTTCCCCCATTTATCTGGTGGAACCTCCGCAACCCGTCAAACATCCATCGACGACGACGCCATCTTTCTCGCACGCGTCAGATATCCACCAGTCCGTACTCTAACCAAACACACAACCAATAGAAGAACCGAAAAAACAAGAGCCTGAGATCCAGAAGAAGACAAGCGGAAACGAAACCTGGAAAAAGGGGGCCTGCGCAAGGTGGGCCAGGGTAATAGTTAAGAGATGTGGGAATAGACAAACGAAAAGCGGTGCTAGCAGCAGCTTGCCGTCCCGACGCCGTGAAAATGACTTTATTCATTATTGAATTTGGTTTTTTTCTTTTGGGTATTTTTATTTTTTTGTTGAACTGCTCAACGCCTTGAAACCAAATCGTTCGGAAGGATTCGATTGGGAAGGAGGAGCAAGAAATGGGGTAGGGATGGCTCATTTCACATAACCCTCCTCAATCTTGAGTATGACATCGTAGACGTCGTAAAAAAAAAAAAAAAGCAACAAAAGCATCAGTAGCGGCCACATTATCGTGGTGACCCCTTGGCTGACTGTGCCCTGCGCTTGTGTTCCTGCTGATGCATACGCCTTCTCCGCAGCATCAGCAGTGACTGTAGAAATATTAAAGATGCCCAATCGTCCGACTTACTACTCCGGGCTGGCTTCCAGCACCTCCCGCTCCCGCGCCTCTTCCAGCTCGCTCAATATTTCTGGAAGCATTCCCTCGACATCCTCTTCTCTGATGCCCAATGCTCCCATGATGAGCCGTTTATACTCGGTCTGCCGCTCACCCATGCCTGCAACGCTCAGGTTCTGCACAACCTCGTTTACCAGGCCCCGGCGTATCTTTTGGGCATTGCTGAGGCTGAGCGCCAGCCGCAGTCTTTCTCGGATGGCGGCTTCGCTCCCGGCGTTGCCGTCTTGTTGCGGCTCGGCGTTGGCTTCTGCGTCTCCTATGCGCTGTTGCAGCTCGGCCTGCTGTTCCAGTTCCATGAGCGCCTCCGCTTCCCGTGTGAGAGCCTCCATCTCTTCCTCTTGCAGTCTTGCATCCTCTTCCCATACCGGATCGTCCAAAGTGTCTCCGATCACGCTGTCGACCTCGGCGATGCCCATGTCCCTCAGCTGTCTCTTCAGTGCATCAACTTCGGCTTGCCGTTTCCGCATTACTCGCTCCGCATCTGCTGCTTCGGCGTCCTTTTCTACAAGCTCTTCTTCGTACGCACCGGCTAATTGTTCAAACTTTTCGTTCAACGTCGGCGCGATTTTAGTCATCAAAGTCTGTGCGGTCTGACTGCGGAACTGGTGTGGTGATGCGATTTGTTGGAGGTTGCTTCCGTTGTGCAAGCCAGGGAAGGTTGTGCTGCCATTGAGGCCAAGTCTTCCGTCCGGCGCAAAGGGGGATGAAGACATGCCGCGATGTCGTCCATCGCGACGGCGAGCGTTTAGTTCGCGGATTAGATCGTCAGCGGTCTCGCCCAGGTGGTTTGGAATGTCGACCGCAACACTACGACCGAGTAGAGCGCGAACACATTTCCGCGCGCCGTGTCGTGCTGCAATCATGATCGCCGTGTCACCATTCTTGTCCTGATTGTTAAGTAGGCGCGTGACTTCCTCGGGTTTCCAAGTCTCGCTGAGCTTGTTAATGATGCAATCCAGATAGTAGCGGGCGCAGGTGTATTTGTTTTTGCTGCTTGTGGTGGCGGCAATGTGGTGGAAGACGGTGCTGCCGAACCAGTCAGTGCGCACAACGGTTGGCTGCAGGATCTTGATCATCTGAGGCATCGTCTTCTTGTCGAAGTTGTTGGTGAACATGACTGCACGCATGAGGGGTGTCTCGAGGTTGTTAGACAGGGACTCGGTGCGCGCCCCACGGCGGATGAGGTCTTTCACTACGTCCACGTCGCCCATGGCAGCAGCCCAGTGCAAGGCTGAGTGCCCCTTTTCGTCTATCATGCGGTCCAGATTGACACCTGGCGGCGGCTCTGGGGGAGCAGGAAAGCGATCTTCTGATTCCAGAAGCATGAAGTAGTCTAACAAAGCATCCGCCCAGATCTGGTGCGCGCGATCCTGCGCAGACGGTTGGTCCACATCACGCTTCCGCTTGCGTCCTCCTTGTGAGTAGTGAACACCATGCAATAGATTGTGCTCCTCCATCTCGGACTCGGCGATTGTGACATTGTCGGGCGTCTCCTCGTCGGCATATTGGAGGCTCTCTCGCTCGTAGAGGTCTTCGCTCACTTGGCTGGGGGCTGCATAAGCGACTGAGACATTGTCAGCAGATGTCAATGCAAGCTGGCGGCAACGTAGCACTCACCGGGTGCTCGTCGAGCTGCGGCGGCGCGCGCGGCCTTGGGTCTTGACGACGCAGCGGTAGCATGCTTGGGGGCAGGCGGCGGACTCCGGTCGCCCGGGACGTAGTCGAGAATGGGGGCGAGCTTGTCAAGGATGCCGTTGCGCTCGGCGAGGTTGCGGCCGTCGTGAAGCGGAATCCAGGTTCCTGCGGCGGCCCTTTCAGTGTGCTGCTATGCGATGGCAGCGCGGCGACACCTACCCTGGTATTTGCCGTATCCACCCTGGACCTTCTCGTGCACGCCCTTCTGGACCTCGCGCTCAAGGATGCGGGTGCGGGCAGGCTTGTCGAAGTCGGCGACCTTCAGGATGTGGGTGGCATTGATCCAGTCGTCGGCGCGGCGGCGCATGACATGGTTGCCGGCGACATTGAACTCGTAGACGGGGACCTGCGGGCGGCGATGATGTCAGCTCCAGCTGTGGGGGAGGCTTCGCGCAACGGGCGGGGGCAACTCACATTGCTGTAGGTGGCCGAGTAGATCCTGCCGCTGGTGTCGGGCGGCATGATGAGGACTGCGAGCAGCGGCGTGGCGGGGCGGGACTGTCGATGCGGCGTGCAATTGTCGCAGTCGCGCGGTCTGCTGGCGACGTGTCAGCGGAGACGCGTGGGACACGCTGCTGGGTCGCGGGCGAAGAATTCGGGGTCAGGTGACCCTTCATCGGCAGCCTAATTGGCCCTGCCCTGCCCTACCCTACCACGCTGCTCGGCCGCCAACGACGCAAGCCTGGCGCTTGCCTGCAGCTGCCACAATCTGCTTACGTGAATAGTGGAATCCCACGCCCGCAGCTCAACCTCGCTCGCATCATGGGCCTCCACTGCTTGCGCAGCGAGAACAGGCGTCGCGGGCACAGCATGCTCGAACCCTTCGTACTTCGTACTCACACCCCTGGGGCCACGGGCTGGAGTCGGCGGCTGGCGCAGCGGCAACAACGCCTAAGCTGCGCCTGAGCTGCGCCTGTGCCCGACAGTTCCGCCTCCGACGCCGCCATCTCCGAGCTCCTACGTCGGCGAGCGAGCCCACGTTGCCCTCTGCGAACAGCGGGCTGACGCGCGTCCCACTGCGCCTGCGTGCGCGGCAGATGGATACCCGTCACACAGGCCAATCAAACTCGCTGCGCCATACGAAAACGACCTGATGCTCGGCCTAGCTGCAGTGCTGATAAGATTGTTCATTATTATGCCCTGCCTCTTCTGCTCTTTGGAGCTCTTGTGCTGCTTCGACAATCTTTGAACTCACTTGGACCGCTGGCGCAGCCAAGTCTGTCTCGCCATGCGTCTCACAAACCTCTCTCTGTTTACCGGCCTCGCCGCCAGCGCCTCTTTCGAGACCACCCTCGCCGCGGCCGACTTCAGCGAAGAATCCCCGGTTCCGTTGGAAAATGCTAACCATGTCTTCAACGCCCTCCATTCATCTATGCGCCAATGGGGCTCTTCCTTGAGCCACAACGGCATGTCCTTCTTCCTCGCATCTGTGCCCGAAGGAGTTCAGTTCTACCATGGCAGGTCCAGCAACGAGTCTGTCAAGGGCATGGAATGGCTGGCATTTGAGCCCGAGCATGCTTTGGTCTTTGCCAGACCTCACGGCCCGCCGCATCGAGGTGGTCCGGGCCGAGGCCCTCCCGGACAAGGCCCTCCCGGACAGGGCCCTCCCGGACAGGGTCCTCCGCCACCAGTTCCGGCCGGAGAAACGACCCCGGAGCACAAGGGACATCATGGGTGGGGAAAGCCGCCACACGGCGAAGCATACCACCCGGACTGGCAGCGTCCCGGTTGGGAGAAGCATCACGGAGCCGACCGCCAAGCACCAATGGAAAAGAGGGACCCCAAGGCCAAAGACGACAGTGCTGGAGGTTATCTGCATACCTACCGTACCAAGCACAACCTATCCCTCCTGTACATTGACGGCATGTCTGCCGGCAAGACGCAGAAAGGAACCTTGGACTCCACCGATGCCATCTTGCTCGGAGTGGACATAGAAGAGCACAACCGGCACATGTGGGACTTTGACCGTGGTCAAGCGCTCTGCAACTTGACCCGTGATGAATGGGGCAACCGCATCGACGGTTTTCTACGCATGGAGATGGGCTTCGAGATCATACTTTGCGACTTCGAGAAGCATCTTGACGTGGATCGCGTCACCCAGACAGCTGGCCGGAATTCCAATGACCGGGGTCGGCCCAGAGGCGGATTCGGCGACCTGACCTACTACCGCGCCGTGGCGTCTCGATTCGACGGCATCGGAGGTAACCGTGTGTCTGTCAACTACGAGGACTTCGTCACGGCCTTCATTTACGATATTGACCTCTTCAATGGCGACGTTCTTCCGCGCCTCACCAATGTCTCCAACGAGACCCTAAGTCTGATTCACAACGATGTGACACAGCTTGTCATGTCCCGTCCCTCTCCAGCTTATGGCAAGATCCAGCCGACTACGAACTGGCAGGCTGTAGCAGATTTGGTTGTTGAACGTTATTCCGACCGAGTCCAGTATCTCGCCACGTTTTCCGATTTGGAGACGCTGCAGGGGGAAGCTGAGCAAGCTCTCAAGCCGTTCATTGACTATGCAGCTCGCGACAGCGATGCGGAAATCGAGCGCTGCGCAGCGCAGTACCTACCGGTCTCCTCGCTCGAGTCTCTTCACACTGCTCCAGTTGCTGCCCAGGCGATCCATGCGGTGACATCCTCCATCTGCAGCACGCTTGTCTCCGTATCCAACGCCACTGATGCGGATGGCGCCAAGTCTGCTGTGCAGGACCTGATGTCGTATCTCCAGTGGACCACGTGGAAGCGATGCCGTGGTTGCAGCGCCGAGGAGGTTTGCTTCATCCCGATTTGGCCCGCTGGCCGCAAGCAGGACTACGAGAACCCTCAGTGCCAGAGCAGCCTCCCGAGCTCGCATGATCCCGAGGACTCTTACTGGGGTGGTTGGGGGCCAGGACCCAGGCCCCCTAAGGATGGAGAGGGCATGATCCAGCAGGAGAAGTATCCGGGACCGCCGCCATTTGGACCCTACCCGCCGCCGCCCTATGGTCACTACCCGCCGCCTCACAACGATGATGTTCCGCCGCCGCCGCCTCACGGTGACCGTCCTCCTCCGCCTCATGGCGACCGTCCTCCTCCGCCTCATGGCGACCGTCCTCCGCCTCATGGCGACCGCCCCCCAATGCCTCATGGCGACCGCCCCCCTCGCCCTCCCCATGGTGACCATCTTCCTCCTCCCCCTCCTCATGGCGACCACCTCCCTCCTCAGACCCACGGCGACCGTCCTCCGATGCCTCATGGCAATCCTCCTCCTCCCCACAGCGATCGTCCCCTTCCCCCACCTAATGGCGACCGCCCACCTCCTCCGCCTCATGGCGATCGTCTCCCACCTCCTCCACCCCATGGCGACCGTCTTCCACCGCCCCCTGGAGACCATTCCCCGCCTCCTCACCGCGAGCATCACGGTCCGTGGTGGTGATTGACAGAAAAAGGCGGTGGAGGGACTGCCATGGTGTTCGAGATGCGGCAGGAAACAAGAGCGCGCAAATGTAGACGATAAAGGATAGTTTCATTCAGGACGCAGTGTTTTATACCCACATAATTTAGAATCTGGTAGTTAGTACGAATGTAGAGCAGTCGAGGTGCCGCAACCACTGTGTCCGAAGAATCCCTTGGTCATCTCGCTACACCGCACCAGGCAGGGTCAGGCCGAACAGCAGCCGAGTTGCGGAGCAGGACGCGGTGGCGGAAACCAGGATGCCAAGGGTGCGCAAGCGAATCAGGCGACCCCCGCCCGGGAGGGTTGAGCAGATTACGATTACTGCCTCACCACCTTCCCGCCGCACTCGCGCGCCGAGCACGAGCTCCAGCGGCGGGTGGGGAGCTGATGCGAGGGCGGACGTAACCGAGACGCGCAGGCCGGGGAGACGAGCAATTTATACGTCCATTGCGGGAGGTGCGCCGGCAAGCGCAGCAGCGGCGCGGTGCACGATTGCGAAACGTGCTCAAACTCACGCGTCCCCATCTGGGATGTGCGCCAAGGGTGCGGTGGCAGTCCAACCCTTCACTAACCACTACATATCTGCTCGTGCTCGCTGCTGCTGCATTCCCGCCTCCCGTCTCCACCGTCGTCCGCATTCCATCCTCCTCGCCGTCGACAACCTCCGGCCCTGATAGCCTAATCCCGGACCGCCGATCGCTCAGGATGGACATGAGTTCGATGTCGGGCATGGCCATGTCAACGATGGCCTCGTCCATGGACATGGCCTCGTCAATGACCATGGCCATGTCGTCAACCGGGACTGCGGCGGCTGCCTCGGCCACCAGCACCATGGACATGTCGTCGATGGACATGGGCGGCGACTGCCAGGTTTCGGTAAGCATCCTTGCAAACTCTTCAGCAGCGCGCGTCCGATCTAACATTGTTGCAGATGTTGTGGAACTGGTACACTATCGATGCCTGTATGTGAAATACTCTCCGTGTTCCCCTGGTCGGGGATCTCCCTCGACCCTGGCGCCGGAAAAAGTCACGATCTGCGACTAAGCTTCCTGACCAAACCACGCAGGCTTCCTCACCACATCATGGCACATCACCTCGCGGGGCATGTTCGCCGGGTCCTGCATTGGCGTAATCCTGATGGTCATGCTGCTCGAGTTCCTCCGCCGCGCCGCAAAGGAGTACGACCGCCTGCTTCTGCGGCAGCACCAGCGCGCCGTGTTCGCCGAGGCTTCCTCGTCCGGCAGCTCCACGCCGCAACGGACCCCGGCGCCTACATCTGCACCCGAGCTCGCTCCCTCCAGCTGCTGTGACAACACCGATTCGATTGAAAGCGAGAAGAACGAGCCCTCCAAGCCAGCAGCCGCCGTTACCACCGCCGCCAGGACCGCCGCTTTTCCGCCGAGCAGGAGGACGACGAGGTTCAGGCCGAACGTCATGCAACAAGCCATCCGGGCGTTTTTGCACCTGCTGCAGTTTGCGCTGGCGTACTTTGTCATGCTGCTCGCCATGTACTACAACGGCTACCTGATCATCTGCATTTTCATTGGCGCATTTTTGGGCGCATTCATCTTTTCGTGGGAGAGCGTAGAGGTGGCCGTCGGAGGCGCCACTGGAATGTGAGTAGCAGCGCACCTTTCTCGTGGGATTTTCATGGCTAACTTCCGGTGACAGGGGAGTGGAAGAAGATCCCACCGTCTGCTGCGGTTAATAGAAGGTTGTTCTGGAAGGTTGTTCTGGAAGGCTGCGCGTGTGCATTATTAAGATACCATTGGAGAAGATAATGACAGACCCTATAATGATCCATGCCCGCGTATTCTCAGCGGACTATGAAACAGCATGCACGGGACTTTGGAACGACGTGACGAGTAGAAAGGTCAGCCTGAGCGGGCGCACGTTCGGCGAATCACAGCGTCCCAGTAGAAGCGAGCTTCGAGCGCCTGGCTTACTCGGAAGATCTCGCCTCGCATGGGAAGCAAGGTCAGTAGTCCAAGTCAGACGGGCATGAGCCTTGAATCGCAGAACGTGAGAGCACTCCTTGGCGAGTTCCGTTGGCGGTTGAGCGTGCCGGGCTGTCGAAGGTCAGTCGGGGACACCGGAGATTGTCCGGATCGGCGTAGGGTGGTGAACAAAAGTCCCTTGGGACGCGACGTAGCTTTGAAAGCTCGCGCTGTGACTCAAGCTGCTCCCGCGCCCTCCGACAGACAGCTTCGCTCCCCAAGCTACCTCCCTGCCGGCGACACCTCCGCGACCGCTCTCCACAGAATCCTCGCGCGAATTCGTGCCTCCGGACGCAGCAATGGCCGCAGAACTCGTCGACCACTCCCCGCACCACCCCGCGCCCGCGCCGCCCGTTGCAACGGCCAAGAACCTCGTGCTCATAGACAACTACGACTCCTTCACCTGGAACATCTACCAGTATCTTGTCCTCGAGGGCGCCACCGTCACCGTCCTCCGCAATGACGAGGTCACCCTCGACGAGCTCATCGCGAAGAACCCGACCCAGCTGGTCGTGAGCCCTGGGCCCGGCCACCCCGAGACCGACTCCGGCATAAGCAGGGACGCCATCAGACACTTTGCGGGCAAGATCCCCATCCTGGGCGTGTGCATGGGCGAGTGCGTTGTCTCCGAGTCATAGCTGCGACGAAGCCCTCCGCTAATCCTTCGTGCCCCCAGGCAATGCATCTACTCTGTCTACGGCGGCCGTGTCGACGTGACGGGCGAAATTCTGCACGGAAAGACTTCGCCGCTGCGCCATGACGGTAAGGGCGTGTACGCGAACGTCCCTCAAGACGTGGCCGTGACGAGATACCACTCGCTCGCCGGCACCCATCCTACGCTTCCCGAGTGCCTTGAAGTCTCAGCATGGATTGCGGTCGGCCCGGACGGTGGCAAGGGTATAATCATGGGTGTCAGGCACAAGGAATATGTCATTGAGGGTGTGCAATACCACCCGGAGAGCATCTTGACAGAGGACGGCCGGACGCAGATCAAGAACTTTTTGAAGATGCAGGGAGGCACCTGGGCTGAGAACGAGAAGCTCTCCAAGGCCCAGCCAGCTGCTGCGACCGCCCCCAACGGCGCTATTGTTGTCGACAAGAAGACTTCCATCCTGGAGAAGATCTTCGATCACCGCCGTGCGGCTGTTGCCGCGCAGAAGGAGATTCCTTCTCAGAGGCCCGTGGATCTGCAGGCTGCGTTTGACATGGACATCGCCCCGCCTCTCATTTCTTTCCCCGATCGTCTCAGGCAGTCGCCTTACCGGCTGTCGTTGATGGCGGAGATTAAGCGCGCGTCACCCTCCAAGGGCATCATTTCACTGTCGACGTGCGCGCCTCAGCAGGCTCGGACCTACGCGCTCGCAGGTGCCAGCACGATCTCTGTCCTCACCGAGCCCGAATGGTTCAAGGGAAGCATTGATGACCTGAAGCTTGTGCGCCAGGCTCTGGAAGGCATGCCCAACCGCCCGGCCATTCTGCGCAAGGAATTCATCTTTGACGAGTACCAGATCCTGGAGGCCAGGCTGGCTGGTGCCGATACTGTTCTTCTGATCGTCAAGATGCTGGACGAAGCCACTCTGAAGAAGCTATATCACTACTCTCAGTCGCTTGGCATGGAACCTCTAGTGGAGGTCAACACGGCTGATGAGATGCACATTGCCGTGAATCTCGGAGCGAAGGTCATCGGCGTGAACAACCGCAACCTGACCAACTTCGAGGTGGACTTGGAAACCACCAGCAGGCTGATGGACATCGTCCCCAAGGAAACCATTGTCTGCGCTCTCAGCGGTATTTCCGGCCCCAAGGACGTCGAGCCGTACGAGAAGAACGGCGTCGGTGCCGTTCTCGTCGGCGAGGCTCTGATGAGGGCTTCCAACACCGCTCAATTCATCGCGCAGCTCCTGGGCGGCTCGGACGAAACGGTCCAGGCCGCCCCTCGCGCAGCACCGCTCGTCAAGATCTGCGGCACGCGGTCGGCCGAGGCCGCAAAGACGGCCATCGAGGCGGGCGCCGACCTCATCGGCATCATCCTCGTCGAAGGCCGCACGCGGTGCGTCTCGAACGAAACGGCCCTCGAGATCTCCCACGTCATCCACAACACACCGAAGCCGCACGCGTCCACCACCCCAACAACAACAACCTCCTCCAGCACCCCCCTCCTCCCCACCGCCGCAACCGACTTCTTCGCGCACACCGCCCAGCACCACGTCTCGCACCCCACCCGCGCCCTCCTCGTCGGCGTCTTCCGCAACCAACCCCTCGCCCACATCCTCGCCCAGCAGCGCGCCCTCGGCCTCGACGTCGTCCAGCTGCACGGCGACGAGCCCGTCGAGTGGGCCCGCAGCATCCCCGTGCCCGTCATCCACGCCTTCAGGCCCGGCCAGCCCGGCGCCGCGCGCCGCGGCTACCACGCCCTCGCGCTGCTCGACGCGGGCGCCGGCGGCTCCGGGCAGAAGCTCGATCTGGGGGAGGTGAGGGGCGCGTTGGAGGCGGATCCGGGGCTGAGGGTCTTGTTGGCGGGGGGGTTGGGGCCGGAGAATGTGGGGGAGGTGTTGGAGGGGTTGGGGGGGCTGAGGGAGAGGGTGGTGGGTGTGGATGTGAGCAGTGGGGTGGAGGTGGAGGGGAGGCAGGATTTGCAGCGGATTAGGGCGTTTGTGGAGGCGGCGAAGGGGGCTTGAGTTTCTTTTTAGTTTTTTTTTTATAGATGGCTGAGTGGTTTCGTTTGGGTTGGGGGTGGTTGGGGG